ATGTGCTGTGTGGACAGCAGTGGGGGCAGAGGTGAAGATTGCACCCTCGTGGCACGGCCAGACGTGATGAGCTTGTTGTATTGTGCAAGCTGTGCCTGGTACGACGACGTCTGTTGTGGGAGAAGGTCAGGGAAAGTTTCGATTGTTGTCGAGAGTTGTGGAGACGGCTGGATCAGTGTCGCAGGAGAGAGAGGTGGTGGTGCAGCGGAGATTGCCAGAGTGTTTCGCCGGACAAGCCTTGACCACTGCGAAGAATGATATTGATGTTGAGATTGGCCCTTGTTGGACTGACCCTCCATCAAATTGGAGTTCCCCCTGGGCAGACCGAGTATGAGGGTTCCTGTGGAGAAAAGAGAGGTCGTTCGCAGAGATGTGAATTATTTCGAGGACCAGGATTCGAGATTGAGGATCGGGGAGGCGGGACGGAGGGATTGGGGGGTGGAATTTGAGTGGAGGGAGGTGAGGTAGGGACGACAGGTAAAAGGGTACGCGACCAGCGACAAAAAGGGCGTATAAAGGGTGAAGAGGAAGTGAGGTGTAGGTCAAGCCAGATTCGTGAATTATCGGCGGAACTAATTGTCGATGCGGGTGTATGGATTGTTGGAGTAGTCGGGAGTAGTCGAGAGTAGTGGGAGGGTAGTTGAGGGTTGTCGAGAGTAGTCGAGGATAGTCGAGAGTAGAGTGGTTTCCGTTCTGGCGCGGATTGATTGCAGGAGCTGGGGGGCTGAATACGGGACGATCAACAAAGTGGCCCTTCTAGGAAAGAGAGAGGCACAAAAAAAGGGTGTGGGTATGGGTAGTAGGGTGGTAGTGTAGTAGAGTAGTAGAGTAGTAGGAAACGGGTAGGGTGGTAGGTTAGGTAGGTACGGTACATACAGTAGTAGGAGTTGTAGTAGGAGTAGTAGTAGGAGTAGTAGAGTAGTAGAGTAGTAGTAGTGGTGGTGGATTGGTATGTAGAAGAAGGGAAAGATCCCTTGTCCGCTGTCCGTTGTCCGTTCCCTTGTGCGTCCGTCTCTGGCAGCTGTGAGGCTCGAGGCTCCCTTTTTTTGAGTGGATCGGCGAAAGGAAATATTATTGTTTTTTTGGTGGAGGGGGGGTATAATTTCGGGGCAAGTAAGAGGAAAAGGAGGGAAAGGTAGAGAGAGAGCAGGAGGAATCAATCAATGAGTATTATCCCCGACGCAACGACTATGGAGCAGAGTAGAGCAGAGGAGACTGGAATCAGACTATAGTGAGGTGGAAGTGGTTGTTTAGGAAACTGGCATGGGGGGGTAAGTAATTAGGTGGGAGAGACGGGCGAGGCTTCCCTTTGTTCGAGTCGCGATGATGATCGATGGCCCTGTGTGGTGGGTTGGGATTAGTAGTGGTGGTAGAAGGTTAGTTGTGGTGGTGGATGTAACTTCTCTAAAAAGGTACAAGTAGCTACAGTAGTGTTTAATATGGGAGGGGAAGTCACTTTGCTAGATTCGGGACTCGGAAGAACTCTATTCTGCTATTGCAGCACACTACCAGTACCACTACCACTCACTGCCAGTACCACCACTATACCACTACAACCGCCACTGCATTACCACGACGAATAACCACTAATACCACCACTACTGCACATAAATTACAGCACTTCCACTTCCACTTCCACTTCACTCCTGCTGCTGCACTCCTGCTGCTGCACTCCTACTACTCTAAAGTGTGGTAGTAGAGTACTGACAGCGGCGGCTATACTCTCTCGAAGTACCTGTCCTCTACGCCCGTGTCCTGTGCAATACGATGTACTGTCCTATATATACCTCTCCCCTTTATGCGTGTCTGTCTTTATCTCAGCTACGCCATACAAGGTCGTCCAGAGTGTGGAGTGCAGCATACATATAGCTTACATAGCATAGCATACACATACATATACATATAGCACACAGACGGCGTACATCCAGCTCACAGACAACCTACATCCATACAGCAAGAAATATGCTCACATCTGGAACACAGCTGAGTGCTGTCTATCCATCGCTGCACCGTACTGTGCATACTGTACTGTACTGTACCGTGCCGTGCCGTGCCGTGAGATGAGCTGTGTTCTGCAGTGTGCTCTGCTCTCAGCTGATATATATGCATCTCTGACTCGCTATTTATCGATCCATATAATACTCGGGGTCCAGCATCGATCATCCCTCGCATTCTTTTGCCCAGATTATCGGTGGACCCCTTCCTTGACTAGATGTACCTTATTTTTAACCCTTATCCCCCCCTTATCCACTCTGCCGCCCCTTCCATCGCTCCTTCCATCGCTCCTTCCACCCCTTCTTTCGTTCCACACCATACCACAGTAATATACGACAACATACGACATACGACAAATATACGGCACCAACCAAATTACCCCTAAAACTGTCTATATTCTATATTAAACACATCAATTCCCCTCAACTCTTTATTCGCCTTTGATTATCTCTATTCTTGTTAACACCACCACTCACGACTATCTCTTTCTCTTTATCTCTCTCTTTCTCTCTCTCTCTCTCTTTCAGACATCTCTTTCAACCACCAATCCACCCTCTCATGCGCCAGTCAGACCACCCGCACATCGTGTCTGAGTGAGTTTTGACTGCACCATCCACCATCCAACATCCACGGGTGACCCTTACCTCCGGGTCTCCCTCTCCTAACTCCTGCTTTCATGTCTCCCCCAAATTCTTTGTAACCCAGACGACATATATCCTTTCTCCGCCCACTCACACACGCATACACATACACATACATCTATCCCGCGCACGCCAAAACCATCATGTGCCTACCCTCTACGTGCCGCCTACCCTCTCTCCCCGGGAAGGCGCACCGCATCGCATCGCAGCTCCCCTCCTTATTGCCCACTCACTCGCAGCACTAGCCGCCCCCCTCATCCCATATCCCCAATCCCGTCTAGGCCTCTCTTTTCCCCGATCTGCCTGAACTGAACCTCGAAAGAAAAAAAACGAGCTGTCAACTTTCTGCCCCGCCAAATCGCTCACATATCAATCAGCCTGAACCCCTCCCCACAAATACCCGCATTCCTGCCGCGCTGCACTGTATGACGGAGTGAACGAATGGAGAAAGCGGGATAGGTGCTCCACAGGCACAGGCGGCTTTGCGGTTTTGACTTCCTAGACCTAGACAGCATGGACGGCATGTCATGTCTGTTCTTGATGCACAGTATGTTGACGTGAAAGGAATGATCCCTAGCTCGCCGGCTTGGCTAGCGAATCATCTCCTAGTCGCCTCGAACTGTTTATTAACCATCAAGTCTCTATGGACAGAGAGCAGATGTCAGTCGTGAGAAAGCTGAGTGAGCTGAAGGAGGAGCTGCCGGTACCGACCTCTTCCCCCCGCCGTAACAGCAAAGTCGGACCTTCAATCCATCCATATTACCGCATCACATCGCATCACATCGCCCATCAACAACACACGTGGCCTCAGCATCGCATCGACGCTGTACTCTACTCTACTCTAGTCTATTCTACTCTATATCCCTCCCTCTCCTTGCATGACACTTCCCCCTCCTTGGCGTGTGTACACCACCCCCCGTCCGTCCCTCCCGCTGTCTCTCCGCAACCAGCTGGCGGCACCACGAACTATCCCTTACCTCATCCGTGCGACTGATCTCCCGTCCTATCCGCACTCGCAGGTTATACCCAAAATCCCCGTCTCGTCTAGCACATAGCATATCCTATTCGTCCTGTTCCCCATCGCTAACCCCAGACTCACCCGCGCCTCTCCAAGTCCTGCCGTCTCTCATCCCAACCCAGCCCCCATCCCTCTCAAGGCTAAACACCACAGAACCTCCACAGCGTAACCATACACATACTCACAATATAAGCAATCCCACGCCAGCCACCATCTCATCTCATCGCACGGTCCCGACACGGCCAACCACCACGCCAATCCCCTCGCCCCCAAACCGTCCTCCCTCGCTCATCCCCGCTCCGATCCCCCGTCCTGACGGCAGTGGCGTCAAGCTAGGTCTGCTAGGCTACTCACTTCTCGTTTCTAAATATTCGCTTCCTGGCTTTGGCATATCATCCATTTCTTCCTGATCAGTTATCACTCCTTCAACCACTCTTGCCTTCTCAACTTCCCCCCTCCTTCCCTTCCCTTCCATTCCTTCGGCGGCTCCGTCAGACCAGGTAGAGGGTGTAAGCGAATCCGCTTGTCCTCGTACTGGGCTGGGTCTGAGGCGCTTAGGAATACGACGGGAATTCCCGCACCGGGTTGCTGCATTGTGTTTTTTTGGTCCCCCGAGCGAGTCCGGTTGGGTCATTCTCGTACTCTGATGTACGAGGAGGATGGGATGCAAGGGGGTATGTATGGGTTGGTTGGTTGGTTGGGTGGACAGAGAGGGTATCACGTGTTACCTTCTACATGGAGTCACGTGGTGTTTTGACCTAGATGCATCTGCATAAAACATAGTGCATATATGCAGGTTATGAAACCTAAAGTAATATATGTGATCTATACCTAGCTTTATAGCATAGTGCAAGAGAGCCTTAGCTAAATAGGGTACTAGAAAGGAAGGAACATTTCATCCCTATAGAGTCGATCGTTCCTTCCTTAGTTTGTCGGTCGTTCCTTCCTTAGTTTGTCGGTCGTTCCTTCCTTAGTTTATCGGTCGTTCTTTCCTCACGACGTCGGTCGTGCCTTCCCTTAGTAACTGTAAAACCCAAGGTGAGAAGGAACATTCCTTCTTTAAATAGTCGGTCGTTCCTTCCCTAACAAATGTAAAGTTTAAGGAAGGAAGGAACGCCCCTTCCCCTCTAGAGGTGGTAGGAGACCTAGAAAATTAGGTTCAGACAGCTCATTTACTAGCATATTCACCGTGCTAACGGACCCTCTAGTTTCCTCATATTTCTCACCTAAGCTGTCTACGTACTATAGTAGTATGCTCTTTCTCTATAATGTGGGGTAGACTAGTGGTTTCCTCTTTTCTCTACAATGTGGGGTAGTATCCTCTCTTTCTCTATAATGCGGGGAGACTGGTAGCTTCCTCTTTCTCTACAATGTGGGGTAGATGAGGTTCCCCATAAACTCGTCTGCCGCAGCAGTAACGTGAGCAGGTATCGACCATTGATAAACATCACCTATACTTCAACTTCGCACTAAGTGTCTATTGCACAAAGCGATCTTTTGTAGCCGTATATCACTTAGGCAGATCAAAGTTTAACCATGCTGTCTCATACTCTCTACACCCAGCTCTCGACAGCATTGCAAAAGCCGCTGCCATGCATTCTCATTGCTACTTCCAGCATCATAGCAGTACTCGTTCTCAGGTCCTTATTGCGAGATATCACTTCACCATTGAGAGATATCCCTGGGCCTTTTATAGCACGGTACACTCGTTTGTGGAAGCTCCGCGAGATATACAAGGGAGCTTTTCAGGAGACCAACATTGAGCTTCATAGAAAACACGGTGATTATTCTTTCCATAAGCTAGATAGCTCAGGTTAACATAAAACTCCCTGCTGACAGAGATCCAGGGCCTATTGTTCGTATTGCACCGAATGAATACAGTATCGATGATCCGGATGCGGTCAAAATTATCTATGGTCTAGGATCTCAATTCATAAAGGTGCCTACTACATTGCTCTCATAACGCTCCAAGCTGCCTGTTCAGAATCCGTATTCCATTTACATTGTTAATTCTTAACCCCACATTCAGAGCCCATGGTACACCGCCAGCGGCGACCCAGATCCTCATGGTACTCCTGACCTCTTCAGTGATCGTAATCCGACTCGCCACGCAGCCTCACGCCGTAAGGTAGCGTCAGCATATTCGATGACGGCATTGGCTCAATTAGAACCCCTCGTTGACGAATGTTATGTGGTTCTGCGCGACAGGTTTATGGAGTTCGCGGACCGCGGCAAAGTGGTCGATATGGCACACTGGATGCAATGTTATGCCTTTGATGTTATCGGAGAAATCACCGTAGGTTACTTATTTCCACTAGTACTCCCTCCCTTGTGAACCTCTCCTCTCTCTAATTCCGAAAATGAAATAGGTGGGAAAGCGCTTTGGATTCCTCGACCAAGGAGATGATATCGACGGCATCATGGCCGCAATCTCCCAATACCTCTCGTACGGTGCCATGGTTGGCGTCTACGCGGAATTCCACCGCTTTGCCGCAAAGCTGCTTTCTTTCCTTCCTCAGAAGCAGGGTGGTGGGATGGCCGCTATGGGTAAATTTGCAAACGCGCAGGTCCAGCAGAGGCTCTCGACGACGACAGCAGTCGACGGAGGTGATGACAAACAGCCCAATCAGAAAGGAGACTTTCTCAGCAAGATGCTAAACCTCCATCACGAAAACCCTGAAAAGATCACATTGAAAGATGTTTTCCTAACCTGCATCACCAACATCGGTGCTGGGTCCGATACCACATCCATCAGTCTCTGTTCTGTCTTCTATCATCTCTGCAAATACCCAGAAGTAGCACAAAAGCTACAGGCAGAGATCGACCAGAAAGCCGCGGCTGGCGAACTCGACGACCCGATCACATTCAAGCAAGCGCAGTCAATGCCATATCTCCAAGCCGTACTAAAAGAGGCATTGCGGATGCACCCAGCGACCGGGTTGCCGCTCGGCAGAGTCGTTCCCAGTGGCGGTGCGGAAATCGCTGGGAGGGCGTTTCCAGCAGGGGTTAGTTTTTTCTGCTCATAGTCTTCCCACCATGTTTGGGAAGTTTCCCTCAGGCTGACTGTTAACATTGATTGCAGAGCATCGTCGGTGTCAATTCCTGGGTTGCCCACGCCAACCAAGATGTCTGGGGTCCTGATGCGGCTGTGTTTCGCCCGGAGCGATGGCTGGTCGGCAAAGAGCAATATAACCTGCTCGATAGATACTATTTCACGGTTAGTTCAGACTTCAGACTTTCCCCACCCATTCCCTCCCCAGCTGCAGCGCTTGTTGGAAACCTGTAAGTGGTTGGAAGAGCTGACCTGGCGATATGATTAGTTTGGGATGGGCTCTCGGACATGCATTGGTAGGAATATTAGTCTCCTCGAGATGTCCAAGCTGGTACCGCAACTGATTCGCGAATTTGACGTTGAGCTTGAGCACCCGGGCGAGAAATGGCAAAAGATAAATAGGTGGTTTGTTAAACAAGAGAAATTCGGCTGTAGTATCAAGCGGAGGCAGCTTGTAGAACAATGATAGAAATTAGCTACATCTTGGTCAGCGATATGCATCGTGACCACCAAATTTTACAAGTACTTTTACATAGTAAATTATATGTAAAGTGACTAAAGGTAACAAAAATGGTAGAAATGTAGTAGAGATATTTTAATAAAGGCATATATACTATATACGTAATGACTTTGTACCAGCCCTCATACATCTTGCTCCTCGGTATGGTTGACTTTCACTATTCCTTATTCACTAGTCAATTCCCAAGAGCTCTCCTCTCGGGGCTGCTAGCCTAGTACCTATAGTCATCTCATCACACACTACTTCCGTCACAACCCGAGTGATTAACGTTACTCTCCGTGGATAGACCGAACAAACCATACTCAAAGCCTTGAGCCAGCTAGTCCGATTCGACCGCTCAACCGCTGTGCCGCTAGCTAGTAGGTACGAAGTAGGTCTCCGGATGCGCGGGAGTCGGCCGGCACTCAAGAGGGGCGAGGTGGGGTTAGGATGCATGCATGCACAGTATGGACGCGCTGGCTGGCTGGATGGGCACGGGCGGGATGGAGGGGATGCAAGAGAGAGATATGGTATGCGTGGGAGTACGGAAGTTTGCCGGCTGAGTGAGGGGAGGGGGAGTGAGTGAGACATCTAGGCATGCAGACAGACGGAATGGCTGATTGACTGACTGATAGGTAGCCAGTGTCGGCGCGCACGGGATGTGTGGTTGGCTGGTCGCTGTCGGTGGCGGCTTTCGGGGATGTAGGGAGGAGGGAATATGTAAGGCGCGGCGGTGACGGTGAGGTAAGTAAGTAGGTGAGGTGAGGTGAGGATGCTGACACTACACCGCAGGGAGGATTGGTCATCTACGGTGGTTGGTGGATGATTCACGCGGTGTAGGGGGATGTGATGGGGTTAGTGTTACTGTGTAGCACTCTAACTGAGCTGTAAGTAGACCGCCGGGCCGCCGAGATGCGCGTAGGACACGGTGCATGAGACCACGTCGTCGTTTGACTCAAAGAGGGGAAGTTGGAGTTAGATGTTGGGGGTATTTAGACGCCCGGTTGCCGCTCACTGCTGGAGTAGTTGAGTTGAGTTGATCTTGACGGCGGGACGGAGACGGACTGGGTCTTTTTGATAGCCGGTATGCATACATACATACAAACATATTGGACTCATAGGGCTGTGTACTCTTCTCGATTGATCCACCTACCAACGACCAACGACGACGGCAGTACCAACGGAAACGAGAACGCACGCACGCAGAAAGTGGGAGCGGATACGAGAGAGATATTGCGACGATCGACGGTACTGGATTTGTTAATGTCGCCTTACCTTACATACAATTACTAAATCCTTCGATCTCCAATCCATTCCGGAGATCCCGGCAGCGCGGTTCGGACGGTTGCTGTACGTACTGTACTGTACTGTACTGTACTGTGTGTGGTACTGTATGACCATATCTCGATCGACCTCCGCCAGTGCCGCCCTCCCATCCCTCTCTCCGGCTGTCGGATCCCCGGTTCCTCTTCTCTCTCTCTCTTTCTCTCTCGCAAGCTACTGCTGCTGAGATTTAAGTAATCACGTTCGTCCGGGACGGCGCTGGGAGCTTCCATCTTCATCATCATCTCTGTCCGATTCATTCTCACTTCGTCGGATTAGCGATTAGCTAGAGAACACAAACCACCTACCAACCTACCCACCTACCTACAGTACCTACAGCTCTCTCTAATCACCAGCGATCTCGGATCAACCACTCAGTTCAGTGACCTGCGACGAAAACGGTCGTTCGCAGTTTCAAAGACTCACACCTCCCCCGCTACGTCACTGACGACTCAACCCCAACCACGCCGCGACGAGCAAACGTCCGTGGCGGGTGTCTCACCCGCGCCAACCACCCCGCGCGAAAGCTTATAACGGGGTGTGTGTCCGTCTCCGCCCGCGAGCGTTGGGCGAGGTCACAAGAGTTTCATCTCTCTTTTTTCCATTTGCGAATCGTCGTGCCAAGAGAGGTGATAGCTGTTGAACGGCTCCTGCATTGTTGGAAGTGAGAAGAGAGTAAAGATTCAAGCGAGGAGAGAGTTGGATCTCGAATGAGGTTTGACGATACGACGCAACAACTACGATACCCAACCTCAATAGAGGGACGCAAGAATACCATGGCATCACGAGACACATCACCATCCCCGTCGCCATGGCGCTGGCCTTCACTTTCTAAAGATCGGTTCGTCTTCCTCCTCTGCCCTCCCCATCCACAACACACCCATATGAGCCCCCTCTCAAGATAAAAACACGACTAACACCCCCATCCAGCCTCATCACCCTCCTCGCCGCCGACCTGCTACTCCTCACCAGCGTCCTCACCACGCTACTCCTCCCGCACATCCCCTCACCACTACTATACCCAGTCTGGGGTCTCGCAAAGACCTACGCGATCTACCTCCAACTTCTGATCCTACCGTGCCTCCTCGGAATCTGGGGTGCCGTAAAGGTATGTACTCATTCCCTCCACTCTCACACGCCCTACCTCCTTCTCCGATCCCTCTCCCGACCCCTCCACCCTCCACCACCCCCCAGCCAAAAACAAGACCACCAAACTAACCCCCCCCCCCAGGAATCCCCCCTCCCAACCCACATCCTCGCCTCCACCCTCCTCCTCGACGCCCTCCTCTCCCTCCCCCCCCGCCTCCTCCTCCTCGCCTCCCTCGCCCGCGCCCCCGCCGGCTGCGGCGCCCCCGGCACGCCCGCACAGGGTATAATCTGGACGCGCTGTGCGGACGCGGCGATAGGGCCGATTGTTGTTGTTGTTGTGGTGGTGCTCGGGAGTGGGCTGGAGGCGTGGGGGGGGTGGTGGGTTAGGGGGTGGGGGAGACGGTTGGGGGTTGAGCAGAGGAGGGGGAGGAGGGAGAGGGAGGAGGAGGGGGGGAAGGAGATGTTTTGTGATGAGGTTTAGGGTTGGGGAATGAGTATGAGGGTGGTGGGTGAGGGGAGGTTGAAAATTGCTTGGACTTGGGAATTTGGCGTGAGATTTGGGGGTGAGCTTGAGGCGTGGGATAGGACTGGACTGAAGGGGATGGGATGGGGCGTTATTTTTGCCGAGATATACTTGCTGCTGGCTGCTTATGAATTATGATACCCTTCTCTGTCGCGAGTTCTCCGCAGTGTTTGTGTGCCTGATGGCGATGCGTGTGGTGGTCTGGTGATACTTACTCACCTCCTACCTTACATACTCACGCTGTTCTCACATCCACAGTATCATCCCAGCCATCATCGCGTATCGTCCCAGCGTCCTCCATCACATCACCTCACTCCATACCCACATACCTCACCCCATACCCAGCCAGCAGCAACCAAACAATCAACAAACCCTCAAACAAAACCACCCATCCAATCTAATCCAACTTACCTTACCTCACTCCCCCTCCAGCCTCACACCACCCACCACGGCGCCACACCCTCCCCAGCCATATATCCAGCCACACAGCACCTACCTCTCATGTAAGGGCCGTCCGTGAACGCGTGGGACGTGCGCCTGGCTACCAGCGTGCGTGCTGTAGTGCAGTGCACCAGCGTAGGTTCGTGCGTCTGGCCGTCCGCCACCGGGCTGTTCATGCGCTGAACAGTGCAGCAGCAGTAGTGAGTGGTTCGAGCTCGCATCGTATCGGATTTGGGGGTTGGTATATTGGCTGTGGCTGATGGTACGGGGTCTGGGTGATGTCTGTCTGTGGTGTCTGTAGTGTAGTGATCCGGGAGAGAGGTCAAGATGAAGGGCGAGAAGAGTCTTAATAACACCTCGGCATCGATACCCCGACAGCGAGGTTATGCCAAGATCTTCCTCTTCTTCTTCTTCTTCATCTCCCACTCACTCATTCATCTCATCGGGGAAAGCGCGGTTATTAACTGTCCACACCCCCCAGCTCATCCCCATCCACCCCCCCTCCCACGCACTATCCCCCATCCATCCCCATCTCTCTCCCAGCGGCGCTACTCGACTAGCGCGCCAGTTCTCTTTTGTCTGGTAGTGGTGGTGGTGTGTGTGTCTGCGGTCCGAGGTAGGATTGGATAAGTTCTCTGAAGGCCCTCGTACCTGTACCTCTTTGCCAATCTATTTTGGTAGGGGAACTGGTGGACGGGGCGGGAGAAGCGAGGTAGAGTGACCTTCCGAGACGGTCCTTTTTTCGTTAGAGAGGGTGGTGGCTTGGCGGGGTGTGGCCGATGGGATGGAGGGACACGAGGGGTGGATTTGGGGTTGGGGGTGTGGCAGAGGAGGGGAGGTGAGAGATAGACCTTCCTGATGCGGGATTTTGGGGTGGGAATAACAGATGTGTTATGGGAGGTGGATGGGAGATGGGGATGGGGATGGAGTAGTTGGATCTTCAGCTTCTTTGTGGTGGTGATGGGAGGGGAGGGAGAGGAGAGGAGGTATTAAGTGGTTTGTTTGAGTTGCTGGTTATGGATGGATGAACACCCTCGGGCGTGTGGCTTTACTCTACTATTTCCTACGGGAGCTACGAGAGTACTAAACGCACACCTCCTCCAGCTTGCTGTGTGGCTTTACTATACTGCATTATACTGCCAGACGCACACCCCTTTTGGCTTGTGGGTGGGTGGCTTTGGTGGTTGACTGATTTTACGGTGATTGATGCTGGGTTGTTACATGCACACCCTCTCGGCCTCTCCATGTGTGTCCATTTTACTTCACTCCCCCAACTACTGTATACTGATACTACTATTACTATTACTACACTGATTTCCCTTTCGCTAGAGACACCCCCCTCCCTCCCCTTCCACCTCGTGTGCTTTTGCTTCTTCTTTGCTTCTTCTTTGCTTCCTTCTTTCCTTATTCGCGCCTATTACATTCTTTCTCCCTCTTCTCCCCTTCTCCTCCCTCTTCTCCTCCCCTTACCCGCTCTCACCCGCCCATCTCTATTACAGAGGAGTAAAACACTCAATCACGAATTCACGAACTCACAAATATATGAATAATCCTAATATTCCCATTGGCCACATCCCTAAATACCTCTCATCTCCCACTCACTGTCACTACACCCACTCACACTCTGTCACTATCACTCTCTCCCTTACTACATCCACCCCCTCACTCTCCCTCTCTACATCCACACCCACACTCCTTACCACTTGCCGCCTTTATATCCCTCTTTATTTCCCACTTCTCTATACACACACCCTCCGCCCACCACTCTACTCTCCCCAAATTACACCCACTTTCACCCTCCTTACCCTCCCATTACACCCCATTACACCCATCACACCCTTTACAACCCTATTACACCCTTCTACAACCCTACTTCTCACTACATTCACCCCCCATCCCATCTCCCTCATCCCCCATCTCTTCCATCCCCCCACCCCCTATCCCTTCCCATTTTCCCTTTCTCCTTCCCTCCACCCCCCCCCTACCCGGCCCGTCCAATTCAATCTCGGTAAGTCCAAAAACCTGCAACGTTCATACACCACTGTACACCAAAAAAAAGTGTGTCCACCGCACTTATCCGTTCTCGCTCTCGCTCTCTATTCTCGCTCTCCGCAATTCAACACCACCACCCAAACATTTTTCTTCTATTTCCGCTTCCCCCCTTCCTCTCCTCCCTCCCCCCCCTCCGAACATTATAACCACCCAACCAACGAAAACGTGACCTACTCTCTCCCGTCGTTACCCTCCGACTACTCCTCTATTGAATCTACTCTCTTCCTCTCTCTCTGTCTCCCTCTTCTACCTCTCCGTCTCTCTCCTACGACTCTCCGACTTCGACCTCCCGTCACCTCCACCAACCTCAACCTCATCTCCCGCGCGCGCGCTTCCGTCTCCGTCCCTCCCGTTCGGCTATGTCTTACTACGATAACCAGCAGTGGCCAGCCACCGCCGCCGGTCAGGCCACCTGGGAACACCAGACCCCCCCCGCGAGATCAGGTAAGGAGGACCACCCTGCAACCCCTCCAGTTCGCCGGAAGGGATGATGGATATGGTGTCGCTGACTTATGCTCTGTACAGGTGCCAGCTCCGTCGCGCCGCGCGAGGACTCAACCGCCTTTAGCTCCCAGTTAGAGGGTACGTTCGCAAAACCCCAAGACCCCTACACAATACAATATACTTCGTGGAAAAAATATGCCCGAGACGGTTACGGCGCAGCAAATGGTCGGATGCTGTATATGCAGCGTACCGGCTGTTGCGCTGCGCGATGGGATCACCACTTCGAAATAAAGTTCAGGGGCTAATACTATACCAGAGGTCGACCGTGCGATCGAGAACCTCTTCAAGAGCGGGAAGGCCTTCAGCGCTCCAGCCCGCCGGGACTCAGCGCCCATCGGCGCACCCGCGCGCTCCTTCCCCGAGCAATACTGTGCGTCCCCCTTGCGTCCCCCTTGCTTCCCCCCTACCTACCACAGAACCACCCACTGACCCCTCCTCTAGCCGGTCCACCACGCCACAACTCCGTGAGCGGAGGCGCCGGCGGTAACGACTTCAGCGGCGACGCGCGCTCCTTCTCGGCGTCGAACCTACAGTCCTTCTACGCGACGCAGCGTCACCAGCCGGCGCGCGGCGCCAGCGAGGCCGAGCAGGTGCTCCAGGCCAAGAGGCGCATGGCGGCGCAGCGCGAGCGCGAGCTCCGCAACTACCACCAGGAGCAGCAGTATAACCGCAGTAGGCCTCCCTCTTCTCTCGAGTAATCGAAATGGCATTTTTCCCCCTCCCTCCTCTTCTTCACAGATGGTGGCTGGCTTTGGCTTTCTTTGGCGGTTTCCTTACGGTTTCCTTTGTGGCGAATGTGCACGCATGTCTTTTCTTACCTCTACTGTTCCCTGGGCGTGTTCCCGGGCTTGTTCCTGGGGACACTGCCTCTTATCTCCTTTCTCCTCTCACCACCCCATTTCTCACCCGCCCCCAGCCCAATAACCGCTTCCCACTTCCCTCACCCCTGGATACCCCCGTCTCACCATAATTGAACACACGCTGACATCACCGCAGCCGCCCTCGCCGAACTTTCCGCCTTTGGTACCAAGCCGGACCGCGCTCTCTCCCCCTCCACGATGTCTGACGACTCGCGCCGCGACCTGATTGCCCGCCAGCGCTCTGCCCTCTACGGCGACTCCACTTTCCCCGAGGGCTCCTTCGTCGATGAGAACGGCGTCACCCGCCAAGCCACCCCCGCCCAGCCCGGCCGCGGCCACTCCCCCCTCGCCTTCGAGGCACCGGCTCCCAAGGACGCCGCAGCTGGCGCAGTGGGCACCCCCGCCGAGGAGCGCTCAAGCCCATTCGAGAACCGCGGCGCCAGCGGATCCCCGGCTGCGAACTCGCCACCTAACGCTAAGGGGCAGTCTGGAAGCGTGGCACCCATCGGCACCCGCCCAGCAGCAACTACTGCGAACTCTAGCAACTCCACCGCTACCACCGGCACAACTACCCCCACCACCTCCTCCACCGCAGCGCCTAACCAAGCAACCGCCCAAAAGGGCCGCACTACCCCCCTCCCTTCCCCGCTGAGCTACGGCTTCGGCGCCCCAGCGGCACAGGAGAAGGGCGAGGATGCCAAGGAGGGCGCTTCGAACGCGCAGGGCGGCAACGGAAACGGTAACGGAAACGGCGGAATGGGATGGGGCAAGGGCGCTGGTGGCGGCGTCTGGGGCAAGGGCTCCCTCGGCGTGCAGGCCAGCGTCTGGGGCTAGACGTTGCGTGTAAGAGAACTTGATTCTATCGGTGTCTGGGTTTTCTCACTGCGTTACCTGGATGGTATGGGGGTATACGGGAGTCGACTTGTTTTGTTTGTTTGGGCCTGGATATGGCGGGGTGTAGGTCTCTTGTCGTCTGATTTGTTTTTGGCTGCGATTGCCGGACGGATGGGGTGTCTGTCTGGATTGGTCTCTTCCGAGGCTACCTTTTTAATATGGGATGGTGACTGATGGGTGGGGTGGATCTTTTATTTTCCTTATCCAGGCGCGTCGGTGTGCGTGGTGGAGGGGTTGCTGTCATTGTCATGGGGAGTCGGTGAGAACGAAGCAAGAAGCAGCATGGGCGGAAAACGGGGAGGCGGGAAAGAGAGAATCAACGTATAGTAGAAACGGAGGGGCATGGAAATCTGGGTTATAGGGATAGGGATTTGCACAACGGGAATGGGATTTCATTTTGTTTTTTATCGGGTTGTTTTTGGGAATCTTGGGGATCTTTTGGGCTGGGCTTTGTTTTTTTTTGGGAGGGGAGATTGTTGGGGATACTAAGGCGGGGGTACATATTACGTCGTCCAAGGTGGACCTTCTTTAAGAAACAACAAAAAAATAAGGATATTTTCGGGATTTTTGGGGTTCTTTTCCTTGGTTAAGGTGGGAGTTTGGAGGTGAACTTGGAGTGCTGGTGATGATCTGGCGGGTTGTCTAGGTCAGGGTTTTTGGGGATGAGAGACTATTTTTGGTGCATGTGAGGCCTAGGAAGGGCGACTGAGGGTCTACAGTGTGTATTGTAGAGTATATGATACTCATTTTGTATGGATTTGTACGCATTATCCTGAGTCTGATGTTTCGCTCTCTCTCTCTGGTTGATATCCGGAAATTCTAGGAAATATATTTGGTCATCTCGGAATACATATTTTCCGTCTCCGCTCTACTAACAATTTCGCTGGTCTCTTGTTTTCTCTTGGCTTAGTCATACCAATCCCTTGGCTTAGTCATAAAATACATCATCGGGCTCTGACGCACACTCCTGGCGTGTGGCTAGATTTATTTGGGACCCCGCCAAAGCTTATCTACTATCGGCAACAGGGAAAAACGAAATGCTTCGACTTTCCATTTTGTGCTTGATAATCAGCGAATCCTGACCAACATCCTCTTCTCTCTCTCCCCCGTCTCACCGTTTGCCTCCTCTTGAATTACAAAAAGTGCACTTCAAAAGGGCACATATCCTCTGTTGACATCCATCACTCTGCAAAGACTGTTCATACTTTTCTCAAAACCGACCCCGCCACCACCGCAAATATGTCAGCCACCAACCCCTACGATGAGGACATCTCCGACGAAGAGCCCGCCATGCTCGGTGAGGATGAGGCCCTCGAGGAAATCGCGGGTGAAGACGACACAGCCATGGACTCCGGCGATGACGGGGGCGACGATGCCGGCGAGGACGCAGACGGCGACCAAGCCATGGAAGAATACACTCTCCACAACGACAGCGTCGGCCACTTCGACAACTTCCGCGACTCGATCTTCTGCATCGCTGCCCACCCCATCGTCCCCTCCCTCATTGCCACCGGCGGCTCCGACGGCGACGACGCAGGCGGAATCGGATACCTCTTCGACTCCACCCCCGCCGACTCCCCCGTCCTCCCCGAAAGCTACCAGACCCAACCCGCTGAGCGTATCGAGCGCAAGGGAATCGACGCCATCTCTACCCTAGACGGCCACACCGACTCCATCAACGCGCTCACCTTCACGCTCCCCTCCGGCGCGGCACTGCTCTCCGGTGGTCTCGACGGCGCTCTCCGCGTCTGGGTCCCATCAACCCCCTCTAACCCCCTCTCCCCCTGGACCCTCCTCACCTCCGCCACAGAAGTCGACGAGATCAACTGGCTCTCCGCATCCCCCTCCCCAGACCACCCCAACACCTTCGCCCTCGGCGCCGCCGACGGTTCCGTCTGGGTGTACACCGTTGACACCTCCGCGCCTGCCGCCGACTCCCTAACAATCATCCAAACCTACTTCGCTCACACGACCCCCTGCACCGCCGGCGCCTGGTCCTCCGACGGCAGCGTCCTCGCCACCGTCTCCGAAGAGGGTAGTCTCTACGTCTGGGCCCCCTTCAGCGACACCAGCTCCCAAGCCATCGTCTCCCTCACCGCAGCCGACGCGCGCTTCGCCGTCGAAGGCGGCCTCTTCAGCGTCGCCATCGCCCCAACCGGATCGTACGTCGCTGTCGGCGGCGCCGGCGGCGCAATCAAGATCGTTGGGCTCCCAAAGCCCGGCGCTGCGCCAGCGAAGGGCAAGAAGGCTGGTGGACCTGGTGGAGCGACGCAGGCGGGTGTTATTCTTGCGGATCTGCGCGCGCAGTCGGATAGTGTGGAGAGTTTGACGTTTGCGGCGCCGCCGTCGACGGTTATGGCGGCGGGGAGCGTGGACGGGAGTATTGTGCTGTTTGACGCGGCGAGGAGGTTTGCGGTGAAGAGGCATATTAGGGAGGCGCATGCGGAGGATAGTGTGGTGCAGGTGGCGTTTATGTCGAGGGATCCGAAGATTTTGGTTAGTAGTGGGATGGATGGGGTGGTGAGGAGGTGGGATACTGGGGGTGCGGGGGTGGGACAGAGTGGGTTGGTGGGAGAGTGGAGGGGGCAGGGAGGGGGGGTGTTGGCGTTTGTGGGTAGTGGAGGTAGGGTGGTGACGGCGGGGGATGATGGAGTTTCGTTGGTTTTTGAGGAGAAGTAGTGAGGTGTGAGGGGGGTTGGTGGAGTTTAGTACTTTATATAGGAAAATGGATAGATGGATGACTACTTGTTCATGATGAGTCTACTTTGGTTTCTGCTTGCAATCTTTAACATCAGACTCGTTTGCCACACTTACCTTCCTTTCTGAAATCACAATCTTATGCAGCCTAGTAGGCGTTGCAAACCTCCTTGGGGTAAAGATAATGGAGAAGGCGTAACAAGCCACTTACGAAGAAATAGGAGGCTGATCCTACCGTTCATCGAGGCAATAGAGGACTGTCCTCACAACTCAACCCAGCAACGACGAGGGAAATGTATGCAGAACTAGGGAGAGCTAGAGTCAGCCGAACGGCAAATAAAACTCAATGTTACGAAAGGACGTTAAGAGATACGGAGATGCGCTGCCTTAGAGCGGGTATTGTGATGTCCGAGATGTCAAAAAGGACGCCTTCGGCGGATTTCCACGCCAGAACTAGCACGAGGCCATCCCCGACTTGGGTATGAGGATGACTATGCTGTCGTCATTCCGAACCCTGTCGCTGCCACCCTCTTATCATTACTGCCCTCCTGTCACCGTCACCCTGCTGTCACCGTCACCCTGCTGTCACCGTCCTGTCGTCGTTGGGCCCCTGTCACCTTCACTCCTCCTGTCGCCTCGACTACGATGCAATAAGGCGGCCGTATTCCTTAATTCCGGTGCGAATCATAATCAACTCCGTCGAAATATGGTGCCAATTCGTCCCGTGCGCTGGGGTAGATCGCCTCGGACGATACCCTGGATGACCTCCAAGTCCATGCTAGTGAGGATCTCAAGGATCAGGGTTGCCCGTGCAGCGCCCTAATCGTCTGTCTTTGAGCCATAAAGCAAGCTATTCCACCACTCGCCTTACAGGACGTGGTGACCCTTAAGCTTTGAACTCTCATGAGACACAATATGGGTCTCACTTAAGGGGCATGGGAGACAGTAGAAATGTAGAAAAAAGAAACTTGTAAAGAACGATATATCACTTCTCCTCCCCCTCCTTCAAACCAGCTTTAATCTGCTCCTCCACCTCCACCTCCTCACTTGCCTCCTTCTCCCTCCTCCTCACCCCATCATCCTCTCCCTCACCCTTCTCACTCTCACCCCCTTTATCACTCCCCCCCTCCTCCCCACGCATAATCTCCTCCACCATCCTCTTCCCCTCATCCTTCCCATTCACCCCCCCACAATTAAAACACCTCCACTCCCCCACCTCCTCCACCCTCTTCACCCCCGGCGGCGCCTGCCCATTCACAAGTCTACAGTGCGAGCACAGCAGGACAACCCTGTTCTTCGGGTGCGTCTCGTCCTCGCCCAGCAGCACGTCCAGGATGCGGTCGTACCATTGTCCTCCCCCACCTCCTCCGCCGCCGCCGCTGCTGCTGTCGAAGCTAGCACGGGAACTGAAAGCGTTAGGTGCGAATTCCGCGCGTGGTTGCGAGGGGATATGCTGCTGTTGTAATGGCGTGGACGGCGCAGATTGGCGAACCTGCTTCTGCAGTGCCTGCGCGAGGGGCGACATCTCCGCCAGTGGCCGCTGTGGCGGCAGCTGCTGCGGCGTCGCAGGCTGGGAGCCAGGGCGCTGGATATTCGCCGTTGCGGGCGGGGCAATGCTGGTTCGTGCCGGTTTGCGGGTGGATTGGTGCTGCTGTGCGTGTGTGAAGGATCCAGGGCCGGTGGTGGAGGGTTTTAGTTTCGGTTTGGGGGCTGGGGTGACGCCGCCGTATTTCTCGAGGAGTTGTTGGGTGGAGTTGTATTTTGTGGCGGTCTTGAGCTTGTCGATTGTCTTGGTGCGGTCGAGTTGGTATTCTTCGAGGCGGCGGGTGGCGGTGGAGATGCGGTAGGTGTAGTAGGAGGAGATGGCGGCGCGGACGAGGTACATGCTGGAGAGGTTGTTAGAAGAGGGAGAGGGTTTGGGGATTGGGGGGTGAGGATGGGGGGGGCGTACATGAGAGGGCTGCCTGCGACGCCAGTGTATTCAGCGGCGCCCCAGTTGCGCCATCCGACGACGAGGGCGAGGATTATGACGCAAAGGATGTATGCGAAGGAGGTGTATAGAGTCCATAGTGCTATGCGTCTGCGAGAGCGTTGGTTTAGGGTGTCCAGCTGCAATTGTGCCTTTGTGATCTTTTCAGACAGCGCAGACAGGGTCTTCTCGAACGAGGCTGGGGAGGCATCTTCGCCCTGGTTGAAAGGTTAGTAGGGAGGACACAAGGCGGGAGCAGTGGCCGTACCTTCCAAGGCCATAGTGAGACCATTATGAGGATGAGCCGGCGAGATTCGAGCAGCTTCTCTGCTTCATCGTCGGCATGACAGAGCGGCAGAAGTTTGTTGTTGTTCAATTGGTTTTTTGACGCGGATAAGATAGAAGACAGACCGTTGTCAACTTGGTCTGCTGTACGTACTTACGTACTTTCAAGGTTGCATCATAGGGCTAAAAGCTGACCCGTAGCAGCTCCCTGGTCCAAGCGTCCCTCGTTCCCCGGAGCCAAGCAGTTACACTTCCTTAAAGCACCCTCTGGCAAACATGCGCGCGTCTTCACACTGACGTTTTGTTCACATTTAAAATATTCGCCTTTAATGTTTGCGCGGCTCTGAAGAATGCGCCGTTGTTGAGTTGGACTGGCTAGCTGGCTTTCACAGAAGTCAGAATGTTCCAAGTGCGTTGCCCTGGGCCACCTGACTCTACTACAGCTACACAATACTAACTGCCACGCAGCGGCTTAAAGGCGCCATTGATTCGAGAATAGCGGAGGAGCAAGCAAAGGCAAAAGCAGCAGGCACACCTGCCACGGGCTCAGGAACAGTATCAAGGTCGAACTCTGCAAGAGCCGACCCTACGAAGCGGACGAAGCCCAAGACCAAGGTCGTCGATGACGGTGCAAGGGGCCCGGACCCGTCGGAATTCGAATCGGCTTTTGTGATTGACGACGACGAGGACACGCCAGAATCTACACGCAGTGCCACACCACTGGTTACAGAGGGCAAAGGAGCTACAACTACAATGGCGGGAAAGAGCAGTCCTGCACCTGCGGCTGTGGCCAATGGCGAGGGGGTGAATGAGAAATCGGAGGCTGTGCCGAAGTCAACTACGCCTCCACCGACCACGACTGCAGCGACAGAACTGCCGATGGAGGTGCGGCAGAAACTACGAAAACTGGAGAAGCTGGAATCACGATACCAAGAGCTGCTCCGGTCGTACCGCATCGCTCATGCGCGCGCTGTGTCGATCGAGCCGTTTGAGAAGACGCTGAAGGAGAATACACCGCTGGTTTCCATCAGCGAGCCGGAGGCGTTGGTGGAATACCTGAACCAGCTGAACTTGAGGGGGGATATGGTCATGGATGAGCTGAAGCGGGTGACCTCTGACCGCGACCTCTACAAGAAGAAGTTCGAGGAGGCAGAGAGGGAAGCTTCCGATGCACAGGCCGAGCTTGAGGCTTTGAAATCTAGCGAGGGGGTTAAAGCAGCTAAGGAGTCGCAACCCGAGGAGCAAGCGAAGGCCACCGACTCGAAAGCTCAGGCAGATGTGAAATCGCCTGCCTCATCAGTGTTCAAGATCTTCTCCCCGAAGCAGAAGCCTACCGAACCCGAAGGCGCATCCGAGGATTTCTTCTCCTATGACGAGGAGATCCCGCAATTACAATCTGAGCTCCAAGCCAAGACGACTGAGATTGAGACTTTGAAATCCGAGGTTGTGGTACTCCAGAAAGACCTGGACGCCTTCAAAGAGACAAACGAGGGCCTCTCTACGACCGTGCAATCATTAGAGCGACAAGTCAGTGAAGCTTCAGAAAAGTCAGCATCCAACTCTGCACGCCAGGAAGAGCTGAAGGAGCTTCAAGGCAAGCTCGATGCCTCCACAAAGTCCATCTCGGAGCTCCAGGCGAAGATCACGGAGAAGGAGAAGGAGGGAACCGATGCTGCCTCGTCTAAAGCCGCCGAGCTAGAGAAGTCTCAAGCTACTATCGACCAGCTAAAAAAGGAATTGAAAGACCTGCAGGCGCTACAGGATGGCGACAAGAAGAAGATCAAGGTCCTGGAGGGCATCGTGGCTACGCTGAAGAAGAAGGGCGAGGCTGCCGAAGTTGCTTCTGCCAAAGCTGAGCCCGAAAAGGTTGTAGCGCCCATGACAACACCCGTCACGGCCGAGAGTGCGGCTCCTGGTGCAGCGAAGAAGAAGAACAACAAGAAAAAGAAGAAGGGCGCCAATGCAGGCAAGGACACCCCTGCCGCTGCCACAGAGGCACCCCAAGAACCGACCGAGGCCGCAACTCCCGACGCTCCCACCCACGACCTGGAAGCCGAAGTCGAGAAACTAAAGGCCGAAGTCGCGTCACGAGACGTGCAGATCGAGAAACTCCAGAAGCAGCAGAAGAACGTCGAGACCATGCGCGAGAAGATCGATGAGCTGGAGGAGAACTACCTGCAAGTCGGCCACGAGCACGTCGAAGCCAAGCAGAAGATCAAGGAGCTGGAAGCCGAGAAGAAGGTCCTCCAGCAAAAAGTCGACGTCCTGGAATCCTCCATCTCCTCGCAGATCGAGCACCAAGAGAAAGCCGGACAGGCTGAGGCGAGTCTCAAGTCCATGACTAGCGACCACGACGAGCTGAAGACGAAGCTGTCGACTCTACAGAGCGACCTCGGCGCCGCGGAGAAACTCGCATCCACGCGGTACAAAGAACTCACCGACCTCCGCGACGTCCTTCAGAAGGCGCAACCCGAGCTCAAATCCCTGCGCACCGAGAACGCGGCCCTGAAAACTACAAAAGACGAGCTAGTCGCGCGGACGGCGGAGCTGCGCAAGCTAGAGGCGCGAGAGCGCGAGCTCAGGAGCGACGTGGGCAGTTTCAAGAAGCAGGCCAGCGAGCGCGAGACGGAGGTTAAATCCCTCCAAGCCCAGCTGACGAGCGAGACGAACGGGCGCGTCAAGGCCGAGGACACGGCGCGAGTTGCGGGCCGAGACCTGCGGCGCGTGGAGGCGGAGAAGATCGAGCTCTCTGCTTCTGGGGAGAAGGCTGCTAGGGAGCTAGGCGCGGTGAGGGAGGAGGCAGTCAAGCTGCGCGGGAGGGTGAGGGAGCTTGAGGCGGAGGTGGGGAGGGTGGGGAGGGAGAGTCGCGAGGTTAGGGCGGAGATGGAGTTGAAAGCCAGCCAGTACAGCTCGGCGCAGAGTTTGGTGGGGAGTATGCGCGATCAGACGGCGGAGATGGCGATGCAGCTTAAGGAGGCGAAGGAGGCTGCTGAGAGTCTGGAGGAGGAGCTGGGGGAGGTGCAGAGATTACTGACGGAACGGACGAGGGAGGGGGAGACGATGAGGAGGTTGTTGTCCGACGTTGATGAGAGGGCTGAGGCGAAGGTGAGGGAGATGAGAGAGCGAATGGAGGCGGCTGTTGAGGAGCGCGATAGGGCGGAGGAGGAGGCTGCGACGGGGGGCCGGAGACGGGCGAGGGAGGCGGATGAGTTGAAGGGGCGTGTGAGGGAGGTGGAGCGGGAATTGAAGCGCGCGCTTGAAGATCGGGAGGAGCTGGATCGTGAGGCAAAGGAGGTGAAGCGCCGGAGGGACGAGATGGAGGGTGTTAGTGCGCGAGCGGCGGGCGAGGTGCAAGAGGTCAGGGCGGCGATGGAGGAGCTCCGCACGGCGCTGGATGGGAGCGAGAGGCAGGCGCGGGAGGCGGAGAAGGGGAAGGTCGATCTGAGAAGGCTGTTGGAGGAGGCGGGGGGGAGGTATGAGAAGTTGGCTAAGACGCTGAAGGCGAGGGAGACGAGGTTGGCGGAGCTGACGGGGGCGGGGAGACGGGTGTCGGGGGAGTTTGGGGGGAGTAGTAGGGGGGCGTCGCCGGCGGGGCAGGGGGTGAGCGATGTGCAGTATTTGAAGACGGTGTTGTTGCAGTTTTTTGAGCAGAGGGATCGGAAGTTGCAGCAGCAGCTGGTGCCGGTGTTGGGGAAGTTGTTGAGGTTTGATGGGTGAGTATTTTTTCCTTTTCCTGTGGAGGGTGGGTGGATGAGATGGGGATGGGTTTGCTAACGTGGGGTTTGTAGGAATGATGAGAGGAAGTGGAATGCTGCTATTGCTGCGAAGTAGGGGGTTGGTGGGGGAGTAGGAGGGGAGGGGAGTGTGATTTAGTGTAATATATGTGTGTGTGTGTGTGTGTGTGTGTGTGCTGTGTAGATAGGGGGTGGATTGGGGTTACAGCATCGGCATGAGCATGAGCATGAGCATCGGCGTCGGCGTCGGCCTTGACCTTGTTCTGGGATGGGTATGGTAATGGGGAATAGGAATATATAAGAAAGGAGGGGGGTTGTAAGGGTACATAAATGGATGTTGTTTGAATATTGCGGTGAAGGGAGGGGTGGGAAATGAAGACTGAAGTGAGGGAGGGTTGGCGGTTGAGTGGGAAGTGTGAAATCTGTAAATATCGAGGGGAGGGAGGGGTTAGAAATGGTCCCTTGAGGGTCTCTGCATCACCATCACTTCGAGGTATCATAGGTGGTCTTGAGTTTGAGGGAGGGTCTAGCTACAGCATGTATTGTTATACTTGTACTATACCCCAGAGCATCACGACTGCATTGGGGTTGGTTGGTCGTGGAGGTGTAGACCAATGTATCCTTCAGCATGAGCTATCTATATAGATATAGTAAGTATGACAATTACTGGATCAGGAGAGGTTACTCTACCACAATACACCGTCATTGCTAGAACTTAACTTAAGCTTCCCAGCAGCTGTTCAGGTAGAAGTTAAACGTCAGACGCTGATCAGGGACTGTTCCTGGGAGTGACTGACAACGGTGGCTGAATACATACTTAGATATAGATAGTAGTAGCAGTAGTAGCTAAGTGTACGTGGTGGTGGTAATAAATACGTACGTCGTGGGTATTGGTATGGGTATGGGTACCTCTAAGCACCTCCTCCACCTCCCTCTATAATAAAAACTTGGAAGAAGGAGCAGGGAGGCGTTGACATAACTAAAAGCTACATCCACCAGTACATCACCCCACCACCCACCAAAGCAGCAAGACGCAGGTACCACCCCAACCGAGCGCGATGTACTCTTTCTCTAGCTTTCTTGTCCAAGTTTCTAGCGCCGATGTTTTTCTTGTTAGCAAGCTGTAAACTGTTTTCGTCCTGACTGACCGCCCTGTGCCCTGGGTACTGTTAGTGGTACTGTTAGTTTTTCTAGCTGTACTGGGTACCCGCAGGTTGCGCTCGGAGGGTAGACGGAGCTCTGTACTGGATACCTTGGTTAAGACTAAAGTGACGACAGAGGCATGTTTTTGGGAGGGGGGGTTGTGCTGGTCTGCTCTGTTCTGGTCCCTCTTGGTCCCTCTGGTCGCACTCTATAGCTGTCTGTCTACCATAGTAACTACTTCTACTCCCACTCTGTCTACTCTTGCTATAGCCACTCCTACTTCTCCTGCTCCTCATACTCCTCATGTAGGTAATGAATATCTACTTCCACTCCTCTACTTGCTGCTCCAACATACCTTACTCCTACTTCCACCCCCTACTTACTCTTACTTACTGTGTCACTCCTCCTACCACCTCCAAGTCTTAGTCTTAATGTCTACTCCCACCCCTGCTTTACTGCTCTACTCCTACTTACTACTTACTCCTACTTTCCTTACTTCCACTCCTCAATACTTACTCCTACTTACCTTACTCCCACCCCCTCCATCCTCCATCACCCTCCCTCCACCTCTCACACCTTTCACACCTCTCCATCCCCCTCTCTAAGCGCGCACCCTTCTTTCCCCCCCTTAAGCGCTCAAATCACACCCAGCCAGCCACCCAGATCCATCACAGCACAATCCACCAAAACCCATCAATTCCAGCCCAATCCCACTCCCACTCCCACAGCTGAACCCACCATAAACCCACCCCACACACAAAAAAACCCAGCCACAGCCACAACAGCTCACCACACTTAGACAGTAAAGTACAACGGAGGTACGGGTTGTAAACTGCGTGTTAGAGTCCTTTATAACATAAAATATACCTACATCTTCACTAACCCCTCTGTACCACTGATGTCACTCTTAAAACCACACCCCTCCTCCTCTCCCTCCCCAATTCCCTCTCCTCCTCCTCCCTCTCCTCCCCTTCCTCCCCTCATCATGGCCATAAAACCAGATAGATAGCAGCATAATTTAGCAGGATACCAGCACAAAAAGTGTGGAGAGGGTATAGAAAGTAGTAGCTGTATCTGTACTCCAGTACTCTCTTGCTGTACACACTACACTACCAAATCCAGCCAATTGCTCTCCACAACAACAACATTCTCTACTACTCTTGTCTGCTACTGCTCTACTTTACTACTGCACTACTCTAACTACTGCCCTTGCACTACACTACTGCTATTCCCTTCCCTTCCCTCCTCTCCTCTTACCAAATATCTTCATTATATCCTATCCCATCTCTATCAACATCAACCACCCTCCCCTCAACCACCACCCCTCCCCCACCTCCCCAGCTGAATGAAGCCAGCTTCTCATACGCCATCCTCCGCCATCTTCCTATTCTTCGCCTGAAGCTTCATTTATTCCATTTTCTACCGCTGCTATACGACTGCTGCTGCGTCTGATATAACCAAAAAAGAAAACTATACACAGAGATATACACCGTTCCGTCACTGAAAAAGCCCGGAACTTCGCGCCCAGAATCCACTTCCACCACCGCCACCACCACCACCATACACATCACACCCCCAGTACGGTTGTCCGAGTAGTGTCAGAGCGCCAACTCCAATGTCCCCCACGGAAACAGCCCACCTCCTCCACCACCACGATCCCGCGACGATGACCTCTACCGGCCAACAGATCAAGGCCGCTGCCATCGCAAAGGCAAAGAGCGCCGTCAGCTCAGCCACCACCAACGGGAGCAATGGGAGCGCGAGCAAGAAGCGCAGAGGAAACAATCAGCTGAAACCCATCATCACAAATGAGACCCCGAAGAATGCGGATACCCCCCCAACAACCATGGCTTCCAATTCTACTGCTGGAAAGTAAGTCATGAAACCCTCCCCCATCCCACCCCCCTACCCCCGTCCGCCCCTTCTCGCCGCCCCGCCGCCGCCTGTCTGTTGGCCGCGCTTCTTTCAGCGCATGTTTCGGATTTTTTTCAGAGGCGGGGGGACGGCGCCAACTCCTAAGCGCATACAACGCGGTGGCATGGCGCGATCGATCCGTCTCGTCTCTTCTCTCCCCCCCCCCTCGCCACTTCCAAGACCCCAACCGAAACTAACACGGTGCGTGTGCGTCTAGGAGCAGCGGCTCGACCAACTCTCCGCTTTCGCATAAGGGCGCAATGAACAACCGATCGCCGTCATCGACATCGTCGCGCGACGAGGCCGAGACGACGGCCGACGAGGAGGACTCGGAGGACTACTGCAAGGGCGGGTACCACCCGGTGCAGGTGGGCGAGAAGTTCAAGGACGGCAAGTACACGGTGGTGCGCAAGCTGGGGTGGGGCCACTTCTCGACGGTGTGGCTGTCCAAGGACGGCGTGACGGGCAAGCACGTTGCGCTGAAGGTCGTGCGGTCGGCGGCGCACTACACGGAGACGGCCATCGACGAGATCAAGCTGCTCAACAAGATCGTGGCGGCCAACCCGGAGCACCCGGGCCGCAAGCACGTCGTCAGCTTGCTGGACTCGTTCGAGCACAAGGGCCCCAACGGCACGCACGTCTGCATGGTGTTTGAGGTGCTCGGGGAGAACCTGCTGGGGCTGATCAAGCGCTGGAACCACCGCGGCATCCCGATGCCGCTGGTCAAGCAGATCACCAAGCAGGTGCTGCTCGGGCTGGACTACCTGCACCGCGAGTGTGGCATCATCCACACGGACCTGAAGCCCGAGAACGTGCTGATCGAGATCGGCGACGTCGAGCACATCGTCAAGACGTTCGTCAACCAGGACGAGGTCAAGAAGGAGGAGAAGAAGGATAATAACCCCAACGGGCGCCGGCGACGCAGGACCCTCATCACGGGCAGCCAGCCGCTGCCGAGCCCGCTGAACGCGAGCTTCAACCATGCGGAGCTGTTCCGCAATCAAGGCGGCTCCATCTCGAGCCTCAACGAGATGATGAGTGAAGGTAATGAGACCCCCGTCCGAGGGGAGAGTGCTTCTTCGTTGGGCGGCGTCGTAATGAGTGGTGCCATCACAGGATCCCCGAGCACGACACCCACGACAGATAAAGACCAGAACCAGAGAGAGAAATCAGCGTACGTCCTTACTCCTTACCACACCTACTTCCCTTCTACACCCCCCCCCCCCCCCCCCCAAATGACAGAGCACAATCTAACCTCTTCCCCCGCGCAGAGACATCTTAAGTAGAGAAGTATCAGGCATATCATTAGACAAGAGCTCGTCGACGGCCGAGAAGCCCAAGCCCTCCGACCCAGCATTCGAGAAGATCAGCGTCAAGATCGCGGATCTGGGGAACGCGTGCTGGGTCAACCACCACTTCACCAACGACATCCAGACGCGGCAGTACCGGTCGCCCGAGGTGATCCTCGGTGCGAAATGGGGCGCCAGCACGGATGTGTGGAGTATGGCTGCTATGGTATGTCTCTATTCTATTATCTGTCTCCCCCTCCTTCACTTTCCACCTCCCCCCCCTCCTAACGTACTACTAACCCCCCTTCCCAGGTCTTCGAGCTCATCACAGGCGACTACCTCTTCGACCCCCAATCCGGCACCAAATACGGCAAAGACGACGACCACATCGCCCAAATCGTCGAGCTCCTCGGTCCCTTCCCGCGCTCCCTCTGCCTCTCCGGCAAATGGTCCCAAGAGATCTTCAACCGCAAAGGCGAGCTGCGCAACATCCACCGACTACGGCACTGGGCGCTGCCCGATGTGTTGCGGGAGAAATACCATTTCAAGGAGGCGGAGGCGAAGGGGGTGGCGGAGTTTTTGACGCCGATGCTGGAGTTGACGCCGGAGAAGAGGGCGAATGCGGGGGGGATGGCGGGGGGAGGGTGGGTGAGTGATGCGGTTGGGATGGAGGGGGTGGGGATTGGGGGGCGGGGGGGGGGGGGGGGGGGGGGGGGGGTTGAGGGGTGGGCGCAGGAGGTTAAGAAGGCGAGGTGAGCGTGGGTCTGGGGCTACGTGGAGCGGGGGGGGTGTTATCTAGGAAAGCACATAGGATTTGATGGGCCAGGGGGCTACGTGGGGGTGGTGGTAGAGGGGGAAGGGGGTATACAAGCTTGCGATGCACGACGGGGTCGGCGCGACGGGGCGTTTCGTAGATAGAAATCTGTTTGAGATGCTATGTGTGCGTAAATGAGAGGCGCAGACTAGGTTGTGTGTGCCTCCCCCTCATTGTTCAGTTTCCCTTACGTGCAATCAATTCCACGACGGGTGGGAGAACGACACAATCTGGACCAGACTTATTTCCTAATGCAGGTTTCTACATCCCCCCATCCCCCCCCCTCCCCCTTTTCGCCTACCCTTCCCATCCCCCCCAAAAACAGACCCACATACCCCTTCGCCCAACTCCTAAATAATACAACCAACCCAACAAACTCTGCCCAGCAATCATCCCCCCTTCATTACCTCCCCTCATCTCCCCCCCTTCCTCGGACTCCTCTGCGGCGTCTGCGGCGGCATCAACGCCGCAAACATCGGCCCCCCATTCCCATCCCCATACCCCCCCGACGCATGTCTCGGCGTCGGCGGCGGCGCAATAGCACCCCACCCATACTCTCCCGCCTGCTGACTCGGCCAGGGCGACGGCGGCGGTGGCGGCTGGTGGAAGAACTGCTGCTGGGGGGGGTGGGTATCTATTTTACTCCTATACGCTGCGAAGGCGGTGTTATTCACGTATCCGAAGACGAGAAAGGTAGCGACGACGAAGAGCATAGTCTTCAGACTAATCGGCTCGATAAACTCATTCACTATCCGCGCGAATGTGTGAGCGGAGATCTTAGCGCGGCCGACTTGTGTGGGGTCGGCTTGCATGCAGACCTCCCACTCCCTGCACGCCGCCGCGACGGCGGGGACGCGCAGGTGGGGAGCGCAGTTGTTGGTCGTCCAGTGGGAGGTGCAGACTGCGATTTCGTGGTGGGCTTCGTCGATGGCGCGGGCTTCTTCTTTGGAGACGTCGGATTGGATGGTGCGGATGGAGGTGTAGATTAGGTACATTGCTACGGCGACGAGGAAGGAGTTGAGGATCAGTTGGGCGTAGTAGGAGAGGAGGTGCGGGAGGTTGGGGCGCGATTCGATGCCGCTTAGGAGGGAGGAGAACCAGTTTTGGCTTCCACTTCCGCTGCCGCTACCGCGGGAAGAGTGGTGAGAGTTGTGTGGACTGTGTCGGCGCGATGCGGATTCGGAAGATGACCCGCTGTCGATGCTTCCGCGGCGGGAGTGGATGACGGGATCTCTATCGTGACGGCGCCGCTTCCGCGCTTTCTGGGCGACGGCGTCAGAGAGCTTGCCGCGGCGGGGTGTGTCGCGGCCTGGCGATCCGAGGGCAGAGAGGCCGTAGCGGCCGAAGATGGGTTTCTTGTCCAGCTTGGTGGAGGTGAACGCCGGCATTGCGATGGGGGCGCGGTAGGAGGGCCGGGGGTGGTCGGGGGTGTCTTCTGTGTCTGCGTTGTCGGCGGGGGAGGATTCGGCGCCGGAGGCTTCGGAGAAGAGGTCTACGTCGAAGGGTTTGCGGGGGGTGGTGAAGGATGGGTTGCGGAAGGGGGTTGCGGTGTTGGAGGGCGCGGCGGAGAAGAAGGCCGATTGTGAGGGGGGTGGGGGTTTGGAGGGCGATTCGAAGCCGCCTGGGAGAGGGAGGGACGTTAGCATTAGTGGTTGGGGAGGGAGGGTTTATGGATGCATCGTCGGTGACGGGGAGGGTGGTTTCTTACGCTTCAGGCCCTGTTGCTTCTGGGTTAATTGGTAGAAGGGCGAGGTGACGTCTGCAGGGCCGCTGGTCTGCCATTCAAAGTCCATGGGGACTTCATGAGTGCGTCTGTCCATTGCGGGTTGGTATGCGATGTTTTTTTGCTTTGGGTAGGGGAACAACGGATGATGCTGTGAGGGCATCATTTGCTTCGATTTCCGCCGTAGCCAGGACAACTATGGGGCTGTTGTAAACAAAGTTTCGGTGGGGTCTAGACCGGGTTTAGGTATAGCCTCTTTGAGTTTGGCGTGGTCCAGTGACTTCTTGGCGGTTCTCGATTGTCACGTGCGAAGGGATTCGGACGTCAAAGGAGCATGTCGGTGATGTCCATACCACTACTGGTTGGCATGTATGTGAAAGAATATATCAAAAGATGGATATTACATAGTTATAGTTTTTTTTGAATAAATTTACCCATTGTGTTGGTTTAGATTGTGGGTTGGAAGAGTAAAACTACTGATTTTGTAATGTGTTTTCTCATATGTTGAAATTAAACAAAACAAAAACGTGAGCATTCAGATAAGGGTTGTCAACTTAAATATTATAGTATGTACATTCATATCCTATGATTGACTATACTGCAATTTTTCTTCACTATCACTACAGCTTGGACATAGAATGTCTGTCAGCACCACTTCTGGTACAACCGCCTCCCTTTCCCGCTCTGCCTCCTTCAGCCTCTCCACCACATCTATGTGCCCCTTTGAAGTCGCTGCATCTAACGCGCTGCCATACTCCCCACCGACAATCCCCACGTCCGCCCCTGCAGTAAGCAATATCTCCACAATATCCTCGTACCCTCGATGCGCCGCAACATGTAATGCGGTATGATACTCCCCTCCTACAGCGTTGACTTTAGCTCCCCCCTCAAGCAACAACTGCACTATTTCCGCTTTGTTAAAACTTGTAGAGAGTTGAAGGGGGCTTCCGTGAATGTCAGACAGGAAATTGGGATCAGCTCCACTGTTCAGGAGCATCTTAACAATGATCATAGACCCACTCAGACACGCAGCATGTAGAGCACTGCCATATTGCCCACCCGCACGATTGACATCTGCACCGAGACTAAGTAAAGTCTCAACGACTCTCTCCTGGCCCCTATACGCTGCACCTTGCAGAGGGTTTCCATAGAAGCCACCTTGCTCGTTAGCATCTGCTCCATATTGTATGAGTAGAGATACAACTCTGGGGAGCCCCTCAAGTGCAGCTGCCCGCAGTGGTGTGCCATCATCGATACCTCCATGACTACTGGCATCCGCGCCATGTATGAGCAATAACCTCACGACTTGCTCATGGCCAGTGTAACAAGCAGCTATAAGAGCAGTGCCACGATTGCTCTGGGCATTAACTTCGGCTCCTCGTTCAAGCAGTAACTCGACTACACGAGTTCGGCCATTAAAACTAGCTTCATGTAAGGCACTGCCAGACATCCCCCATTGGGCGTTGACTAGCGCTCCTTTATCAATGAGAGCTTTGCAGGTAAGATAGTGGCCATTTGAGGCTGCTACATGAAGTGGGTAACCCGGTGGTCCTTTAAAGGGACGTCCATTAGTTTCGCTTGGAGCATTTGCATCAGCTCCTGCCTCAAGAAGCATGCATACTGTACCCGTATGGCCGCCACTAGATGCTGCATATAAAGCATTTCCAAATATGCCTCCCTTAGTATTCACGTTGCAGTTTCTGTCAACTAGAGCTTTAACCATGTCCTCGCATCCAACGAATGCAGATGCTTGCAATGCGTTGCCAAAATGTCCTCCTTGGGCATGTACATCGGCTCCGTGATCTAGAAGAATTTCGAAGCATTGGTGATTTTGATTAACAGCAGCAGCCTGTAACGCTTGGCCATAGTATCCACCTTGGATATTCACATTGGCATCATCTACAAGATGCTCAAGGAGTACGTGGAGACCGAATAACGCGGGATAATAGATAATAGACTGGTTGGTGGACCTGCCCATATCAAATTTCCAAGGCGAGAAGGCTTGGTGCCAGGACATGTATTTTGGCGATTCGGCCGTTGTCCAGATTTTGTCGAAGAGGCGCACTACACTCTTCTGCGCTTGCTCCTCGCGACTGTGGAGGAACCAGCTATTGGCTGCATATTCGAGAAATGGATAATCGACAATCCTATCTGATTTGGCATAAGATTCGTAAGAACCAGCATTGAAGTCGTCATAAGCTAGGTAGGTTAGGCATATCCGGCCAATCTCCTCGTCAGCATTCGACTTGGTCATAGCGAAATAGGAGGCAGGGCCTTTCGATATTCTTGGAGACTGTAAGTATTCTTGGACCGAGTAGTGAGATAGACCAAGATATCCGCCAGTAGTAGTCAAAAGACTTCTCACACTCTTAATAAGATGCTCAGGGGTATGAAAACGGTCATCGGGATCTAAAGCAGTGCTGCTATCCTCAACAACGACAGCTTCGGCTATCTCTTCCATCGTCATAGGGCGAATTGCAAAGATGATGAATTGCAATGTTCGCCGGATAAGCTCCTTTTCCTCTTCCGACTGTATAGCCATAAGAATTCTGTCGTAGCTCTCATCAAGAGTTTTGGGCAAGCTTTTTAAAGCGTTACGGATTGCTTTTGGCCTACCAAGGGGCTTTAGAGCATCCAACTGGCAGACAACCCATCGGAACCTATATATTTGTCAATGATAGGGGGACAGAGTAGAGGGCTAAACTTGCATTCCTTTGGCACCGCCAACTAGCTCCTGGACAATCTCATTCTGTAAATCAACATTGAGATCTCGGAGTGATTCTATAGCTTTGATTTGTCTGTTCACAAAGAGCTCGACATCGAGAGCAACATCTGTACTCTCTATTGCGGCAGAGTAGATAGACACCTCAGAGAGCGACTTCTGGATGTCATGTTCGCTACGGCTCGTTAAGAATATTGACGCGCATTTGCTGTCCATCAATTGGTGAAGGATGGGTAGTAATACTTGGCGTTCTGAGCACTCGTCCAACGCATCTAAAGCTACATAGACTTTATCGAAGTATTTTTGAATGACAAGAATTAATATCGCAAGAAGTTCCTCTGGTGATGGACGTGATGTTTTGTCTTTGTATATTTTCCAAAGGGCGCAAATCTCTTCAGGGACCCCTGAGAGTTTATTGGCGAGTTGGCCAAGAAGTGAACATAGCATTCCTTCAGTGTGTTGTTGTTTGGAGTCCCGGAAATCAAAATAGAAGTATACTATGGTGGATATTTCTGGTTCCTCAGGGCTGTTCGCAACGGGTTGTGATCTAGACTGGAGCTCCTGTATCACCGTAGAGCTGTGACTGTTAGGAAAATAACAAACACTCTATATCATCCCGATAGAATGATGAGATTGTCACTAAGGAATCGGTAGACTCACCATAGGATGGTCTTCCCTGCTCCAGCTATATTGTTGCTTTAGAAAAATGATGCTGATATATTAGAATATACACTTACGAATTGCATGCAACCAGAAGGTCGAGTGATCTTTCCTCGCCCATTCCGAGAAATCCTTCCCTTTAATGAGCCAGAGACCTGTTCCAGGCTGCTGGAGCTTGCATGCGTTGGAGTGATTTGCCTCAAAATCAACTGTTGAGAGCCAACGTCGTATTTCATAGTATTGATCAGCTGGTAGAGTTAGCAAGGCAATGAGATTGATCATAACGAAATGGAGTGGGCTACACTTATGTTTCTCCTTCTGAGAACTAGCAATTTCATCCGAGACACGCGAGAGCTTCGTGATGTGATTGTCGATGTTCAGAAGCTCACAATGAATTTTTCCTTGTCCGTGTTTTAATTCACCGAAAGCAAGGTGGAGATGCTCTTCGATGGCATGGGATAATGTGCTAGAACCGGCCAATGATTAGCAGGGCAGCAAATATGAGAATCTGCGCCGAAACTTATATAAAGGCACGGCAAGGAATAGCCCAAAGCATACATATGATCAGAGGATAGCGCAAGCATCAGTAAACTCTTTAGGCGCTCGATCCGACTTTTTGTTTCCAATAACTTCTGGCCACCTGTGGCAGCGGCGATTACACTACTAATTTTCTTTTTTTGGAGTCCTTCGATGACCCGAAGCACATCTTGTAGCACAATTTCGCATGCTGTTAGGACCCCGCCAGGTTGATTTAGCACCTCTAATGCTAGGAAACCCTTCAAGTTGTGATCATGGGAGGTACTGAGATGACTATGAAGCGTGTTAAGAATTCCTTGCAAAGACATGAGTTCCGACATGACGTCTACCAGCTCTTTAGGCGCGGTTTTTATCTCACGGTAGCATCTCCATCCTATCGCTACTACCTTGCAGGTAGTGTCAATGACTGTGATGATACTCGTCGCTACTGCGAGTCCTGCGATTGCTTCGGCCATGATGGCGATGTGTCATGGAAAGATATATAATTTGGCCACACTGTCAACGAAAGCGGGAGAATTATACAGTTCTTGAAATGACTGTGAAGCCACAACTGTACAGCGCGTATGTTTCAGCCGTACCGCCAATAATGCCCATTCGCGATTGGGCTGGAATAATATAAATCGTGATGCATGGGACGTGCAGAAAGTACCCTGTGGATGGGATCTCCAGGGTATCACAGAAAAGCGAGCATTCGAGTGGGAGCGACTTCTTAGTTCCTGTATATTTTTGCCAACTAAAGTTGAAAGCTATTGAATGTACGTTCTGTTTGGACCGGGCTTATCAAGGTATAATTTATTCGCAACTTGCACAGCTACGGATAATAAGCCGACGGTGTCATAGCCAGAGCGAACTACGCAGATATTGTCATGGTAACTCTCATCAGAACTTCACAGGGGGCTACATCCTCTCCAAATGAGTGCCACTTGACATGATCAAGTCGGAGAGCTGCCATCGGCAACCCTCCGTCGCTGATGTGTCTCCGAGGAGAAACAACCACCAGCCCTACCACCACCATGTCGGAGCTTTGCGACAATAAGGGAGCTGATTAGTCCAAGCTGCTACTTTAGTACACAGGGCTTAGCCTGGTGTGGGGCTGTGGTCGGGCCGTATTTTAGAAGGCCGCCCCAAACGTGTCAGTTGTCACCCCATATCAAGTCCACGACGCAACATCTCTAGTAGTTAGGGTATAAGCACAAAGCCCAATATTTTGGCCTTTCCTTGAAATGCAGTACCAACTATCGGACGTATGTCTTGGCGACATTGATATGTTGGTTCGTCAGTGTGAATTACCTGCAATGAGTCGAGACCCGTTAAAGATGATTATGTTCCCTAATGCGGATCCAAGTCCCGAAGAGGAAGAGGAAGAAACAAAGTGGTCAATCGAGTATCTGCAGGAAAGTTTACAAAACGATTCTTGCTATTTCCGGAAAGTGACCGATAGCTCTGGTTGCTATGCTGGCTTCGCTATCTGGACTTTAGACCCGAGCAGTACGGTAACAGGGCACAAGACAAAATCTACACAGAAGCGGCGCGAGTCATGGAATCCTGCATCACTAGATGTGAGAGCTTGGATCGAAGTCTCTAATCTACTGAGAGAAGAGCGCCAAAGAGTACTGAATGGTCAACACAATATATGGAGTAAGTCCACCACTATTTCTATACGAAACCGACCTAAGTCGTGTGTCAGGATTAACTACGATATCGGTGACACCCGAGCATCAAAGACAGGGTGTTGGATCTATGCTGATGCAGTGGGGCTGCGATAAGGCGGACTCTTGTGGCTGGAATTCCTTCGTTATGGCATCTCCTGATGGAGTTCCACTATATACCAAATTTGATTTTAAAGTCGTAGGGCAGGTGCAGATAAAGCATGGTGCCTTCACAAGTATGTTTCGGGAATCGAGACCTTTTATAGAGAGGAGCGATAACAACACTGACAATTCCATAAAATATTGAAAGGTGATGATGTAAAGCAGTTATTTCTAAAGTTATATTACATAATTACTTTTGTTTGCGACCTATTAGCGATACTATTCTTCGACTTACTTTCTCATAGCCAACTTCAACCTATGTTGGGCCTCTATGTTGGGTTCATTCAGACAAACTTCTTTCACATATCTGTGCCTCCTCGCTTTCGCAGAGTTTGGTTTGGTTTGATCACGGAAGAGTTACTATTTTGGCATACTCTTCTTTATTATATGTCTCATAATATTATTCAAGCTGCGGCTCCGCTTCCATTTGCTAACCCCAATATCGACGCTTTTCGAAGAGAAATTCGCGCTGGAAACCTACCAGGTGTTCAAAATACATTCTCTGAGTGGCTAGAAGACGACCCTTCAAATATTTCGAAGATAGGACGTTTATATCTTTGCATAGGCGATGCTATTGAGTGTAGTCAGCATGAAATCCTCACCTATCTGCTATCGGAAGGTTTTCCTCTCGACATGTTTGACATCCGTCTTGCTACCCGCCGTAAGGAACGATGCGCGCTTGAAATACTTATTGCCCATGGGTGGAACATCAACAAACCAAGGACTAACCGTGACCCCCCTTTATTGAGGTATGCTGCGAGCTATTCCTAGGATATCCCAAACTTACATGGCGTAGCCAAGCCATAAAGGATGAAAAGCTAGCTTCTTGGTTTTTAGACCATGGAGCTAATCCAAATGCTGAATGCGATTTTGATTTTACTCCCCTCTCCGCGGCAATGGTCAGCGCATCATTTGCTACCATCAAGTTATTATTTGATCGCGGAGGCTCGGTCAAACACGGTCAACTACTCCATTATGTTGCCAGACGAAGCGGGCCAGATCGCATTAAGATACTAGATTTCATCCTCTCAAAGGGAGCGCCAGGGATGAACAGACTACTGCACCAGCATCGGCCTGCTGACTATTTACCCCTCGAGTATGCCGGCCTGTCGACTCCGCTAGGGATGGCTGCTAGAGAGGGGACTTTGGATATAGCCCGGTATCTTTTAAAAAGCGGTGCGGATCCCACAATTAAGAACTCGCTAGGATATCTACCGATTGAGACTGCAGAATATTATAATAATCATGACATCGTTACGCTTCTGTCCGAGTTTGGTGCGGCGTCGTCAAATCATTGATGGAGGTTCTGCAGCGGCAAAGCAAAACACCTCTCAGCTACAGCGCTTCTCACTCTCTTTGGGGAATATATATCTCGGGGTCTTTGGATGCGCTCGGTCTGCACGTATCAGAAATTTTGGCAAATTATTAGCTGCGGTGCTCACACTCCTCAGGTATGAGTCGTTGAGTGATTCTTCGGACATGAGATCCGATGGCCATTTCAGACAGCGGTCAGAAAATTAGCTGGTGCCGGAAGATGCGGGGAATATATTATATACTGTTAGGAACGCCTAATATTTTTTAGAATTGAAACTGTCATGGCGTGATAGAGTTGATGCCGCCGATACATCACGTCCGGCCAGGTATATTCCAGCTCACAGAACCACCATGCTCAAATACCAGAACCGGAGCAGCACACAAATACATATATATATGTCACTCTCCCCAATTAGTCATTCCACTCCCCACAGTCCAAACTTTAATTCTCCGCGGGTGCGTTTATCCGTTGAATGTTGAATGGGCTCGGGGTTCCTTTCCGTCGGCGTTGTTGTGCGCAATCATGTGGTCTCCTCGGTGTTCCACCCCATTTCAACCCATACACAAATAGCACTTCGTGACATGCCGGATTTTTGTCAACATATACCGACACATAAAATATGCCATACTACTTTAGCTACTCCATCTTCTCCCCGGATTGTGGCGCACATGAAAAAAAAAACCCCCCCTGCGGAGCCTTGCGGGCGAGGCTGACGCTTGGAGGGGTAGCGCCAAGCCGCTAAGAAAATTCCCCGTCATTGATAACGGGGGATGAAGACCGACGCCTGATGCCGAGATAAGAATATCAAGTTCCCGATGCCCGTGGAATTTTCGATTCCGACTTTCCTTTCAAGCCCACCAACCCTTTCTCTTACTATATTTTGACAATATAGGGTCAATTAGGTCTGCTCTTCCTCATATATTCACTATTTGCAAGATCTGAGCCCTCTATCGTCCTCTCTCACAACACAGATCCTCGTGGATCTTGGGGCGTACGAGGTACCTCGCTGGCACAGCTGATAAAACTTTTGGGAGACACCACCACAGCTTCATTTTCACCACCCTCGAAGAATTTCTAACCCGGTAGGGGATCTATCTTCAAGATGGCAGCTATCCGAAGTGCCATGCGCACGAATTTGCGCCAATTGGCCTCTCGGCCTAGAGCTCCCTTATCCAGAGGATCACGGGCGTGGGCTGGTAACCAGTGCCCACTCTCTGTGACAACCACAACCTCTGCTGGTCTCCGAACCTACTACAAAAGTGCGCCTGCAGACCCAGCAAACCGAGCAGTATCACCAAAGGAGGAGCGTGATGTCTTTGCACCACTTGACTCTTTTGCGAGGAGGCATATCGGGCCTACCCCGTCGGCGACTGAGGCGATGCTCAAGGTTCTGAACCCACCTGTGAAGAGCCTTGACGAGTTCGTAGAGTCAGTGGTACCATCGTCTATCCTTACTGCGAAGGAACTGAAGATCGATGGCCCAAGCAAGGGCGTCATGGTGGATAACCTTCCTATCAATGAGGAAGGGTACTCCGAGTCGCAACTCACCACACGCCTTAAATCAATCGCCTCGAAGAACAAGATCCTTCGCAGCTACATCGGCTGCGGATATGCTGGAACGAGGACTCCAGAAGTTATCAAGCGTAATGTTTTGGAGAGCCCAGGGTGGTATACCAGCTACACGCCATACCAGCCCGAGATCAGCCAAGGCCGTCTTGAGTCGCTTCTCAACTTCCAGACCATGGTCTCTGACCTTACCGCGCTGCCGATTGCGAACGCATCATTGTTGGATGAGCCAACTGCCGCGGCTGAGGCCATGACATTATCCATGAACATGCTTCCAGCCTCGAAGCAGAAGAGAGCAAACAAGACATTCTTCGTCAGTCACCTTGTGAACCCACAGACCGTCTCCGTTCTGCAGAGCAGAGCCGATGGTTTCGGCATCAAGATCGAGACTGGAGACGTGCTTAAGAATGGCAGCGCGCGTGTCAACGAGCTTGGAGATGACCTTGTTGGTGTTTTGGTTCAATATCCTGATACCGAAGGTGGAGTTGAGGACTTCAAAGCCTTGGCAGACATCGTGCACGGACACGGATCCACACTCAGTGTGGCAACGGACTTGCTCGCCCTTACTGTTCTCACCCCTCCTGGAGAGTTTGGCGCAGATATCGCTTTCGGAAATGCGCAACGCTTTGGTGTTCCATTCGGATATGGTGGACCTCACGCTGCGTTCTTCTCCGTCTCTGAGAAGTACAAGCGCAAGATCCCCGGACGCCTCATTGGTGTGTCGAAGGACAGACTCGGTGACCGCGCACTGAGATTGGCTCTCCAGACTCGTGAGCAGCACATCAGACGTGAGAAGGCCACGAGCAATGTCTGCACTGCTCAGGCCCTCTTGGCCAACATGAGTGCCTTCTACGCCGTCTACCACGGTCCAAAGGGCCTCAAGGCTATCGCTGAGAGGACCATTGCTTGCACTAGAATCCTCGAGGAGGGCATCAAGAGACTTGGCTTCGAGACGGGGTCAAGAGGCAAGGATGACGAGGGCAGAGCGCTTTTCGACACTATTACTGTCAACGTCGGCAACGGCAAGGCCCAAGAGGTGCTCTCATGGGCAGTCAAGGAGCGTGGCATTAACTTGAGAATGTTCGATGAGAGCCGCGTTGGAATCACCCTGGATGAGACTATCGAGGAGCACGATCTACAAGACCTCCTCTCCATCTTCACCCAGTTTGCGCCAAAGAAGGCAGATATCCAGCTTGCTCAAATTGGCAAGGAGCTCAACGGCACGACTGCTAAGACCTCAAAGCCGCTCATCCGCACATCGGAGTATCTCACCCACCCAGTATTCAACTCTCACCACTCCGAGACCGAGCTTCTGCGCTACATCAACCACCTTCAATCGAAGGATCTCTCCCTGACCCACTCTATGATTCCCCTCGGCTCTTGCACCATGAAGCTCAACTCCACCACGGAGATGATCCCCGTCACCTGGCCCGAATTCTCATCCATCCACCCGTTCGCCCCCGTTGACCAAGCTACGGGTTACAAGACTCTTATCGATGAGCTCGAGTCGGACCTCGCCACCATCACCGGTTTCGACGCCGTCTCTCTCCAGCCCAACTCCGGAGCGCAGGGCGAGTTCGCCGGTCTCCGCGTCATCCGCAAGTTCCACGAGCAACAACAGGGCGGCGCCAAGCGCGACATCTGCCTCATCCCTGTCTCCGCCCACGGCACCAACCCTGCCTCTGCCGCAATGGCAGGTATGCGCGTTGTGACTATCAAGTGTGACACCAAGACCGGTAACCTGGACATGGCCGACTTGAAGGCTAAGTGCGAGAAGCACAGCGCCCAGCTCGGAGCTATCATGATCACATACCCCAGCACATTCGGTGTCTTCGAGCCCGAGGTCAAGGCTGCATGTGAGCTGGTCCACCAGCACGGCGGACAGGTCTACATGGACGGCGCCAACATGAACGCCCAGATCGGTCTCTGCTCTCCCGGCGAGATCGGCGCTGACGTCTGCCATCTCAACCTCCACAAGACTTTCTGCATTCCCCACGGCGGTGGTGGACCCGGTGTCGGCCCCATCGGCGTGAAGTCGCACCTCGCACCCTACCTTCCCGGCCACCCTCTCATCACCACCGGCGGTGAGCACGCCATCGCGCCCGTCAGTGGTGCCCCTTGGGGTAGCGCAAGCATCCTGCCCATCTCCTGGTCTTACGTCAAGATGATGGGCGGCCGTGGTCTGACGCACGCCACCAAGATCACTCTCCTGAACGCCAACTACCTGATGTCGCGTCTGCGTGATCACTACCCGATCCTGTACACCAACGACGCAGGACGCTGCGCCCACGAGTTCATCCTCGACGTCCGCGGCTTCAAGGAGACTGCTGGAATTGAGGCTATCGATATTGCCAAGCGTCTCCAGGACTATGGTTTCCACGCGCCAACGATGAGCTGGCCTGTGGCGAACACGCTCATGATTGAGCCGACGGAGTCGGAGAGCCAGGAGGAGTTGGACCGCTTTGCGGACGCGCTCATTGCGATTCGCGCGGAGATTAAGGATGTGGAGGAGGGCCGTGTTGCCAAGGGAGAGAATGTCCTGACGATGTCGCCGCATACTCAGAGGGATCTGCTTGTCGGCGAGTGGAACAGGAGTTACACGCGCGAGCAGGCTGCGTACCCAGCGGAGTGGTTGAAGGAGAAGAAGTTCTGGCCTACTGTCACAAGGTTGGATGATTGTAAGTCTACTTCGCCCCCGTTCTAGATGATGCATTTCTAACATATAAACTAGCATATGGAGACTTAAACCTCTTCTGCACCTGCAGCCCCGTCGACGCTATTGAGTAAGGCGCGCGGTTCTTCTTCTAGCACGACGTAATGTATTCAACACGAGCATTAGACGGGCGTTTATTTGGATTTACTTTGCGAGCGTTTTAACCACGCACGCGGCGTCTTTGGGTGGGGAGAATATTTCCAGGATAGGAAAAAGGGGTAGGGCTTCAACCGCCATTTTACTATGTTTGTTTATTGGAAGGGAAATAGATAGTGATAGCTAGACCCAATAAACTTTTAGACTTCACTGCTTGTCTGATGCTCGATTTTGCGTGATTCTCACTATGCGTGGCTCATGGGGAGAAGTTGTAGGATGGCCATTGCGGGCCCGGAACTCCATGCCCGATGGGACAGGGCGCGGAAGCCCGTACATTTCAGCCCTCTTATCCTTCTCTACAAGACTTGGCTAACAAAGCCTGTGCTGTGTCCTTTACCCCAGGCGATTTCTGTGGTATGTGCGTAGTTAAATCTGGCGCCGGTCCTAAATAACTTTGAGAACCAGTCTGAGGGCATCGTATTATTGTAGAACCAATATGCATGGCGGCACTGGCAGCTGCATCTTCTAAACTCTGGTTGGAGCAATATGCCCCGGAGGAGGATGATAAGGTGGCTTTCTTGTCGACAGGGTATGGCGGTGAGAATTATTGATCAACAGAATCAACCGACGGCAAGAATGCCCTGCCAACAGGACCTATCGACAGTGGGAATCACCACCGGTGAGAATCCCCTCAACCGATAATTTTGCAACACAAGGTGCAGAACTTTAGCAACTCGACTCCAAATCTCGCGAAGGCTGCCCAGACGATCATCTCACAATGATTAGGGAGGCAAGAATATGGCTTGTTTGTTTTTCTGTTGGAGGTACTCATCCCCAGCCATTTTAAACGGACGCTCCTAGTCGATCCGGCCTCTACCGTCTGAAAATGACGAAGCTGCAAGATTACCGGCTCTGCTCGACCATCTCATTTCCAACCTCCGTGGACCCCAGGAATAGTTGCACACCGCCGTTCTAGCATCCCAAAACAAACAAAGCGGAAAAAAGCACAGGCACGACAAAGATAAGTGAGAAGTTTAGGATATAATTACCTTAAGTTCATCCACGCCTCATAATGGCCAAGGCCGGTTGCTCCTTCCCAATTCTGTTCCTTCCCTCGTTGCTCCTTCTCCCCTTCGTTCCTTCCGTCCCTTCATTCTTTCATCTCTCCGTCGCTCTTTCCCTCCTTTCTTTGTTCTCTTGTTTTCTCCTTCCTATTTCGTCAACGTCCCCACCCCTCCCTCGGTCTTTCCTTCCATTTCATACCTCGATAAACAGCAAGAGCAACCTGCCCCGGCCCTTTGCTCCTTCCTTGCCATCCCCGTCATGGTAACCAGAAGTATCCTTCACAATCAGTCCTTAAATTCAGTTCACCCACCATGAATCACCGAGCTGGCTCCGTAGACGTCTCGTGCAAACTATGAAGGAACGCATCCAGAGCTTATAGCGGTATCATCGGCAGAGAGTCGCCAGGAGTGTGTAGATCAAGCAGATTAGGCCGGCCAGGTTGGGTGGTTGAGGAGGCGAGAGGCGGAGAGAGATTTCTGCCGGTGGTGAGAATTGAAGTGGTGAGAATGGGCGAGCGGTGGCAAGAAAACGCGGTGACAGCGACCAGTGTTGCCCGAATACCGCTCCGAGTACTACTCGAGCATCCTCGAGTAGAGTACTGAAAATTGAAGCTCGAGTACCGGTATTCGAGTACCGGTACTCGAATACCTCGAGTAGTACTCGAGCTTAAAATAGATATTGATATAAAACTGTATATTACTATTCTAACTCTCATTATCTGCATCGTCGCCGCTGTCTTCGTCGTCGCCTTGTGATAAAACACCCTAATTCCGTAAGCAAAGTAGATATCTAAGTGTAGAAGGCGATAATCGGTTCCGTTTCTTTGTGATAATATCACCACCGACACTAAATACTCGTTCTGAGTCTGCTGAGGTAGCTGGAATAGCTAGGTAATCCCTTGCAATAGAAGCAATCAATGGATATTGGTATTGCTTACTCTGCCAATACTTAAGAATATCCGTATCCCTACCAACTGTCGGCTCCTTCATCTATTGCTTCCATTCTGGCTCAATATTGTGGCGGCTTTGTGATACGTATAGCTCATCTTCTAAGTCGATATCGATATTTATAGCTTGCTCTATATCTAGATCCTTAGCTTTAATACTATTCATAACGTCTACTGCTCGAATATCAGACTCACGGCCTAAATATCGATAGAAGCAGTCCTACCACTGTGCTTTTGCCCTATTCTTCCTAGTTAAGTGCGTGCTATCTTTCCATATAATATTGAAGACGTTGAAGTTATACCGAGGATCACAGATCGTAGCAATTGTAGAGTGGCTCTGTTGCTGATTTGTAGCTAGAGTATAGTAATCATTAAGCTTCTTTAACGCAATTGACGTAGCAGTAGCAATTAGGCTTCGTTCTAGTAGCTCACTTCTCATATCTTCAAGCTTCTTAATCATCCTCATATACTGCAGAACAGCGTAGTTGAGAGATAGATAAGAAGAGCCCTATAACTTCTTAGTTAGGCAGACGAAGATATAGAATAGCTTTAATAAGTTATGTAGCGTAGCCCAGTCTACTGCTGTTAAAGCAATATCTCTCATACTAATATCAAGTTGCTATGATACGCATAAAGCTGTAATTAGAACCTAAAGCTTCAAAGCTATATCAATCATATGATAAGTTAAGCTCCATCGGACTGGCATATCAAGAGTCAACCGACGGACTTTGATACTCGCAGCTTTACACTGATTCTTCAAGGCGTCTTTCCATCCGCGGCGGTTCCGAAACACATATATATGACGCCAGAGCTTAGCAAGAACAGTGACGATATCATTTTTAGAAGTAAGTGGTATTCGTGCTACCCCAATCTCAAGCCGATATGCCTCTAGGCCTTCATCTAGTGTTGCTTTTAAAGAGGCCAAAGCAGCTTAAACAGCAATATTAATAATATGCCCAATACAGCGTACGTCTCCTACTTTTGCTATAAAAGCCCATGGTTGTTTTAGAGTAACAGGTTGTACCGAAGCCAGCTTCTCATATTCTAATAGCATAGTTGTATTCGTAGAGGCGTTATCTCTTGTAATAGTAAAGATTGCAGGCGTAATACTGTAATCGTCCGTCACATTTATCAACTGTTTAGCAAGGTATTCGCCAGAGTGGATTGGCTCTTGTAGGTGTATAACGTCGAGTATAGTATTTCTCATTTGCCAATTATCATTAATCTAGTGTACTATAACTGCTGCATACTCAGAATAGTTCCGAGCAGACCAAGTATCTGTCGTTATTGCCAGTCGTCCACCGCTTGTGATATGCTGTTGTAATTCTACTTGAAGCCGTGCTTTATGATAGCAGAATAGTCGATATAGATCCCGTCTAATTGTAGTTCTACTAACTGTTAAGACTGTAGGATTTAGATGGTGAACTAATTGCCGGAAGGATTGGCTTTCAATAAGGCGTAATGGTAGGTTATTTGATACTATAAAAGAGAGAACAAGCTCTCTATATTTCGACGAACTTAGTGCATTACTAGGTGCTTGGCGGGGCTAGAAGAAAGCAGAAGCAGAAGTAGAGGGTGTTGATGAGCTTTGAATTGAAGATATTGTATTGTATTCTGCATGCACCGATGGGTGCTGCTTCTGAAGATGCTTCCATAGATTGCTCGTCGTTGGGTTCTTTAGGGGCTGGCTCGGCGTATATCCACAATTGGTTTGAAGGCATTGGTATTGGATTCTAGCAGGTACTATATCCAATAAAGTACGGTAGAATAGTCTTTTAGAAAAGAGTATTGATGTAGAATCAGGTAATTGAACTCTTAGAGGCATATGCAGCATCGAAATAAGGGGCATTGGAATAAGGGGCGGCAGCTCTAAAGCATCAGACTGATACTCAGCCGGCACCGGCGACAGCGAAGAGTCACTCATTACAGGAAGTAATACAGAACGCTCAAGTAGAAGCTTCAATTATCTATTCTACAATCTATATTACCCCTCTTTGCCAAGGGCTTGGCAGTACTCGAGTATTCAGAGTAGTACTCGGNNGGGGGGGGGGGGGGGGAAGTTTGTGGCACACCCAACCCCCGACCCAAAACCCGTGCACACAGCAGCCAGCCAGCCCACATGATGAGTGATAATTGTTGCCGAGTACATCTCTTGGTCTCGAGAGTACAGGTCGGAGGATGGAGGTGTATTTATATGTCCCTTAGGGTGGGGGCTGGATCGGTTGAGGACGGATCTAGGGGAGGAGTCAGCGTGGTGATTTTCTGCCCCCGACTTTCAGGGGATGGGTTGTTGATACAGGGGTAACCGCATCTTTGGATTTCCGTATTGGGTAATTGCGTCCGAACGGATTCGAGACGCAAGCTCGCCGGCCGATAGCCTTCTTCTTACAAAAACTTACCCCACTGCATCACACACACACACCACGCACATACCACAAAAATAACTTTAAAAAATGACTACAAACTTAAACCTAAATCACTGCCTTGCCTCCCACCCGCCAATCCCATATCCCCAATCACAGCCCCTCCCCACCCCGGCCCTTGTTAGCCAACATCTCCAACCGCGTCCCCTTCCTCCAACCCACCAGAAGTAATCCCAGCATCGCGCATATCTAAAAAAGACAGCTTCCCTCCCTCATCCCGCTCGCTCAGCGGCCGATCATCCACCTCCATCATCAGCGTCCCGCTCTCGCTCCTCGCTGCCTTGCTGCCATTCTCGCTATCGATATCATCTCCGTACTCGCTGCCGCTTCCGCTGCCGCTCTCGTCCTCTGTCTCGTCCCCGGCGTACTCCTTTGCCTTTTCCCCAACGGAAAACGTATACCCGTCCACGCTACTATATCCCATCCATTCCGGCGCTAGTCCCGCAATCTGTACGCCGAGCCATAACACGCGTTCCGGGCGGTGCTGGGAGCGCATGCTTTCTGCCTCGAGATAATGCGTCTCGGGCTCGACATTCTCGTTCGAGAACCAACCCTCCGGAAAGTAACCAGCTGTGAACCCAAGACCCTGCATAGCGAACTCCTCGGGAAAAGGGCGAAAGATGTCCTTCGCAGGCGCCACGGTGTCGTGTGCGCCTGCGATATCCAACTGCGACGGGTCGAGCGGCACGGTGGGGGGTGGAGGGGAGTGCGGTGTTGTTTCGGGGCGAGCGGCGGGGGGGGGAGTGGAATCGGGGATTGGGATTGTGGGGGACTCGATTGCAGCGCGAGTGGGGGGGTAGAGGACGGTGAGGGCGCTGAGGGCGCGGACAAGCTTGGTCCATGGGAAGTGGGGGTAGATGAGGGAGGCGGCGGCGGGGTGGCGGGAGAGGTGACGGAGGAAGACGAGGGTGACGTGGACGAATGAGAGGGTGTTGATGTCGCCTATGCGGCCTAGGTGTATTTTGGCGGTTTGGGCGAAGAGGTTGAGGGAGGCGGTGAAGGTGGGGGTGAGGGCGGGGGCGGAGTCGTCGTCACGCATGATGGTGTCGGCGTCGGTGGATTGGGGTTTCAGCAGGAGCGCGAGGGGGTTGTCATCTGCGCCGTAGCCGAGGAGGGCGATGCAGTTGCTGATGGCGATGTAGTATCCCTGTTCGAGGTATTTCTTGGTGATGCGCCCAATGTGCCCGTCGAGATTACTCTTGATCTCCGCAAGGGTCTCGTCAAACGTATCGAGGGATTTACCTGTGAAGATAATGGCGTGGGAGCGCACGATTGCAGTAATGACCACAGAGAAGCGGCGCTGGCCGGCTACTGGGTTCAGTGTTGGCTCGAAGAGCGTCATGATTGACTCGCGGGCTGCAGTGAAGGGGATGGGAACTGCGAGAGACTTTCCGTAGTAGAGAAGTTGAGGAAGCGCGTCTGGACGGGCTAAGATTGCGAGATGGTGGTATAAGCGCCCGGTGATGGGGGAGCGGTTGGCGGACTTCAGATACCACTGGCGAGCGACCTGGGCCCAGACCTCTCTGTCCCTGACGTTGTCGTCTTCTATCGCCATTCTGTACCTACCTAGATCGCCGAGACATTCGATCCACGTATCCTCGAATGCTGGGACCGTCTCTAGAAGAAGCGTCATCATAGAATACGCAAGGTATATAAATGCGAGCATGTAATCGAGAGACGCGGGAAGTCGGTTGCGGAGAAGCTCAAGGAAGCTATGGATGGCATGACGCCAAAGTCTCGCTGGCATAGCATACTTAAGTGGCAGGCGTCGAACAGCAGGCGTAGCAGACGGATGCTGAGAAGCAAGGAAAAAATCGTGGTGTTCGTGAAGTAAAGTCCTATGCAAGGCAATTAAGGCTTGATACTGCTCATTATTCAGTTTTGGTGGAGTGCCAGGCGGAGCTTCTTTTGCAAGCTGAGCTTGCTTTAAATCTACTTGGATGCACTTGCCCTCGACCATTACTAACCCAACATATATCCCTTTAACCTCAGCTACTAGCTGTTCTTGAGATATCGGACGCGTCGCTGGTTGGCTTACCATCCGAGTGTGGTCAAAGGTAGGTGAAGACAGCTGGGGACCTTGAGAGCCTTGGGCCTTTCCAGACATCAGGATGTCTCCAGGCAGGGTTCCCCGGGCGAAGGACGGCGCCGGTTTCTCCGTGGCCGTGGCAGCCACATGTTGTGGGTTTGACAGACGCTTGCGGATCTGATGAGCAGGTCGCGCTTGAGCGCTTCCGCCCGGTGAACTTACATTCTGGGCTTGAGGCGAGCTCGGCTCGGAGGGGTTAAACAGACGTTTTCCCGAAGTGGAAGGTCCACGCGACGAAAATTCCATAGAGCCTCGAGCCTTGCCTTGCGTGGGAGAAGATGCGGCTCTGCGAGAGGCAGGCGAGGCTTGCAAGCGCGATGGGTTAGAACCCTGCGAGTGCGACGACGACGGGGACTTGCCCAGGCCGATTGCTTGCTTTTTATAAGCTTGCTCGTCTGCCAAAAACGTATTACTCATCACAGGCTGCCGCTTCGCCGCATTGCTGCTTGCGAGCTCTGCCTTCTGCAAGTCTTCCAATTTGCTTGCGGTCAGCTGGGTGGGCTCCTGGTTGATACCTCCATCGGTAGGTAACCTAGGCGGTTCCGGTGGAGTGGCTTCTTTTCTGTTCATTTGATCAGCGCCGTGTTACACATAATCACTAATAATAGCCCATTAAATTCCCCCCATAAGATTTTATTTCCACGTACTTTGAGAGCGCCCTGGATTTCGCTAAGACCTCATCCCGGAAGCGCTTTACACGCGACTCGTCCCTAGGGATGTGAACCGCGTGATTTTTCTTCACATGATGCCACAGATCATTTTCCTCCGTAAATGTCGGCGGGTTATGACAATATGGGCATTTCAATAATGGTGCTGACGAGCCCCGTCTCGTGCGCAGCAACTTTATCCAATTGTTCTGAAATGTGGCATTTGCATCGATCGTGTTCCTTGTTGACATTTCCGAGGGGATATAGAGCGGGTGCTCATCAAGCTGCTGCTTATGAACGTTGCTGTTGCCTGCCTATGGTGTGGCGAATGAAGGGTCAGCTTATCAGAAGTGGGCATTGGATGGCTTGCCGAGCTGAACAGACCGCACAAAGGTAAATGTGCGGGCGAGCGCGGGGAGCGGAATATTTGGGCAGTTTTGTGCATTTTGGGCATTTTTTGGGGACAGAAGGTTCTGGCAATGCCGAGCAGCTGAGATGGGATGAACGCACCCGATGCGTAACATGTAGATTTTCTCTACTGGTTTTTTGCGCCTGAGAGGCGGTATTTGCCTCGTCAGGGACTGTTTCTTCTGGCGGTAGTATGAATAGTTTCGTGGTTCGGGCCAAATATAAGAAGAGCGGGGTGAGAGGCGAGGTGCGTAGTAGTATACTTTAGCACGAGAGTCGCCACGATGGGAGGTGTAAGTAAGTGGAACGACCAATGCCCAACGATCAAAGAAATCGGAAACCGAGAAGCCGTGAAAATAAAAGTAATATAGCGCGATAGATAGAGGTCAGAAACAGGAATCTTTAAAATAAGGGAATCAGGGTTGTCTTTAACATAAACGACAAGGAGTGATTTTTAGCAACGATATACATTGTCAATAGAATCGGGTTGAGGCTTCGTTCCAGTGGGGGGGGGGCCTGTTTCTGGCAGAATTAGGTAGTTCGCAAAACAGGCCAGCCAATAGGAATGATAGAGGAATGGATGGAGGAGGATGGAGGAGGGGATAGACACTATATGTACATACGGTTCTGTATCTTCGTTATAGGCCGTGGGTACTTGTACAATTAGGGTACGCATTTCTAACCCATCATCCAATAAGATGTTTTAGAGGGATTTATTTGCCCGTATTTATTAAAGAAAGAAAGTAGATGTTCAATGCAAAATGGAAGCCAGTATGCGCCAGTTATGTCTACCTTGTTATTTCCATTATTTCCATACACAGGCTGGGGGCCAAAAACATACGTAGATAGAAAGGCTGGGGGCATGCCATAGTATCGCCTAGCGTGGACCCGGCATAACATATAACATGGGCCGTGGCTAGGGCGCCATACAGTATAGTGACGGGCCCTGTGAGATCCCGCGCGTAACATGGATAAGGGAACATGGTGGAGGTTGATGGTCAGCCTGGTCTCGGTGAGCGTTTTCGGTGTAGAATGAAGCTTACTACATCGGGTATAGGGTTACTATACCTAACCCTTGTAATATTACTAACCTAACCTAGCCAAGGCTGAGAAATCACCGAGAGCCTTATGGCGGTGATACTACGATGTTGTATCGCTGTGATATTGTGATGCTGTAATTATTCAAGATCCAAGATTCACGATTCACGATTCGCTTGCTTTGCTATAGGGAATATTGGGTATTGGGCACTGAGTATTGGGTATTGGGTATTAGGTTAGGTGTTGGCATTGGGAAGGAGCGATGGGTATCGTGCATTAGGTTAGCAAGGAGCAGGATAGGAACGACAGACAATCGGAACAACGAGAAGGAGAATGAGAAATGAGAATGAGAATGAGAATGAGAATTAAATGCCATCGGCCAGCCATAGAGGGAAACAGCGATGGAGGGACACCAACAGCGACACCAACATCGGTACCAACAGCCACACCAGCCTACACCTTTCACTTCCCACTTCTCACTATAACCACTGTCTTCACCGAAACGTGTCCAATGTGTCCCCTCAATGCGCAACCACCCTTCCCCGACGCCTAGCAACATGTCCAAAATGCGCGGCGACAGGCATCACCTGCACCCTGCCGACCCATCATTCAACAGGTCCCGCATCTCTCGCCGCGTGTAGCAAGCAAACAACACATTGGCTCTCCTATCCGCCATCACACAACGCCACAACGCATTGCGGAAGTAACATGACAGTTGTCGCTGGTGCACATCAGGTCAATTGCCGGCAAATCAGGTCGTACCCACGCAGACCGGCTAGAGCTGGCGGCGTACTGGGCGGCACATGGGGAATTGCCTGACAAGGTGGGGAATGCTCTCCGTCAGACAGGCGCTGTTGTCGGTGAATTGGTGGTAGGCTTCTTTTTCGATATCGTTCCCCGACAAGGCGGCCAACAAGAGCCGCCTTGCCTTACCAGGCGACCAAAAATCATGAGGCTCAATTGTAGGCAGGCGCTCGGCATGACACACTAGGCATTCAATTGAGCCTCAAGCAGATACAGTTTGTTTGAGCCTCACTCCGTTTTCTTTGTCCATGATACATCACCGTCAGTAGGTATTAAAATGTACCAGGAGAATGGTATCAAGGGATACCTACCTAACCCACAGGTCAGAAACCAATGGTAAAACACGGTGAGCATTTGCAGTCCCCGACTAACTGACTGGTCACCTCTCTCGGAACCAGAAACGCCCTTTATAACCTCAAACCAATGTCTCAAGGCGTGTTTCTCACAGCAAGCGGATCCCATCGCGAAATCCGAGGGGCCAACAGACAGTCTCAAGTGGAAACATCATTACCTGTCTGCGGGTTCCCACCACTAGCTTCAATGCTCCACCACTAATTGGCAGAGTTGTGGCACGCCAGGCGATGTGTGTGCCCGAAATGTCAGTGATTGCCATTTCCCATTCGAGCACGGTGCTTGGTAGATTGACCTCCTGCGTCGTTGCCGCGCAGTGCATTGCATTCCCGCTCGGGAACCCGGTGACGAAATAACTGAAACATTTGTCCCGACGTAGAGTCCACTTAACACGGGGGGTTTAAAGACGTGGCTGTTCACAATATCACATCTGCACGCCCAAATCACCCGAAGAGGCGTGAGGTTCTCCACGGCACTCGTTCCCCGGGTTTTTCTGGCGCTCCACTATCACCCGCCCCGCTGTGCTGTGCTGGGTAAGATTGAGCATCCGCCAGGGGTAATTTTATTGATTTACGTGAAATAATATGTATGATCTGCATTTACGCCCAAAAACAGCTATATCACAAAACTCAATATAATTCCTTCCTGTGATAGGGCTGCGTCTGTCCAGTTAGTCGTTAACATCTTCCAGCCTTAAGCGCTGTGGCTGGCCAGCCTCGTCGTCACAAAATAAGCGTCGGCCATGGTCTCAATGTGCATAATCTCCATATGATGTTAGACCGAGCTTTTGCCGAACAGCAATTCATTGGATTAGGTTAACGACAATCCTAGCGAAAAGCTCCAAGGCAACATACCAGCTGAAACGCAAATAGAACAACATCCAACAACCAATCCCCTCCTCCATCCTCGCCGGATCCTTCTAGAGCTCTCTCCAATTCCCTATTATTCCCACCAACCAACCAACCAACGGCCCCCGAACCAGAAACGGCCCCCAAAAATGAAATGATGGTAAATCACACATGATACGCGCAAGCGCAGTGGAGCTTATTCCGACAACCGCGCTGGCGGATCATCAGCTCTAGCCACACCAACCTCAGCCACCACGACACACCAATAGGAGCTACCACAACCAACCATTCCCCAACTCGTCAGCTCACAATTCCAGGCGCCAGTTCTATAGGGCTAGGAAGGAGGCCTCCTATTTCGAGGCCATAAGATGCGCGTGCTCCCCATCCAACAGTTCACCTGTCAACACAAACAATACGCAATCCACCAACGCGTTCAGCTGCGCCGCAGGCGTCTAGGCAACTGATGAGCTGGAGCGGAGTCACACATTCCTTTCTTCAGCTTCAGCTGCCTCACCGAGGGCGGCTGACGGTGTCAAGAGTTTGTCATGCTTACCATAAGCAACACGATCAGGCGGGCTTAATGGGCCTCGCTGGGTTGGTTGGGGAGGATAGGTGGTGGTGGTGATGATGGTGTGTAGGTGACTCTATGCGGCGTAGGTATCTACATCTCATCCACACCCTGACCGAAGAACCATAAGTTCCGAAACGGCCGAGCAACTACTCGTCGCCATAGCCACCCCCATATCTTCGAAGGCTTCCATTCCACGAGGCCTTCTGCGGGGTGCATGACTGCTCGTGAACCAGTACGGAGGGGGAGTGAGATCAGTATGTGAGATTCGTATTAACATCACGTGATGACTAATCTAATAGGTACCTATTCCCAACACAGCCGCGTGTAAAATCGCACGGTAAGCGTGGCTCTGTAAGCCATAAGCAGACCCTGTGCCCACGATATCGACACGAGGCAGCCGCCGTACGTGCGGCTGATAATTCCAGAGTGTGCCCCGTATCCGGCGGAGTTGGGAAGCTGATTAGACGAGGCTGTGGCGGGAGTGTCCGGCGTCAGAGAGGAGGGGTAGGTAAACACGGGGTGCCGTTCCTTACTGCCGATTTCGAATCCCGTCTCGCGAGTTTGCGGGCCGGTTGTAGGTCGTGGCGTTGGTTGTCTGCCTGGGCGTTAATTTGGTTTCGGACGCCTTGAGCTATAAAGCGTGCGCTGGAGTGGCTGGGGTAGGGGGTTCTAGATTAAGGTTGTATCGTTGTTGTATTGTGCCTGGATTTGTAGGCGAAACCCCCTGTTGATCTGTCACAAAGGATTCTAGTATTCTAGTAACTTGTCACATATAGTGCCACAGGGGGAAGGTGAGAGATTTGATTTTCAATATTTCCATTATGCCGCGCGGTGAGTGGATGGGGAATCTCGAGGAGATGGGTAGATGGGCTGTTACATGTGAGAGAAGAGGGACGCCATCTATGAAGAGAGTGATCGGACATAATCGGGGAGATGTGCATAAAAAGACTCATAAAAGGAGTCACCGAGACGCAGATACCATATACCTTCGCCACATATAACATCCAAAGGCGTGACTCTACGGCCGTACTCTCTGGCCAAAGACTCTCATTCATCTAGGCTATCCTCAAAATCCCGCGAATGCAGCAAGGAAAAAATCAGAAGGCGTAATATAAAACCCGCACGAGCGGGTGCATTCACCTATAAAATCCTACGGGCGACGTTCCTCCGCACGGCTTCTGCACATACAGCGGCGCTGGCTCAGGGGTGTAGCGGACACGGCCGTGCCCGAAACGGTTCTCATTCGTTCTGGTCACCAGATGTATACTGCGAGGCTAGTAGCAACTACCGCAGCCTTAGGCAGCCAGTAAGCTCCAATCTAAACATTCAGCCACAGCCATGATAATTGTGGCGTGCCTTGATTTATACACAGTTAACAGTGCCAGGAGATAATGGCTTAGTCAGTGGCGTATAATGTATCTGTGTCGAAATTTTGACACGGTGGTGCAGTGATGGTCGTTAGTGGTTCATGGCATTTCAGCAAGGCTGAGATCTTGCTTTTTGCTTATTCTAGCAGCTTCGAGATATGGTTACGTTAGAAGCGCTGTCAGTCAGTCGATCACGCATGTGAGCTCTATAATTGCGAGATAGTTGTATCAGGGCGAATAAGGGGAGGGTCGTGACACGAGAGGCAGACATATGTTTTGTTTTACAAGAATGGGTTTCTTTATTCTTGTCTCAAATTGTTATCATTGTGGAAATGAGATTTTTCTTATGAATAATGAGAAAACATATACGGTAAAACCAATGTGTGACCACAAATCAAATCGGATCTAGGGGCTCGATTCTAGTCACACATATTATACTGTTCATATGTAAATGCGATACATATCTCAGTCATCCAATGCCGGCACCCACGGAAGCATTCCAGTAATCTCCGCGCGTTTCTTCTACTCACGTCAGGGGCGATATGCATGATCGATCGTCTGCATTCTCTCAGTGGCGATTATTTCCAACTTCCCAGTTCCATATACTTCATACACAGCTGAACTACTTTCTATACATAAGAAGATATCACAAGTTGTATATTTTGCCACCAGAGCTGCCAACCCCCTATTTCTTCATTATAATATTGGCATTAAATATCAAGCCCAGCTTTACTTGACTCACTCCAATTTCGCCACGTCCTCTCAACATCGACTCTTCCAATGCCTTAATATCTCCATACGCTGTGGCGGTGCGTCAACCACCGAGGCTCCCGGTAAACAATGGGGCTCCAGCCCAAATATTGAGAAACGTCCCCATTATTCGGTCTCTGTGTTTCTCCGAGTGGTCATCTCCCCCACCCTCGACAAGGAGGTGCGGTTGCCTCACGTATTCTCATGTCGAACGAAATGTCTCGATCTCTTCCCTCCGCCCCAATTCGTCGTATTAAGCCGCGTAAGGGGCCGACATCAGCTCGTACAACGGGCGTTTTGGGTGAGACACCTCGGTTCGCTTCCACCAGTAGCCGAGTATTCCGGCATTGTCAGCGAGTTGCAGACCGAGCCTGTATCGCAAAGGGCGCTGAATTATCTCTCTCCTGGCGCCCGGTTCTCGTGCTAGAAGCAGCTCGCGTCTGGCCAAATAACAGGCGTTGCTGATGCCTAGGTACTAGCCAAAGCTAGACCTGGGAACGGTTGGATAGAGCGCTATAGACTCGCTATATTGGCGCTAGCGGGGCGATCCCTTGGAGTGGGCCTCTCACCGAGACACTTTGGGGGAGTGCGTACCATGCACGCTCGCTCCGCCCCCACAATCATGGCGTCGCACCGAAAAGTCTGACAGCACTCACGATGCCTCTTTCACAAGAGTGCCACCGGGGGTTCGTTGTCGACGGCGGTGTGACATGCGTCGCAGGAGGCTTCTGGTTGCCTGGCAGCAACATGCATCCTGAAGCGCTGCTGGCAATTCAATTCAGAAGCAAGGGGTGACTCCTAGGTGCCGGCGTCAGAGTTTTGGTGTTGGCGTTCACTCACCGCCAATCCCATCGACTACCCACCGGAGGGCAGAAAAGTCACGCGTTTGGAATGGAGCCAGCAAGGCGTTCGAGTCTCGAAGACCATGTCGCAGATTCCAGAATGAGGCAGTTGTGAATGGCAGATGTGCCCTCGATCCTGCAACGCTGGGTTGTGGCTTTGGGCATTTTGAACTCTGCTCGCCCAATGTCTTCGAGGGGGCGTGTGTCGAGTCAGACCTGCTCGTCATGCGCCGATGTCCGCGAATAGATTCTGCCAGCGGGGTCTTGGGCATCTTCACCGAACTCTCCATGAGGATACTTCGAATGCAAGTGAGAAATCCTTTCAGGAAACCCAGTCCTGTAGTAAGGCGGATTCTTCTGCATTTTTCTGCAACCCGAGCAAAGGACGCCCAACGACGCAACCTTCAGGCTCACTCGAGTCTTTCGTTGCCTCGAAATCAATGCACAGGAGTCTGATGAATGAAAACAAAATGCGGTTCGGTAGAATCAACGATAACAGGCTTCACAGAGGCAGCCTCGCGATTACTAAAATATTAGAAAGAGGATGAGTTCTTGCTGGTTTAATGTGCGAGGGTAATAATAAAAAGTGATATGTGACGGCGCCCTGACTCGTGAGCGGTCGCCTTGCTTTCGACGAGCTAGGCGAGGCCTTTTTAGAGGCCGCCAGCGCAGTACAATAAATAGAGCATCGAACACAAACCAAAAACAGGATGCTGTCGTGTGCCCGCAATTTCACAGCACGTAATGAGGTGTGGATACCGATATATGGATATGTTGCTGGATTGCGGGATTGCTGGATATTACTCTCCTCTTATAGCCCCCGCATCATACTATACCTCTGCTTCTTCCCGTCGACCTGGGAAGCGAGTTCGAGAAGATGGGCCAATAGGTGAAAGGGGAGGGCGGCCAAACCTGCGGCCATAGGAAATGGAACATGCCTCGCAGAAATTGAAACAAAAGCAATTAAAATAAAGATGACTTCTTTTCTGTCGCTCGGAATACCCGAGATAGACAATGATTTGCCGTTGATTTGTAGAACATGTTGAAGCATGACATGCCGTTGAAGGGACAGAGAGGAAAGATTATGTATGCAAGGGAAGGGCGGGCGATGGTTCCCTCCATTTAAACCCCTAGTTAGGAAAATTCAGCGAACCATTCCAGGAGAATCGAATCATTCTAGGCGAATTGTGGGCGCTTACTTACTTGCGGTGAAAGCGTAAATTGTTTGTTTGCTTTGGGACGACCAGCGAGTTCTCGCATCGGCCGCTCTTTCCCCCGCCAATCTCGAATTTGGACACGCCGTATGATCATGGCAGATTCCTCGCAGACATCGATCGTATGCAAGACACTTCCACATCTAAATACCTTGCCGCCGTCATTGCCATCGGCTGTACAATCCCGGAGATGCATGAGAGCTTCGTATATGCAGTCCTTGCATCTCATACTGAGGAAACGACGATCGTGATCGACACATCAATGCATGAAATCCGATGCGAAGAGTAAAAAAGGTTCGGAAGTGGCTACGGGAAGAAGTGCGGGAAGGTTCGTTGAACTCACGGAGGCAAGGGACCCCACGGGGGCCCGGTGATGTGGTTTGTGCAACTACCCCCAGCCGACATGGACACCAGTGTCACGTCAAATCCCAGCAACTTTCGTCCAAACTTGACTCGCAAACTCCACGTCCCCAACACGAAGGATTTTCTGCGTTGTTCTAAAGGTAGTTTCTAAGACATGGGCATGCTGAAGGGAAATGAATACTATACACTTTATAGAGTAACGTCTCGGTGTCTTTTCTCCCAATGGTTTCTCACATTCGCAATTTAGCCGAAGTGGTGGTTGTCTGTGACAGATCTACGGTCTGGAAATTATTAGGAACGGCGGATTCAGCTAGGTATCCCCTCATCTTCCCTGTGGATTTTCAATGAGTCTCAGCTGATATCTTTAGATTTCTAAGACTGGTCTATGGGTTCTACATGCATGCCATTTCCTGCAATCCTTCAATACCAAGGCCTCTTCTTCCAACCTCATGACCCTCTCCCGCCATGAGCTATCCCCAAATACCAACGAAACCAACAAAAACCAATAAGCCTCATCCCAGGTATTTGATTATGGTCCATTCCTCCGCCTTCCTGTCCAATCCCACGATCAGGACGAACCCAGTTCTTTGTGTCCTTGACTCTCAACCAACGCCTCTAACCGCATTGGGGTATCAATAGCAAAGCAAGGTAAGACTTTACCTGTCTCTCAGAGCTTCTATAAGTGTTCTTGGAAGCTTCTATGCGTCTTTCGAGCCTTCCATGTAGAACAATTTCGAGAAGTTCTATTTATTGGACTGGCAAGCCGCATAACCCTTACCTTCGTGTCGATCGCTTTGTCCTGTCACAAATTCACCTCTCCGCTGCTGATTTCTCAGAAGTTTATCACTTTATCGTATCATCCAGCTCATTTTTGATCGTCGTTGGACAGACCTGAAAAGAACCTGCCAGATCAAACGAGACGCAATGATGCTTCCCAGAATACTCCTGATGCTCTCCCTCCTGGTTCTTGGGGTGTTTGGGCTGAGGGTTCCTAGATCGCCTGATAAGAGTAAGTCTTGTTAAACCCATCAATAGGATTGATATCTAAATAATTCTAGAAGTGAAAGATATCTTTCCTGATCTTTTGGATGCTGGCACCGACGAACTCATGAAAGGGTTGAAGCAGAAGCATTTCACCAGTGTTGATCTTGTCAAGGTACTGAATCATCCCCTGGATCTTGGCAATGTCACTTGACTAACAACTCCAGGCTTACCTTAGACGCATCCAGGAAGTCCAATCGCAACTTCATGTCGTCACGGAGATAAACCCAGATGCCATTTCTATTGCACAGACTCTCGATGCTGAAAGGGCCCATGGAAAACTCCGAAGCGCCCTTCATGGTCTCCCAATGCTGGTCAAGGACAACATCGCCACCAATGACAAAATGAACAACTCAGCAGGTTCCTTTGCCCTCCTTGGTGCAAAGGTTCCGCGGGATTCAACCGTGGTTGCTAAACTCAAAGCCGCTGGTGTCATCATCATCGGCAAATCCAGCATGTCTGAGTGGGCCAACTTCCGGTCTGGTTTTGATAATTCCTGCAACGGCTGGAGTGCCCATGGCGGACAGGTGCTTGGTGCATATGCTGCGGACCAAGACCCGAGCGGGAGCTCGAGCGGAAGCGCCGTCGGTGCATCCCTTGGACTGGCCTTTGCGGCGCTCGGGACTGAAACAAGCGCCAGCATCATCTTCCCCGGCAGTGTCAACAACGCCGTTGGAATCAAGCCGACGGTGGGCCTTACGTCTCGCGCTCTTGTCATCCCTGTCAGCGAGCGTCAGGACACCGTTGGGCCCCTCGCCCGCACTGTCACCGACGCAGCCCACGTTCTCAACATCATCGCAGGTAAGGATCCCAGTGACTCGTACACCAACGCGCAGCCCTTCTCCCAACCGCCCGACTACACCAAATACCTCAAAAAAAACTTCCTGGAGGGAAAACGCATCGGCATCCCGCGCAATGCATTTCTGCCCATTGGTGATTCCAACATCGACGCGCCCATCTTGGCTACCTTCGAGGCCGCTATCAAGGAGCTCAAGGTCGCTGGCGCAATAATCATCGACAACGCCAACTTCTCGCAATGGGAAGAGTACTACAATTCCTCTGTCACCTTCTATGGTGCTGTTAACCTGGTCGTCGCCATCGACTTCATCACCAACCTCCCCCAGTACTTCGCCAAACTGACCACGAACCCAAACGACATCACCTCCCTCAGCGCGCTGCGCGACTTCACGCAACACAACCCGCACGAGAACTACCCCACCCGCGACACTGCGGTCTTCGATGCGGCGCTAACCGTAACCGGAGATAATACAGCGCCAGGCTTCCAGGCGTTCGCGGACCAGACGCACGCGTGGGGGACCTACGGCGGGGTGACGGGGGCGCTGGACACGTACAGGCTGGACGCTCTGGTGATGCCAAGTATGTATGCTCCAGGGGTGCCGGCGCTGGCTGGCCTGCCGATAGTGACGGTCCCGATGGGAAAGTATCCCGCAGGAACGCAGGTGCAGCGGCTAGGGCCGTGTGGGTTGGTAGCGGTGGCTCCGAATGTGCCGATTGGGTTGTCTTTTTTGGGAGCGGCGTGGAGCGAGGAGGAGCTTATCGGGTGTGCTTTTGCATATGAACAGCGCACGTTGGTGAGGGACAAGGTGAGGCCGATTGTCATGCCCACGTCGCAGTTGGAGGATGTGGTGGGCCACTAGTGGTGGGATGGATGAGATGAGGTGTTCAGCGGCTGGAAAGGGGGGTGCTCACTCGTTGGCTGGTTAGCTAGTTTGTGGTTATGTGTGCTGCTGGGAACTGGCGGGACTGGCTGGTAGTACAGAACCACACCTACATACATAATTAGGTGCAGGAGATATAAGATCACAACATCCCCCCGCACCTCTGATCAAAGACATATACCCAAGGCTGCGTCTTTCATCACCTTTTTCTCCTGCAGCCACAATTCTGAGGCACCTCTGTACGTCGGCGCCAACACCACGTGCGGTTAACCCTTTCGGTGATGTGATAATGGATTTGCTGTACATCATGTTGTCACCGCACCCGGACGGTGGGGGTCAAATTGGGGAAGCCGCTGCTGTTGGTGCGGGGGTCGTGCGGGGGTGCACATACAATGCGAACCTCCACGGCGCTGTTGCCTTGCGACATGGGGACTAGTGCATATAGTCGCGGGGTAAGTAAGGCTGACGGTGATAGGTGTTCTTAGTAATGTCGCGCAACAGCCAATTCACGGCTGAGAAAGGCGAACTGTGTTCCTCTACTCTGTGCTTCTCTGTGCTTCTCTGTGAGAGTGTAAGGAGGCTTGTGGAATGGCCCCGTCTGGCAGGTTCATGTCAAAGATGAGGAGTCCCAATATAGCTGGAGGTGCCGCTATATCGTCGTGTGTATCAAGATTCCAAAACCAGACCTGTCGGCGGCCGATGAGCCGGAAGCAAGGTTAGTGATCGCGGGGCTGTGCAGGACCTGCAAACTTACGCAAAATCTTAGCCTAATCCGGCTATACAAATATGAGGGCTACCTCAGAAAATGCGTAGTGCGGCGGCAAGGCAACCACTTCTACTCTGGTCCCACGTAGCCTGGCGGGTTAAGTGGTCCACGTTTTAGTAACCCACTGCTCGAGCCGCTTCTATGGAACGGTGTGTGTCCCACTATCTCAGATCTGCTGCCATGTTACTCGTTAACCTCGTCGATAACCAGAGTGGAAGGTTCAGTTCATGCACATTGCGCACCGCTACTACATCATAGATGGCTTACGCTTCCATGTTCTATTCGTGTGGGTGGTTCGGCACGTTCCCGCGGGATTCCTTGCATAGATAGCGGGCCATGTAGGTCAGTGAACTCCTCCTAGGATTCTAAGATGGCGTAGGTTTGGAACCGGACTTTATGCAGTATTTTGACGCCATGGAATGCCTTGCATAGATCCTGTTCCGACTTCGGTGGATGTTCGAAGCTGCACACTGAATTATATTCCCTTGCCTCCGAGTAAAGCCGATGATCGTTCCTTACTAAATCAATAGACAGAATATTAAATCCCTCATTCAGACGGTCTATCAGATTGATAACGATGGATCTAGCCTCTAAGGACCTATTCTCTCCCACCCTTTTCCCCCAGTTCAAGGCAACTAGCCCATTCCAGAACAACCATGGAGTTATTCCGTCCTAGTTCCAAGAATGTTCTCCCATGGTGTTGTGCCACAATGTGGGCCAAGAGGTTGTGCTTGGCCTACACGCCACGACGCGGGGCAACGTATCGTGTTCGAGAAGTTGACCCCGTGACAGGGGTCCTGAGACCTGGCAAGGCTGTGTCGATGATCGAAAATATCAAGAGCATATGCGCACGTCATGAGGGCTGAATTGCTCAACTAACATCGGGGGTGGTGTGCTGGGTGAGAATTGGTGTGGTGGGCAGCCCTGTGGGATCGCAAGACAGGTCTCGGTGAGTTAGTGGGCATTTTCAAGGCTCGGTCCATTCATTTGGGTGCCTCAATATTGTAGACAAAGGTTTGAATGCAATGGGAGACTGGGAATATATGTAAAAATCAATGCTTTGTACCATGTGGCTTGTTGTAATTGAAATAAACTGTGGCTGATCTCTTTGAAGGACCTGCCGCTTCCACTCACCGAGTAAGCCAAGGATACACAAATTGAAACATCTATTCAAGTATCAGCTTTGTAACCTCGGTAACATGGAATTTGCCTTGCATAGCCTCTATTATCATCTGAGTAGGATCTAGTGGGCTACATGGCAAACATGGCACACGTCACCAAGATCATGTCAGTTCTCATTTCAGTAACTGTTGACATGTTCGTAGTGATCGAGTCTCCCCCCACATTACTCTATTGCAATTTATTGCTGTTAAATTGAATACCTTATGAATTTGGGTGTTAAAAATCCGAATGGTATTGTTGTAATTAATCCGTGGTAGTTGATAAACTATTTTTTTGAGAGGATATTCGGTAATAATTTAATTCTCATAAAACCCGTCAGGGAAAAATATATTCCACCACAGAACCCCAAAACCTTTCGTAGGGATGTAAAACAAACAGGTTAAATCTTCCATATAATCCAGGCCACGCAGGACATATCAACAAGTGATTATAGTAATTGTAACTTTTTGTCTTGACTTTAATGCCCCAGTGGTTAAAACTGGGCTGGGGAATAGTCAACAGATCACGTGATACAGGCTCATTTCGCGTTTCTACCTACCTCACCAACGCCACTACCCCTTGATATTATACCGCCCACACATCACTACAAGATAAGAAACCTTTATCGATGTCTTAAGTCCTTTAACGGGACCATATTTCAGCATTTGTGTTGTATTTTGAGGAGTTTTGTCTAGTTTGCGTTGTAATTTCGACGTGAATCTCGAAGTTTCGTCATCGTTTCCTCTATCTTGTTCTTGAGTGCAGATCTCAGCAAACAGCTTGACTGCAACCAACCTCACAGAACCTACATTCAACAACGCCCAAAACTGCAAGTAACCGTCAAGATGTCGTACCGCGTTGGTAAGGTACCTCTTTTTAGATTCTAGTCTCTGTTTGGCTGTTTGCTGCCACATCCGCAGAAGTAAACAAAAGAACCCACTAACCCTTCTCCCAGAAATTGCCAAACAAGGACGTGCCGGGTGCCAGAACACGCCTTGCAAGGCAGAGGGTATCAAGATCCAGAAGGGCGAGTTCCGCTTTGGGACATGGGTCGAGATGGAGCACGGCGCGAGCTTTCGGTGGAAGCATTGGTAAGTTGTTTGTTCCTTATTTGGAATTCGTTTTGATGGGGCTGATTTTATGGGCAGGGGATGTGTGAGTGGATTCCAGATGCAGAATCTGCGCGAGTATCTGAAGCAGGGAGATCCGGATGGAGAGTACCAGTGGGATTTCATGGATGGGCTCGACGAGGTGCCGGAGGAGTATCAGGAGAAGCTCAAGACAGCTGTTATCGAGGGGAAGATTGCGGATGAGGATTGGAAGGGGGTAAGATTTCACCCTGTCGTGTTTTGTTTGCAAAGACTCACGTATTCAGGATCCTGCGTATAATGAGCTCGGACAGAAGGGCACGCAGCCCAGAGCTAAGAAGGCCAAGAAACCTGCAGAGGGCGAAGATGAGATAGTGCATACCCCTCGCATCACAGCCAGATTACCATGCTAATGAATTTTAGGATGCCGAAGGTGCAGCTCCTACCCCTGCCACCAAGAAGCGCGGTCGCGGCAAGAAAGCCGAAGACAGCGACGAGGAGGACGCGAAGCCAGCCCCAAAACGCGCTAAGAAAGCGAAGAAGGAGGAAGCTGACTCTGAGCCTGCACCCAAGAAGGAACCTGCGCCCAAGAAGGAGCGTCGCAATCGTGCCACGAAGAAAGAGGAATCTGATGAGGATGTCAAGGCCGAGTCGGAGGATGAGGTGATGCCGACCCGGACATCTCGATCTAGGAGAAGCATCGCGAAGAAAGAGGAATCTGCGGATGAAATGGGGGTTGAAGATGAGGCAAAGCCTTCTGTTGAGGTTAAGCCAGCGAAGAAGGGACGCGCTAAAAAGGTCAAGGCAGAGGCTGTCAATGAGAACGGCGCTGCTGAAAGCCCTGTTGAGGAGGCGAATGGCCGCGCTAATGCTACCAATGGGGCCAAGAAAGAACCTAAGGAGGGGCCAGCGGGTGTTAAACCAGAACCGGAGGAAGATGATGTTGTGGACATGTCTGGTAAAGCTACTAAACCCCGTGCGAAGAAGGCCAAGCGCGAGTCTATCAAGAAAGAAGAGCGCGACGACTCAGCTGTTGCTTCGCAGGTGAAGAATGAGGATGCGGATGTGGTGGATTTTAAACCAAAGCGGGGAAGACGAGTCAAGAAGGAGGAAACCCCGGAGGTGAATGCTGAGGACATCGATGATGATGCTGAGGCGGAAGAGGAAGAGACGCGTGGGAAGAAGAGAGCGAAAGTCGAGCAGACTGAGGAGGTGAAGCCCGCTGCGAAGACGAGAACAAGACGTAGTAGGGGTTAGATGGCTTTTGAGGGCTTGGAGGGATGGGGTTGGGTTGATATGCTCGGGGATGGCGATGGTATACTCACATGGATGGAGGTAATCAAAACGAGCTGTGCTGAAGCTGGCATTTGTTGTAACATATTTCTTGGGCAATGCAGCATGCACGAGATCATATACCTAGATAGCTAGCCATATATATTCCTACGGGCTCTGATAATACATTTTAATACAGCAGCGGTATACGCCTCTCACTATCCCTATTTTCTCCCGCTCCCTCTGCTATTCACAGTGACTGACGTCCCTTCTGCTAATCACAGCAACCGACGCCCTCCCACGCCCCTTCAGTCCCTCAAACGCCAAAACAACAACCGAATCACCAACACCGCTTAATACAGGCAAAAAATTACCAAAAAATCAATTGCTCCGGATCACTTACAGCCGGAACATGAACCTGAGCGGGGGCCCGCTTGTCTCGAAGGCGCCCCCCAAACTCGTAGTTCTTCCCCCTGAGCCACCTGGTGTTTTTGTTAGGGGGTGGAAGGGTATTTGGGGGTATATGGTTTGGTTGTGAAGAGGGGATTGGGGATTGGTTTATATTAGGTGTGCTTGAGGGATATTCCCAATTCAACATATTGGCAGATTTTAGCACTTTGATAGTCGAAGACTGTGACAGGTCCACGCAAGACGTGTTGTTAACTGCACTCATTCATACTCCTACGCTGCAGAGCATATATTACGCTTTCACATCAACAGTCGTACGTCGTGAGAAAATACTACTGTATAAAGTGTGATTCTTCATATCTAAAGACACACTAGATCTTCTCGACCCCATCTACGTCACCTCACTCAATCTCCATAACCTCTCTAATAACCTCATGTCCATCCCCCCACGCCCCTTCCGTTCCGTCACTCTTTCCCACTTCTTCAATAACCTCCCATATCCCCCTATCCTCCCCACCCACCTCCCACTTCACCACCCTACTCTCCTTCCCACTCTTAACCTTCAACTCCAACCTCCCCTCCACAACCACAACCCCAATCTCCCTCGACTTCCCCCCCACCTCCTTCCTCACCAAACACGGACTCGCCGTCTCCCTCCACCCCTTCAACCCCTCCCCCACCCCCCCCTCCTCCCCCTTCCCAACAACAGCACGCACCACCGCACACCCCGCTGCCCACCGCAAAAACGTCCTCACCTCCTCCACCGACGGATTCGGCGGCGCCCGACACACCGCCGCAAGCGCGGGCGTGATCTCAACGCGGAAGCGAGTCTGGATCCCCAGATCGGAGCGGAGCTTGATAGTCACGCTCTGGCCCGCGGGTAAGGGGACGAGGAACTCAGCCTCGCGCGAGGAAAGGAGTGCCGCGACGCGTTCTTCTGTGGAAGTTGCCGCGGTCAGGGTGGCTGGGACCAGAGTCGCGGCGGGGACATCAAGGGAGGCGGCGCAGAGGGTGGTGGTTAGGGAGGCGGTAGTGGCGCGCAGGGCGGCAAGGATGCCGATGTGGTGTTCGTATGCGAGGAGGGGGCGGAGGAGGGCGTAGGGTGGGTTTGGGCGTGGGGCGGAGCTGATGGGGGGAGGGGGTTGGGTGCGTCGACGTTGGTTCTGGCGGTGTGCGTGGCTGAGTTCGAGGTGGAGGGCTAGGGAGAGCATGGTTACGATTTCGTCATGGGGGCGGGGTTCGGGAGTGGTGGTAGAGGGGGAGGTGGAGAGGGGCTCGAGGCGGAGGAGGATGCGGGTGGTGGGGGTGAGCTGGCAGGAGATCTCGTCACCGGTCATGCGGACGCTGTGGTTGGCGAGGGTGCGGGCTTCGCGATTGAGTTCTTGCCAGAGCTCTTCTTCGAAGACGGCGTTGCGGGAGCGGAGGACGAGGGTCTCGAGGGGGGAGGAGTCGGGGGCGGAGGTTGAGGGGGCGAGGGCGCCGGTGAGGATGCCGTTGGTTTCGATTTGGATGAGCACGCGCTTGGGGGTTGGGTCGGCGGCGCCGTGGTCGAGGTAGGCGGTGCCATCTGGTTGGCGGCGGAGGGCGGCGAGGCTGCGGTTGCTGAACGCGGGGGCGGCGTCGAAGAAACCGAAGCGCACGCCTAGTGTGTGTTGTTCTTGGGGCAGCTTGCAAGTCTTCCAGCCCTTCTCGTCAACGGATAGAATGGCCTCCCAGTACTTTGTCTCGGCTGCGATTTCAGTCTCGAGGCGTGAGGCGGCGTTCAGGATGGATTCGACGCTGGTGTTGAAGCTTTGGATCTTCCAGCCCTTCCCGACAGCGGCAATGTCCTTCTTGCGAGGCTCAGTGAGGCGCGTGTCCTTGACGCGGTCAGCACCGAGAGTACCTAATGAGACAACCTGCCGCAGGCCATCTGATATCGAGAGGCCGGCTTGTACTGGTTGGTCTTTCGACAGGAGAAGCGCAACGAAGTCGAGTGCGATCATTGAGGCATGGTGTGCTTGTCTGGGAGGGTGGCGTTAGTGAATATCCTGTTTGCAATTGCATATCGGCGAATCTCACTCTAATTGGGCCAGCATCTCGGCCTTCGCGTCCATCACTTCCTTCTGGCGATCAGGCGCTGCTTCGGTCTCATCCTCGGTGCTCATGTCCTCATTGTCTGCGGCAGCCTCATTCTCGCCCTTTGCAATCTCTTCCAGAAGGTCTTCTTCGGTGAGGTTCCTGAATTGGCCTCTTTCGGCATTGATTCGAGATATGAGAGTCGGAAGCGCAGAGCCATTGCCTTCTTTGGTGGGCCATGGTCGCAAGGACATGGGGAAGTTGTCGGGTATGCCGCTCATTGTGGTGTTTTTGGCGGTTCAAACGTTACTGGTATGCAGTTGCCGCCCTCACTGTCTCCTAGGAAAACAACTGAAGAGCAGCAAATAAGCAGGAACAGTTCACCGAGCTCTCAAAGAGCTATACCAATCAACAACACCACTGTCTGAAGCTGTGATATTCTTAGCGCTAGCCGCCTATCAACAACCCACCTACTACCATCACCACATAACCACAGCCTGCGAGCTAACGGGACAATCGGACCGACACTTTTTCCGATCAGCTTTAAAATGCCCACTGGTAATTATGTAAGCGGCCGATCGGCCGCCGACGCTACCAAGTACCCACCTACCACCGTTCTTCGTACGTGTACATGCGCTGGTGAGCAAATGCTATCACCCAATCTCAAGCTATCAGTGGTCACTGAGTGGTCAGTTAGTGCTCCATCACTCTATCCTGGCAATCGGCGAACACCAAAAAGTTCAACCTCAACTCATCCCACCCACTTCTAGCCCCACCCTTACAGCATCATACTTTAGAATTCTTGTCACAGTTGCCCCTCACTCCCTACAGCTCAATAATAATCTTTATCTCCCTCAAATATTTGTCCTTTTCTCTAGAAACAATATCCTCGAATATCGAAATAACCTCATCTTTTTCCTGTACATTCTACCCCCGAAGTGATCGTAGATAGCACAGTTCTGTGACGTACATACACCCCCACCTTCCGTATCTTCCCTTGGCAGCTTCTCACAGCATTTTAGGCCCCAGATCGGGTTTTGCGCAAGTTCTACCTATTATTATCGGCACGAACTCCAAGAGATCGCAAATATGGGCATGCTCGATCCCAGACCGAATGGCCAGAAGGCCGAGTTGCTTCCCAATGGCAAGAGACGCAAAATTGCCATGATGACGAGTGGCGGTGATGCGCCCGGAATGAACGGAGCTGTACGAGCTGTCGTCCGATCCGCCATTGACGAAGGCTTCGACGCATACTGTATATACGAGGGCTACGAGGGCCTTGTGCAGGGTGGAGATCTCATAAAGAAAATGTCGTGGGGCGATGTCAGAGGCTGGCTCTCCGAGGGCGGTACGCTGATCGGAACCGCACGGTGCAAGGCATTTTACGAACGCCCTGGGAGACTGAAGGCTGCCAAGAACATGGTTATCAATGGAATTGATTCCCTCATTATCTGCGGTGGAGATGGCTCCCTCACTGGTGCGGACAAGTTCCGATTTGAGTGGCCCGGCCTGCTGGAGGAGCTGGTGCAGACCAAGGAACTCACCGAAGAAGAGATCAAGCCCTTTATGCACTTGACGATCGTTGGTCTGGTAGGATCTATCGATAACGACATGTCGGGTACGGATGTGACGATTGGTTGTTTCTCGGCGCTGGCACGCATTTGCGAGATGGTCGATTACATAGAAGCTACTGCGTCGTCACACTCCCGTGCGTTTGTTATTGAGGTTATGGGCAGGCACTGCGGCTGGTTGGCCTTGATGGCCGGTGTTGCAACTGGCGCAGATTTTGTCTTCATCCCCGAAAAGCCCAGAGCAGACAACTGGCGTGAGGAGATGTGCACAATTATCGCGAAGGTGAGTAACTGCCCTGGTTACCAGGCTAGCTTACTAATCCAATATAGCACCGCGGAGTCGGAAAGCGGAAGACTATTGTTATCATGGCTGAGGGTGCCAATGACCAACAAGGGAATAAAATAACGCCTGAACAGGTCAAGGACTTGCTCGCCGACCCAAAGGGCCTTGCACTCGATACAAGAATCACAACCCTTGGACACGTTCAACGTGGAGGGTCAGCATGCTCGTTTGACCGAACATTGGCCACACTGCAGGGAGTTGAGGCTGTGAGAGCCGTCCTTGATGCGAAGCCAGATACACCCACATGTTTCATCGCAATCAACGAGAACAAGATTGTTCGAAAGCCACTGATGAAAGCCGTCCGCGATACACAAGAAGTCGCAAAAGCTATTCAAGCCCGCGACTTTGACAGGGCGATGGGTCTACGTGATACGGAGTTCGCAGAGATTTATGCTTCTTACTTGATAACTACTGCGACATCTCTTGACAAAGCTTTGCATTTGCCATCCCAGAAGGTTTGTACCCACAGTCCCCTTACTAGGTCAATATGTCTAACGCTTTTGTCAGTGCATGCGTATTGGTATCATCCACGTGGGAGCGCCGGCTGGTGGCATGAACTCGGCAACGCGAGCCGCCGTAGCATACTGCCAGACCCGGGGGCACACCCCAGTCGGCATATACAACGGCTTCGCCGGCTTTACGAGACACCACGGCGATGAGCCGCTCGGAGCTGTTAGAGAGTTCGATTGGCTCGAGGTTGACAACTGGGCTTCCAAGGGCGGATCAGAGATTGGCACGAACCGAGAGCTTCCAAACGACTCCGGAATGGCTACAGTCGCAGAGCTAATTGCGAAATACAAGATAGACGCCATTTTCATGGTCGGTGGCTTCGAGGCGTTCCATTCTATGTCCCAGCTCCGCAAAGCAAGGAAGGAATTCCCGCAGCTGGCTATCCCCATGGCTCTCCTGCCAGCTACGATATCAAACAACGTCCCAGGCACAGAATACAGTCTCGGGTCAGACACCTGCCTCAACGAGCTTGTCCGCTACTGCGACACGATCAAGCAATCCGCATCCGCCTCCCGCCGCCGCGTCTTCGTCATCGAAACTCAAGGCGGCCGCTGCGGCTACGTCCCCGTCCTCGCGGGCCTCAACGTCGGCGCCACCGCCGTCTACACCCCCGAAGAAGGCATCAGCATCGACATGCTCGCCGCAGACATCCGCCACCTCCGCAAGGCCTTCGCCGAAGACTCCGGGCAGTCCCGCGCCGGCCGCCTCATCCTCGTCGGCGAGAAGGCGAGCAGCGTCTACTCCGCCAAGCTGATCGCGGATATCATCCGCACCGAGGCGCATGGACGCTTCGAGTCGCGCGATTCGATCCCAGGACACGTGCAGCAGGGCGGCACGCCGTCACCGATGGACCGCATCCGCGCCGTGAGACTGTCGATCAAGTGTATTGAGCACCTTGAGAAGTTCGCGGGCGCGTCGGCGCGGACGATCGCGGACGATGCGCTGAGCAGCAGCGTGATTGGGATCCGTGGCGCGAGCGTGACGTTCACGTCGATGGAGCATGTGGAGTCCAAGGAGACAGATTGGGCGAATCGTAGACCGCTGGAGGTGTTCTGGGCGGATATTGAGCCGGTTGTTGATACGCTGAGTGGGAGGCCTGAGATCCCGAGGCCGGAGCCGGATGTGAAGGGGCAGAGGGCGAAGGATATTAAGAGAGGGCTTGTGAGAGGCCCTGTATAGAGCTAGAAATAGGGTTGTTTCAGTTGGGCTCAAAATTTGCACCTGTAGCACCTTTAGAATATGATGAACGAAAATATTTTTAACGGGGCTGGCTAGTTGTCGCGATATTTCAGTATATTTGGAGTTGTTCCTGGCACTCATGTCACATGTCTTGGCGCTAAAACCGCTGCATTTCAAAATACATCGCCAAAACTCCTTTGGCTTCTCAACAACAACTGGACACCTGGCCATACGGCTCGGTATTGCGCAACGAATAATGACAACCAGTTTATCTCTCAGCTAAGTTCACGTGGCATGCAATCCGAATCTCTCCTCTTTGTCTTTTTTTCTTCCGTTGCCGCTCGCGTCAGCACCGTTTCTTTGTTTTTCGAAGGTGTTGGGTTGAAATCACTCGCAACCTGCTACATACAGACTCTGCCTTTGAAGCAAAGATCTATATCGGACTGCCGTTTGCGGATTGATCTTATGGGTTACTCCTGCTTTCCAGATTGGCTTGAAGATGCAACTTGGAAAGAAGAACTGTCTACAAGGCCAAGCCGCAAGAGTAACCCATGAGATCGATCCTATATACTCGCGGTTGTAGAACGACCGCGAGTATTTAGGGGTGTCGATTGACTATCCTTCAAATGTCCCCAATACAATAGCATAGCTATGCTAATGCATCCCAAACCATGATACTGACTCTCTATTTCACCGCTTCCCTGTTATTTGGCTTGTGTGCTTTCAAATGTACGAATTCGGAGTCTGCACCATTGACTTGGCTTGCGGTGGGCGACAATGGCACATCTCCTTTCAAAGAGTTATCGAGTTATTTCTTTGTCAACCTTCCGGATGCGTCGATCATTCAACTCTCATATGCACTCCTACGAGTTCCTCGCAATGTTATAATGGCGTCCTGGCCCCCTTCAAAGATTTAAAGAATTGGCCACTGCAGCAAACTTTGCGATCGGCTGATTCTATTGTCCATACATACTTGACATTATTCCCAAATCTCATTCAATCGTCAAAACACTTTTTTGCAGTCGCATAGGTCGACATCTATCCCAATGGCTGCCATCCCGATAAGCCCTCCTCCATATGCCGAAAAAAGCCCCAGAACACCGCGGAAATCCAATACGAATCCCCTCGGAATTCTCAACTTTGGGACCCCAGGGAATACACCGAGGAAAATAACGAAACAACGCTCTCGACATGACACTCCAGGCTCGGTGGCCAATAAGGCATACTTCAGCGCTAGTCCTGATGTCGTAAAGGAATTCTTGGTATGCCTAGCAAAAGGATGGGCCCCTGAGCACACAAGTGGAGATAGGCACCTTTGTGGAGTGTATGCTCTGCACCAATCCTTCCGAAGCATGATGGGCGGGACCCAAGCCTTGCGGGGATTCGGATTCAAGGCCTTGAAGGATGAAATCGGTAGCGAGAGGTTCAAGACATTTCACAGAAACGCCATAAGAAGCCGGATGGAAAAGTTCGGCTTTCAAGGGGCTGATTTGGATGAAGCGGTGAAACAAGCAATAGACCAAGCAGGTTTTGGGAACAACGACTTCTATAGTGTCGAGGAATTGTCAGAGTTTGTTCGATATATCAACAGGATGTATAACGTTCAATATCGGCTTGGAATCGTCTCAAAGTTTGACAAGCGGATACCATCGGCTTACATTGTCGAAGGCGACGACCCCCTCAACCAGCTACATTACCGAGTTATTTGGCTCTATAATATCGATAACAATCATTGGGAAAGCTTCGGCCCAAAGTCTAGCGAGGATGGCCGGAAAGCTCGACGCAAATGGAGGCTTCTAGAAAACTTAGAGACGGTGGTGAATAACGGCCTCTATAGAGTCACGGTTGCCACGGAAGGAGTCCCGGCCGAGTATACCCTGACAACCCTTATTGACCAGTGGGTGTTTCAAGTGGCACCCCCAGAGGGCCTCGAGCCAAGAGAGGGCCTCATTTATGTCCACACCACCAAGGGCCCCAATTCGGACAGCTGGCGCGTCGTCGGCGAGTCGTCCATGGAGACGATTCGCCATCAAGAAGGATTCATACCTTTAGCCAACCTCGAAGTAGTCAACACCTACATAATTCCTCATGATCGAAGAGGGATGGTGGAGAAATCCAGGAAACCTACAAATATTTTAGACCAGCGAACGGGAAAGCGAAAGCGGACGCCACCACCCCCGGAACAGCCACCTGCCCCAGGCGGGACTTCCGGTGCCGCTCCTGGTGCTACTGGGGGATGCACTACAATCGGGGCTACCACAGAAGGTCAGGAACAGCCTGGTCAGGAGCAGCCTGGTCAGGAGCCAATACCAACGGGGTTGCCTGGTCGCGTTACGGGCCCTCAGAACGATCTGCCGATAACCCCCGGGAATGACGGCCCAACTGTCAGAGGGCCAGTCGAAACGCCTACCTGGATTGAAGGGCCACAGGCCAAACGGGTAGAACCTCGGATCCAGCTGCCACCAACCCCCGGGAGTAATGGCATAACTTTCAGAGGGCCGCAGACCAACCAGCCAGGGGGCCTAATTATCCAGATTCCGGAGCCAGTGATTGTACAGCCAATCCCGCCGCCTGACCCGCGCCCAAAGGTAATAGGCCCCAACACGCCCCTCACAATCTCGACATTTGTCAACCGCCGAGCATTCGCCCCCCGCCCCCGCCCCGACTCGACACGCGGCCCATCCCTCGGTGCGCACCCCCGCCTCCCCCCCGGCCGCCCCAAGAGCAGAACAATGGCCGAGTTCACGGCAACGCGCAACCTGAAGAACGACTGGGCGCGTACGCGCTTCCTGAACTTCTTCCTAGCCGACGTCCCCGACACCGACGCAGACGGGAAGCGCTTCAGCCCCAATCACGACCAGCCATACCACCAGGACCAGGTCCTGCTCGCCCTCGACGAGACCTATGAGCCTGGTATCCCAGGGCCTGTGCGCGTGCGCACCTTCGATGAAGATGAGGGGTGGGCGCACTCAGCGAACTTGCGGAAAATCACGGATCCATTCGGCCTCGATCTCAATAGCGCTACCACGCAGTATAGTATGGACCCCAACGAGGCCTTCCGCGAGGACCTGTACCCGACGGCCTTCTTGAGGGGTCTATGCCAGGGCTCGCGCATCGATCCGAATGGAAGCAGACAGGAGATCATGGCGGGGCTGGCGGCGCACCGGATGGAGCTGGGGGTGCCGCTTATCTTGTACCGCCTCGTTGAGGCGGTGGGCGTCTTCTTCAAGGACGACTTGGTGCGTGTTCCCGGCGATCCGCTGGCGAATCCAGACGAGAAATTCCGGGCGTTTGGGCTGGAGCCGCATAAGCGTGGATATGTGAGGGGACGAGATCTAGTAGCGGAGCCGAGGTCATGGGGTGCGCGGGTGAGGCCTCATGTGCATGGGTTGACTGCGCCGTTCGATGTGAAGTGGGCGCTGCCGCCAGGGAATGTTAAGGATTTGGTGCCGCTGGGGTCGAAGTTGTCGTTGCATGGGTTGAACACGCCGCCGAGGGAGGAGAATGGTGAGGTGGAGGTTGGGGGAACGGGTTTTGCGCCTGCGGGGCCGGTGGTGCCTTCGCGACGCCCAGGGCAGGTTTATATGACAAAGGATGGAAGACCGAGTTTTTTCACTCCCGAGTGAACGGAGCGCTAGAACGATGTTATTATTTTGTTTTTGTAGTTGGTTAGATTCATAGTTATACTCGGCAATCTTTTAAATGCTAGCTTGTCCATGGGTTCGAAAGTGACACTTCGAATGGAAACATACTGACAAGAAAACATCAATGGAAAGACATCATAGGATTCTCTAGTGGAGCAATTTGAAATCGTTTCCTGAGTATTCATGATCCTCAATAAATCAACGAATCTGATTGTTAACAAACTATGCACGTTACTACGCTGCACAGTATAAATTATTTATTAATTTGGGTATGACCACCGACGCCCCCATTTAACCGACAAGACTATATACATATATACATCATAACATTAACGAGATACGGGAACCATTCCCTAAACTCCCTGGTCCCACGAGGTCTTCCCCGTCGTGAGCGTGCTGCAACTACTACGGCCCTTCATTTCCAAGCTCGCAGCCCTATCAGCAGGGCTAGTTTCCGTAACCCACGACTTCTCCACGCGGATCACGTTGTCTGCCGCCGTCAACCCGTCGCCGCCTTGGCTGTGGAGCTCGAACCTGTTACTGGTATGCCGCATTTTGCTGGCGAGCTTCACATTTATCGATTTGGCCCAGCCGGGTGTGGTGGGGGTGCGTGTTGCTTCACTCATTTCAGTGGAGGGGAACGATTTGGGGATGATCTTTACTATCAGGGGGCGGAGGCATATGAGACTCGAGCAGATGACTGCGGTGAATGATTCGAGGATACTCCATATAACAGGGTCGACGTTGGCATCTGTCCGGAATTAGCAACACAACTACATTGGCATTGTGGGGGCGGGCAGTCAACATACAAGTCAAATCGATAGTCGTGCCATACGAGACAATATATTTGAGACGAATAATGGAAGTGATGGAAGCGCTACATTTTTCACGTCAGCAAAGATACCGCGAAGACCAGATGGAGTGTACTTACAAAGACCCAATGGCGAACATGAAGACCAAAACCAGCCTCTTCTTCAGACTCAGTGTCAATCCATTCAACTCGTAAACTGGGAGGAACATGATAACGATGTCCTCGAAAATGCTCACTGCAGCACCCGAATACACGAATGCCTGCTGATCCGCGCATTTTCCAACTACCGACTGGTCCCACGAGACTGCAACGGGTATGCACTGGAAGACAACGACGCAGACGAAAATAATGGTGCGGCAAGCCATCCACACAAGTGATATGTGGATGATACGGCGAAACTGTCTGTCAGGGAAAATCCGAAGGTATAAAAAGAGAATAGAGACCTTTGCCAGGCCTTGTACAAGAAGATAGAAAATTTGGGAAATGTAGTAGAGCTATGCTGATAAGCTGGTGAATGTAAAAGGGGCGGGGGAAGAATTGTACCTTCCTAAGTATTATGACATTTTTGGGGTCAACGTCCCAGAAGTGCCTTCCGAAGCCGAGTGTAGCATCTAAAGTCATTAGTTTCAACGTGGAACTGGTATGCATCAAGGAGGGTCATACTGTAAATTGGAATAACAACCATTGGAATCATCAGGATCTGTCCAAGATCGTTAATAAAGGTATCAGTAGATTGGATTTCGGGTCTTCTTACAGCTGCAACCACAACTGCCCAATCGTCTAACCATAATCTGTTTGATACAAGGCTCCTGGAGACAAATCTCAGGGCAATAATAGGAAAGGTTATTGCGGAGATTATGATAACGTCTCGTATAATCTCCGCACTCCGTGAAGGTTGTGGGATATCGTAGCATATTCCATTTTGGAGAATGAGTGTCGCGGCTGTATAAATCAGCGTCAAGCCATAGTCAAGGAAAAGACTCGAAGTGAAGTGCTGGGAGTATATACCGGCTTGGTCTTCAACTTTGCATGTTTCCACAACGCAGACTGATACTTGTAATTGCAAGTCCTCATTCGAACAAAAGCAATTTCTAACGTCAAGCAGCTCGCACCCGGCTGCCTTTAGCGTTGTCACACTACATTTTTGCTGGGGAAGGTGTTAATAAGTTCTCAGGCCGAGTTACAAACAGATATCTTACAGCACATGGCGGCACCTTCGTGAATGCCTCTACTAATCGGTTGGTCTCGGATTCTGCGAGGGCGACATTGAGCAAAGACGCTATAGATACGAGGATGCCCAGGATGCGCATCTTGCAAAGCTGATGCAGACAGACACAGGTGCGACGAAAAAAGAAGGCACAGACATGGTGTTCAAATAGATTCCATAGCCTTGATAATGTATAGGCTGGCAGCTTTGCCCGCAACTGCCCCACAGCGGCCAAGAGCGGGGTGAACAGGGTGAATAGGGGTCGGGACACACTTTCTAGGACTAAATTGTTGTGAATGTCCGATCATAATCCATAGCATGTGCCGTGGCGTTGATGCCGGTACTCCACAATCCAGGAAGCGATATGTGGGGAAGGTGGAGTCCCGATCATCCTCGCTCCGTGTCTTGGAGTAGCCTGGCGGAGATCTTCTGTATATCTGGATTGGTAGACACGGGGATAATCGCACAATAATCCACAATCGAACAACGAACCGACGGGATGGCATTTAGACAGAGACATATCGGTAATTGGGTCTGTAAGCTTCGATTCGAAGTCTGGTACTCTAACGGAGAACTAAGGCTGATTATCATCAACTCAGCCAACAACTACGGTTTTCGCCTTTGATCTTTCATCATTTATCTACCTGCACACTACATCGGTTGTCGGCATGACATTACTCGTGTAGCTTTACTCTTCTCTAGCGGTTTGAACCGCGCAAAACTATTGCGGCCCCCGTTCTAGCTAACTCATTTTTCTTAAAACCAATATACTTGGCTGCGCTGAAGACTAACACTCTGTTCCGGTGCATATGGCCCAAGTGGATGCGTACCTTGCCCTCTACTATGGCCTAACTCGGCTGTGGCGTTGATCAGTGGATTTTTACAAAAGCAGCTGCAAAATTGATGACGCAGGGTTGGGGGGAACTCGTCGAAGGATCTCCAGGACCTCGGTAGGGTAACGCAGGGGCACAGGGGTAGGCCAATAGTGCAGGGCAAGGCCGGGGAAGGAAAGACATGGGGAGAGACATGGGGTTGCCCTTCCCATCACAATATTTCGCACATCATATTGACAGCGGCACAGTCAGTATACAATTCAGTAGGGGAGGTGATACTATCCGCAAATCACGATTACCCCTTTTATAGTAAAGGGCGACCGAGCACTCTACATCAACGGAACTCAAGATTCCATAGAGTAAATACAACGTCTAATTATTATGACACCATCATGACCTATGGCTTTGATAACTAGGTTGTCGGCTCGATTCGCCTATTTCTCCCGCCCACGCTGGGTTTTTCGCTGTGTTGGTGTTGTGATGTCGGCGCTGTGTTTGTGGCTTGACACCGCTGGCTTGGCTGCTGGTACTTGTGGGGGCGGGGAACCCATTAACTGCGGGGTCTCCTCTCAAAAATGTCTACATCCGAACTTAACATGTGGAGCTGAGAATTGCACTATGAAGACCATGAGACCGTGCTTTTCTTCTCTTACTATTATGTACACCGCAGTTATTTCGTGCTCTGTACATTATATACCGATCGACGCTCCCCTCGTCCGGCTGAGACCTGTATGGTGTTTTACTCTCCGGATGCCGTCAATAGTCTATCTGTAGCCCTGTCGACAAGCCTTCACCATGCTGTGGATCATGTTGGATCTTCTGGCCCATGTTACTCAACAAAGCCACGGTGCCGGAAGATGACTGCCCCAAGGATGCAGGACTTCCGTGGCGGGCCGGATATTCCTCCACAACTAGCTTGCGATTGACATCGATGCCCTCAACAAACTAGGCGACTACCGACTGCCGGCCTACATGTCTTGCCCTGCCGTGGAAGCATGTCCGGAGTAAGATACCGTGCGTCACTGAGACTACTGAGATTATCGGACGCTACTAGAAGTAATCCGAAGCTGTTGGTATTAGCCTGCCCTACTAAATAGATAGCTCCCTATTAAAGCTTGCGACGTGATGTTTACACCCTATAGTGAGGTCGAGCGTGCTCGCGACATCGAGGTGAACGGTCATTAGCCCTGGCGCAAGGAGCACTAAATATTAGCATACCGTGCTGCCGTTGGTAATGGGATTCGGGCTGTCTTAGGGTGCCGGCGCGCTCCAAGCTCACGGCACTAATGATTTGAGATCCCATCGGCACTTAACAGGGGGTTAATCGATAATCAATTATAGACTTTGTATTCAGAACATGTCTACCCCATTCAGTGACACCTCTCCGTTACGCCTCCCGTCCATCCCCTGAACTCCCGCTTAATCAAACAATCCAATGCCCATCATGCCCCCTCCCAGCCAATTCCTCAGACATTCCTCAGACATCACGCTTCACCAATGCAGGTCCAAACAGATCTTCCCCTTCCTTCTGCACCTTCTCCCTCTCCAGCTTCCGCTTCTTCGCCTTCCGCAACTCTTCCTCCCCATCCCCATCCCGCTTGGCCCTCCGCAGCCCCACCAGATCAGCCTTCTCCGGATCCCTGCACCGAGTCAGCTTCTTCGCCAGCCCCTTGAGCTCTCGCATCTCCGCCTCCCCTGGCTGCGAATCAGGCGGTACTGCAGCTAGCATATCGGCACAGGCGCGGAGAGTCTCCATCACGCGCTCGAGAAGTGGGGCAGATGGCAACTTGACTGTCATAAACCACCTTGTCAGTTCCGCATCGGCGAGGAGTAGCGATCCTAGCATGATCTGCGACGGCGTGAAATGGAAGTATGCATCTGTGAGCAGGGCGGATGTCTTAAGACGTTCGCGTGCGTTGCCGTGGGCATCACGCACCCGCGCCGCCACATCGCCCAGCTCGGGTGGTATCTCTGGATTGTCCATGCCTGGCAGTACAGGCGCCGAGCCGTTGGCAAGGGCTTGCAGCTCCATGGCTGCGCCCTCGAGGGCGCGGAAGGGATGGCGCACATCGAATGTGAAGCGCAGGGCTTGGGTGAGGAGGAACTCGGAGGCGAGGACGTCTTCGGGCGTCGTCTTGCCAATCGCGTCGGCGAATTTGGTGAGGCGGTAGTAGTGGTTCTCGGTCTTTGTGGCGAGGAAGAGGCAGGTCTTGAGGATTGCGGCGGGGGGATAGGTCATCGTGCTGTTGGTAAGGTAGAAGCGCTTCAGGTATTGGATTGCTGTTGCCTAGCGGGGTCAGTATTGGAGTGCTCAAGGGGACAGGTTGGTGGGGTTGACGGGGGTCAAAATACCTTGACGTCTGTGGGTAGGTTGAGGTGGTCGCCGAGCTGGAGAGCTTGCTGGCAGAAGAAGCGTACAAGCTTCAACTCCTCATCTGGAGTGAGGAAGTTCACCTCACTAGCCGCAGTGACAGCTGGAGTGCCACTGCGCTCAGCTTCGCTCGTCTCGGCGCTGGCATTTTGTGATGTTGACGCCGCACGACTGGCCTGAACCCGGGCAATAGCTGCTCGAACTCGCTCTGTTGCTAACTTGTTTGTCTTTGAGCGCAGATCTGCCAATCCAGCAGGAGTATAGGACCAGTACCTGTACTGGCTAGAGGTACGGTAGCGATCATCTTCATTCATATTTGCTTCCTGGCATTGTCTGGCAAATGCTTCTGATGGAGAGAGGAATTTGGTGATGGGAGCAAGACAACGGATCAACGTTTATCCGGCGAGGCTGTGGTTTGCTGTGGAAGCTCTCGACGACTATCATAACGAAAGCATAAATATCGTACATAGATAAATTAACATGTGACTGGTGGCATGTAGAGATGAGGTTTCAGTCCCAGTGCAAATAAAATAAAATGCACTTTATATTCAATTTCATATCATTGGGTATTCCTAAATTTCATGTCCGATGTGACCCTCGCGGCCCACCCAAACCCCTATAAACTCTACGCCGATGACCCGTTATGAAGGAAGTTCCACAACCTGGCTAACAAGTTCAGAGCAAAACCAAATCCAGCGACGACCGTAAACACCTTGAACACTTCATACCAATGCGCGGGCTTCATCTCCGTCTCGATAAAGCCCTTGATGGCCACTGTAGACCCCTCGGAATCCTTCGTCTTGGACTCTAGGTCCTGGGACGCAGGGAATCGTCCTGTGCTCATATATTCCTCGAGAAACGCATCCTTCTCAATCCAGCGTTCTCGGATCCAGAGATCAAATTCCCCTGCATCATCAAGAGGAATATCGGAGAGCGCAAATCGACGCCAATACATGTTCACGGACTTTGGTGGCCTTCCTTCGAAGTAGCTGGACCGAAGAGTGAAGTAGTCTTGGCCAAACTGCCCGCGGCTATCAAATGATTAGCGGACGATTATTATAGGAGGTGATGACAATACTTACGCAATACCTTCATATGCCAGAGTGCAGTCGTATACATAATCAACTGTGCCTTTCAGCTCATTCAAGCAGAAGAAAGAGCCAGTGCTTCGTGGCAACATCTGATGCTGGAGGTCTTGGAGGCCTTGCTTTGCTGCCCATTTCGCACTGTTGATTCTCCCATTGTCGCTCAGATTAGTTCCCTCGGGGAAGAGCATGAGCCACATTGGCCTCAGAAGTTTCGTGCCGGGAATCGGTGTTTTTAGCTTTCTGAGCCTGTATGCCATCCTAGCCTTGTCCTTGGACCATTTCCGCGACATGAAGATGAAGTTGAAAAGAACCATGCCTTGTCCGAGGAGGGGGATGTACTTTATAGTCTCTTTCAAGATAATGTAAATGTGACCAGACGTCCTTGGTCTGTTAGCATATCCAATCCACCAAAGATATATCCAGTCAGAGTAGAGCTGCAATGAATTAGTAACGTCAGCTCTCGGATATATCAGTCAACGTACCTGGTGATTGGCAATCAATACTATCCTTTCGGGGAAATTGCACTCAAGCCTGCCATCTGGTAATTGATGAAGCTGGCCCCTGACGCTCTCATCACCACTTATTCTGATAACAGTTGGACTCCACCACTTCGTCATGCAAGTGATGGTAGTGCCGAAAGCCTCCTTTGCCAGAGCTATATTTTTGTAATACCACTCTCTCTTAATCCAGTATAGTGGGATTCCCACGAACTCTGAAATGACAATTCTAATGACTATCAATACAGGTAATCACGTGCGGCTGGGGTAGGACATACGTGCAAGCGCAGGACCAGAAGTACGTCATGAAGAGGACGAATCGAATAAGCTGCTTCGGGCCTCCGTGGACGATTTCACCAGAAGGATGGTGGTCATCTTGCGCAACTTCGGTGCTGCCTCCGCCGAGATCTGGCATTGGAGCCGGCATCTTCGGCCGGCTCTTGATACGGGAAGCGCTCATGTTTTTCGGTTGCCGAAGAAGCACGTACGGCGTCTTTCACTTTGCTTGCCAGTCTAGAAGGTAGGGATGAATGAGAGACAGCTTTGCTGAAATATATACGTGGCGGGGTGGTTTGTCCGGTGAGGCTGTAGCCTATTTTCTTTGGCCACCGCGGGATGCCCCGTTCGACCCTACCTATAGGACAGAGTTGTGGTATGTAGTACCTTTGATCGAAAATATCAAAGGATCAAATTCTAGCCGCAGAATGTAATGCAATTATCCATGGCGAGCAATAAAGCAACGGCACAGTTGCGTCGGCGTTGTGAATATGTGCTGGCGATGTGAATCTTCGATGCCGCTGAGTAAGATGTGTGCAGACGAATGCCGAGAACTAAAAGGGAAATCATCGGCATGACGCGTGACTTGGCAACCCGAAGAACGGAACTTGTCAAATCGGATCCAGTTGATTTGTCCTTTTGTGACGCAAGGCTGCAGCCTCGGGGATGAGCACGGACCGAAGCTCAGCTAACTAGCTATACTGTACCAACTGGCATATCTCTGCAACATCCAAGAACCTTATCACCAACTCATATTAGCTTTCTAACCTCTTCCGTGCTTTACATCCCGGGATTGGTCGAGCTGAATGAGTAGCGACGATGCCTAGTGTTTGTTTACTGGAACTTATAACTCGACTAACTCAACAGTAAGCTCAAGATGCTGCTGCGTCACTGGCGACTTCGAAGCACCCCGACGTCTTGCCTACGATTATTCTCCCAGTCAAGTCGAAGGCAGGAAATCCGTGATCTCGCTCAGTTGCCAGATCGAATTATCCCCAAATACCTCGAGAGTCAACAAAGCGACCTCCTCTCCTTACAGTGGCCCTCTCCGCCACGAAACATACTCTTCGTCAAGAAAGATGGTGCACCGGCCGTGACAGAGTCGATGATAGAGTACGCGAACTATATACATCAAAATTACGAAAATGTATCTCTGATATTTGAACCGCATGTCGCAACATCTGTCCAATCATCCATACCGTTTCCAATCTACACTACCTCCGACAGCTCTGTCCTCTCGAGGAAGGCCGACATGACAACCACTCTTGGCGGCGACGGCACAATTCTGCACGCCTCTGCCCTCTTTTCCACAACAACCCATGTTCCGCCACTCCTATCTTTCAGCATGGGCACGCTTGGGTTCTTGGGCGAATGGAAATTCGAGGAATTCAAGCGCGCCTTCCGTGAAGTCTACATGTCGGGCGCTGCAGCTGGTTCGCACCTCTTCCAGGACCAGCAGCACCCCCACGTTCAAGACATAGCCGGCGGTGAGACGGGAGATGTGACCGGCTGGTCATCTATACGTGGGAAGTCCATGGGGACATCCAGGCTATCAAAAGTCTTGTTGAGGAACAGGCTGAAAGTAGGCGTGTTTGATGCGAATGGGCAGAAAGTCAATAGCGATGGTACAGTTGAGAGTGAGGTGCGCGATATCCACGCCATGAACGAGGTTATCATCCACAGGGGCGCAAACCCTCACATGGCCATCATTGAGATCTTCGTTGGTGGAAGATTTTTAACTGAAGCAGTAGCTGATGGGATGATCATTGCCACACCGACGGGTTCTACAGCGTACAGTCTTTCGAGTGGGGGTAGCATTATTCACCCCCTCGTGAGTAGCCTACTCATGACACCTATTTGTCCGAGAAGTCTCAGTTTCCGACCGCTTGTCTTACCGGCAAATACGCCACTGACTCTGCGGTTAAGCGAGAAAAACCGTGGTCGAGAGTTGGAGGTTAGCATTGACGGAAAGCGTAGCAGCATGGGTGTTGCCTGTGGCATGGAAATTCGGGTTCTGGGGGAGGATATTAAGCGTCCGGATGGGGCCTGGTCTGGCGGCGTACCATGCGTGATGCGGGGGACGAAGAGCGGGATGAAACATGATGATGGATGGGTTGGGGGGCTGAACGGGCTGTTGAAATTCAACCATCCGTTCGGCGAGGAATAGAGGATTGTGACACTACCATGGGACTCAAGAGACGGGAATACTCTGGTTTTAGAACTACCAGGCGCTGTTCAGATTATCTTGCGAGGTATCTGTGGACCCCAATGAGAGAAAGTCGATCTATAGGACCTATGATATAACGGCCTCTCATCATACGGTGCTAGCATTTATAACGCCAATATGCCGAATCTTACCACTGAGAATTATGACTCATTGGTAAGGTCGAAAGGCTACCGCTTATGCCGTGGGAGGAGACCTCCAATTCTGAACTTACTTGTGGGATGTCCTCTGGCTAGTTGGACTCATAAGAAGTCATACATATAACCCATTGCAATGGGGAGATAAGCATTTATTTCGTTAATTTAGCAGGAGTTTCAGGGTTGGGTGGGAGGCGCAACGGAGATGAGAAACCCCTATTTAATAATCTCTATATATTATTTTACCGTGCATAACATATTCCACCCGAAATTCTCCTCCGTAGAAAATAGAAAACTAATGATTATTAGTAAAAAATTTTGACCGACCACAATCCCTGAGAATGGTAATAAGAAGCCAACAGTCTATTGCAGCATTTGCTCAGAGCACAGGGCTACAGGGTTAGATCCTGCGGCGGAAACATAGGTCGATAGGACCAAGCTCGCGAATGGCGTGAGGCGAGCATAATGCTAGAGCTGGGAGCATGGTGATTTAAACACTGAGTAAAAGCTTCCATGACGATGTCAGACTCCTCAGGCTCGATGTTGACAGTGTAGGTTATTCTGCCCCACCAGTTCCCGCAGAATACAGGGTCGGAGGTTTGATCGAGGAAAATCGGTGGAAAGTGGAGCTTGTAAGAAAGTTAGCAGTAGCAACCCCGGATAGGAGGTTCTTAAGCTGGGGAAGGTTTACTTGGAGGCCTTGAGTCGCAAGAAACAATACCGTGCTCGTTATTCTTGTGTATTGTGCGGCTCCCTCAAGTGGCTCAAGGTCATGGAGTAGGATCTGAACCACAGGCCCTGCAGGATCAACCAAGTCGCAAGTCATATCTGTAGGACTTCGTGGATTTTTCAGAAGGTTAGATTTGCCTTCAAGATTCAGATGGGAGAAAGTAAAATAGAGGATAGGGTATAGGAGAACGTTAAATAATTAGATTTTAATAAAACATGCCATGCATTTAATGTAAATTAATAAGAGTTATATTATAATATGATCTGATTCATGACATGGTAGAAACTTGTCTAGGCAGTTAGTATGGTAAACCAGAAAATACCACTAGATTTCGATGTGTATTTCTGTATTTAATAATTGCTCTAATAAGCAGTGGTGCGCCTGATCTTATATAAAACGAACACTCGTAGGGGCCTGTTTATGGCTATTTATGACTGTATATGACAGAGAATTTATAGTCGCAATTTAAGCTGATACGATCCCTCTCTTAAACTCTTTTTCCAAGTAGCTTATAATAAGTTATATCAGCTAATAGCTTTTATTTTAATTGCAGCTACTATAAACACCGATGTCATGTACAGCCCTTATTCGGGCTTTTGGGCAGCACGAGTACTCATACCCATACCGCCTAAATGTTTGAAGTGATAAGATAAGATCTGACAACACTCCCAAGAGGGAACAGACCCCTATTAAAGTGGGGTGCGCGCCCTGAACCGGAAGCTATCCCTTTCGGGATGTGACGAGTTCAAATAAACCACTTGAAGCCGAATCCTACTTCAAGGACAAGCCACGGGCGGCTATATGATTGATATCGGCAAGATATGTTATTCGGTTGCAAAGCGAAGCTCATTAGATCACCGGACCCACCATCTGCGCGTCCTGGTCGAGCAAACGGACAAAAAGGACGCAAATGGGGTATTCATTGCGGCAGCCTGATTATGGGAGGAGCCACTACTGTGCTGCGAGACATTGTTATCATGCTCCGTCCGCGAGGTGATGTGATGGAAAATCCCCCATGCCCATGCCGAAATCTCGAAATGTCTCACACGTCAAAGGCCCTTCCCCTCATCCTCCAGTAAGGCTCAGGAGGAGACGAAACGTCCCCACTAATAGCACAATTCGAGGGTCTTGAGTTCGCCGATCTACGAGGTTGAAAGTCAGCTTCTCTGATTCTATGATATCATGTTGCTAATATGGCAATAAAGCCCGAGACATGGAGGACAAGGAGCCCATGATGAGCACTAAGAACCGCGAGCGAGACTTCGTGTCACAGAATGTAATGACCATCACGTGGCACATATACTCTCCCCCTCCACTTCCCGCCTCCGGGTTCCCATTCCTGCGCGCCCCGGGCGGTTCTTTGTGCTGAAACTGCCCTTGGACTCTCCCTCTCATCACCCGGCGCCAACGCAGGTACTACACAAGTGGGACGATCACTTCCGCTCGTGCCCTGGCTGCCGCCACCAGCCCGCCGCACGTCCTCACGCTAGCTGCTCTGTGTGACCTCTGCATATCTGCATGGTTATGGGCCAATCGGGACCTACGCCTTGTCATGCGCGGAGAACACGCCACAAAGACCGTAATTGCGATGTTGGAATGGGTGCACAAAGTTCGTTGTCTGAGTGCAACATGCGCCACTGCGCTGCTCCGTTTACGGCCAGGGATGTGGGTGCCTGGGGTTCTGATCTGGGACCTGGGGGTCTATCCTGGAATCGCGGCTGCTGGGGTTCTTTTGAATCCGCATTCCACGCTTTGGACTGACCTACATGCATCCTAAGAAGCAAGGGTTGTCAATCAGTTGCAGGACGGTTGCGTAAGAGTGCATCCACGGATCTCACTCTGAATCACGGCTCATTCAGCAAGGGCTGTCTATAACTGCCCCAAGGCCGCGCCAGTATGGCTCCTTCAAATTCAAAGATCGCTGGTGCTCGACTACAGCAGCTTCAGCGCGTCATGGAGGAGAGCTCACGAAGACCATTCATTCGGGCCTATGGCCAAGCAGATCTCGAGGCTATCATGCACATTGTGAGTTTTTGGCCCCATTTGCTCCCCCCCAGAGCCCAAATCCCATGCCACCTATAACTTACAAATCCCAATATGAAACGAGCACAGAAAGCTAATCCGCTCCAGTGCCGTGTTACTGCCCACTCAGCCGCAGCCCAGGAACCAGCCAACACCATCGTTCCTCTCATCTTTGCCCTCCCATATGTCATCCTTCATCCTGAATACACCTTCGTCCTTGACAACGGACATGGTGACTGCGTGGGCTACTGCGTCGCCGCACCATGTTCAGCAACCTACCTGGAACGCTACAAATCCGAGTACCTCCCCACCATCGACCGCTCACTCTACCCACCTCCACCACCTTGTCCTGGGGCCATAGCCGGCAACGAGATCGAGCGCATAGGCAAGAATGGAGACGTGGCCGCCGCCCTCATGCAGCGCCTATACTACCCGGACGAATCGGTGCTACATAGCAAATGGCCGGGTCTACTTAAAGACTATCCAGCCCACCTCCATATCGATATCCTACCCGAGTACCAGGGCCACGGCGGAGGTAAGAACCTCATAGCAGCACTCTTGGCGAAACTCCAGGCCGACAGCGTGCGTGGCATCCATCTCATGAAGTCCGGCGAGAACAAGGGCGCCGAAGTATTCTACGGTCGAATGGGATTCGAGCGATACCCTGTTATCATGGATGGGGGTGAGAGCGGGGAGATCGGGCGTAAAACCGGGGGAGGAGTTTGCATGGTTCAGAAGTCGAGCTAATGGGTTTACTTGCACGGCTTCAGCTGAATGGGAAATGGAGCTAAAGAAGGGGCGTCGGGGAAGTGCCGGAGCACACAGGAAGGGGAGTTCTGGCTTACTATTTCTTCTGTACACGAGGTGATGGCGCGAGCCGCAGGTTCCGACGGCGTGGTAAGGTGTTTAGCTGCTTTTAATGGAAGATTTTTGATTGGTCTGATGCATTCTTCGCCGTATCCATGCATGCAATCATTTCGCTGATAACGAATCGGAGGGTGGCGCCCAGGATGCTTGCGCATGCCACCTGTACAAGGCCAGAGAGCCGGGACTTCGTAGTTTGTTTCGAAGAGCGCAAGGCTTGCAAAGCGAGAAGTTGTGCCGCCAGTGGGCTGTGAGGTGGGATGGTAGGTGTGGTGGGGGCTTCAGGGGCGCATGCGGGCGCGGGGATGTTGGAGCGCCCCGGGACGATCACCCATTTACCCGATCACGATTGCTGGTACGAACATGCGAGCAAGCTGTAGGGATTTGTCTGTTGGGACTCAGCCGTAAGGGTTCAGCTGTAGATTTACCTGTAGGGATTCTGTAGAGTAGGTTACTTCCAATTTCGAAATACACCAGGAGTTATGGGTTGTGATGGGTGGGTTCGACTACAGAGCGTGTTCTGGATTCCCTTGCGTGGATCCCGCGCGAGGATCCCTTGCATGAGGGAAATGGCGTGTGCGCGGGATTGGCCAGCTAGCAAACGAAGAGGATATCGGTTCCGTTCCACCCGTGTTTGCTCCCGTGGGGAATGGCTCCTTCGGCCGTGTTTGCTCTATCGAGGGCAGCCTTCTGCCGACCCTTTCCCGTGGCTCCGTCCGCAGCCTCTCTAGTATCACGAACGCCAAGTCTAGATGCCGCGCTATTTGTTTCATATCTCATTATTTGGTACTAAGATTTACGTCGCGGGGCTAGCGGACTGATACTGGAGGGAGCACCACCAAATGGCAAACACAACCTAGACATTCCTGTTTTTGTTGAGCGAGTACAGTAGAGTACCTCAGCTTAGCGTACCAATTTAGGGCGCGAGGGTGGGAGCTGAAAACCATATGGGATTGCGACCCTCGGAGATGAGGGGGGTGTAAGGATGTCGTGGGGTCTGTCTGGGGTCAGGGACTGGGGTCGGGAATGAAATTTTGGGGTCAGCTGGGGTTTTATAGAGTATGATTGAGCCCAAGGATCTGGGTGTGAAGAAGAAAGAACCCGGTTTTAGGGGTATTAATTAACACAATATACGAGTTGCCCAGATAAGAAGATGCAGCATGTGCAGTAAGCCTTGCAATACTTATAATGGGTCATCTGGGCAGTCGCTATGGGGCGGGTTAAGTAAATTTCCGACGACCATTGCCTTGACACATACATTTGTTTTCATTGTTTGTACGCACTGTACCTAACAATAAAAGCGTACAATATAGCCAGCTTCCGACGTCGTATTTACTCCAAGATGAGAACAACTTCCGATGAACTTCTGATTCGTGCTCAGCTGTGTGCAGATGCTGTCACCTCGCCATGGCTGGTGTTCTCGTATCAGTTGTCCCAGTTTGTCGTTGGTTTGGCCGTACCGAATACGTACCCGCACCTCGGGCAGGGCCGGGCCGTCGCGTGGGATGTCCAAAATAGAAGCTTCAGCACACAGTCATGCGCTAGGGCCCAAGTCTCCGAGCTGTCGGAAATGAAACAGAGATCAAAGAACTATGGTCGTTCGCTCCGTATACGAATGTTATATCCCCGCATCTATTTCGCTGGGTATATTGAGGTGGTGACAAAGCGACCGCAAACTCTCGCAGTCAAGCTGATAATCCGCAACAGTACCGAGCATTTCTCCCGGTTATTTGTCAACATTCCCCACAGCAGTGAAGTTGATGCATAGGTGAGACAGTAAACTTGGGTTTACAGACTCGACACAGTTTAAAAGGATTATAGGAGGCCAGTCTGTTGCCGGTGGTATCCACTAGGGTAAAACTATTTGAACTATAGGGCACTATGGTAGCCTGATCCTGCGCCTGCCGGTTGTTACACAGCAATGCTAGCCATCGATCTTGCATTCTGGCCGAAAAGCCCCCGCTACTACAGAACCTGTGTCCTGAAAAAGATATAGTGGATGTGCCACAACGAGCACTCTTCTTTAAATTTTATCGCGAATATTGAGAGGCAGCTCCGTCTCCTCCTTTCCAACCATCCTGCCATCTCTTCAATTCCCACAATCAAGACACTAGCTGTTTCAGGCTGGCACAGGCTCTCTCAGCTCGAGAGCGACTCAGCCTTAATGAAGAAGACTGCCAAGAAAGCAAATGTGAGGTACTGTAAGTCACTCGTACTATACTGGACTGTGCAGTATAGAACTGCGCTAGGCAGCGTGGGCGATGGGAGATCGTCCCTTGAGCACATGGCAGGTGCGGAACAGCTCAAAGTCTTTCTTCATCCCCTCCCCTTTCTCCATCTCTGTCAATATGCTCGAGTATCCCATTGTCATTACAAGCCCCTCCAACCCTCGCCATGGAAGCCCGCGCCTCAATGTTCTCTAGGCTCCTGCCAAGGCTCCTATCGCAATGCATGTACTATATATAAATCGAGTCGCTTCCCTGTAAGCCTCGTTTTTGAAATTCCACCTCTAAAAACCCCAGCTTATAACCACCCCTTTCTCTTCTCCCTCGCGCCCCCAAGGCTGTGCACAGCATCCGTATTCTTATATTTAATTACCCCCCAGACACGATGCTACAACCTTCGGCAGCTAGTATACTTTTTTTTTCATTTCATCAAGTCTCCGATCGTCTTTGTCGCCAACCATGACTAAACTTCTCATCATTTTGTCACTATTTACATACACGGTCTCAGGTGCTCCTGATCATTTCAGGCTGTGGTTTCCTCAATATGGCCCAACATTTGAAGGTTATGTGAGGTCATGCAAAGAAACATATGACGCCTACAGAGAGGATAAACCTTGTCGCCCGGTAAATTATGTAGGGTGCCAATCTGGAAGAATGATCCATTGTCTCCTAAGCCAAGCCACCGAGTCTTTGAAAGCAAACATGGCGTCGGCTGGCGTTATTTTAGGGCTCCTCCCCACTACACTGTGTCTAGTCGGGTTGAGCACCGTTGAGACTGGTCTTTTAGCCTATCGGCGGCCTTTATTATCGCTGCTCCTAGCTTCTGGAGCACCGGCAATTTCTCCAAGCCGAATTTTTGACTATCGAGACTCAATAGAGCTACTCCGAAATAGGTCTACCTACATCAATACACCTAAATTTACACCAACGTGGGCGGCAATAATAGTCACCCTCCAGTACATACTCGCATCCGTTGCAATTGCCAACTTAGCGCACGTTAGCTGGGAACTGTGTATCAAGACAGTTTGCAGTTTCTCTTCGGACACAGCGTTCCAACCCGCACTCTGGGCGTTTGTAGCTATACCCATCCATCTAATGGGACGACTTGCAGTGGCACTCCGTTTCCGTTGCGAAATATCGGAGTTAGAACCTGGAGAGCGTTCATGGGCAAGGAGGCTTCGAGAGGAGTTTCAGCTGACTGCAAGACACTCGCCTGCCACACTTCACACTAAACAGGAAGCGTATTCGTTTATATTTTGCTCCTGGTGCACATCAACTGGGGCAGTCTTGCACATCATGTACGGCACACTTGTTTTCTCAAGCATTTTGTTCATTAGTGCACAGGACGCAATAAAGGTAGCGGCGAGGTATCTATGCTCTACTCTTATCTGCAGGATCATTCTTAAGTTCGAAATTATAGGGATGCGTGGTGTGATGGAGATTGAGAAAGAATCTAAAGAATAGCTTAGTAAAGAACACAAGTTTGTGCGTGAAACATTAATGAATCTAACCGTCATGCACCTAATAACGGCGTGAAAAGGTTGTTCATGGAGGACTTCGCCCAGAATGGATCCGGAGTGTGGATAATTGGAGGCCGCCACACCCTTTAAATTGTAATATGTGCCGCCCCAACTGACGAAAGAAGTCGATAGATTTAACTAAGAAACCAACAAGGTTCGAGGATAAATATTAGTTGCAAGGCATTGGTAGGGTGTATATAATTGAGCGAATTTCTTGCACGGAGGACGCCCAACCATGAAATGGTAAAAAACGAGGCCAATTTGTACGTGGTTTCCGTTAGTATTTATTTTGCGTCTTCACAAGAAACTGTGAAGGAAACTTAATAACTATAAGTCTACATCGATCTAACAGTCTAGAGTATTTCCCTTCTGTTGAGTTATTGTGGTGTTTGTCTTTGCCTCTGTTAGAATTTGCGGGGTTGGCATATGGGATGAAACCTTCGGTGGATAGCTGTCCTGAGAGGAAATTATCCCGGCCCCTTCAATAGGTCAGTTTGGCCAGTACACCAAAATTGCAATATATACGGCTCATCAGGCCGAATGTGTGGGGTTGTCACTAGATCACAAGGTTTCCCCATATTAATTAAAGCGCGGCGCCGTCGGCCCTTGCTCCTCTAACCGGAGGACGACGAGTAACGCCACGACACACCTCCGTAGCCCTCTTACTTACCTGGGCTTTTACGCCACGATTCATTCCCCATACTTAAGCTTATCACTCTGCCTGGAATTTACTGGGCAATCCTGCGCGGTAGCCCGGCAGTGATTTTGGCAGGCCAAAAGTACAATGGGAAAATAAGCTCAACATGACAGATTTCCCAGATGGCTTGGGCCTCCCGGCTTGGCCATCCGGATCAGCGTCACTTATAGTATTTACCAATGCCCGAATGACGCTAATCTTGGCCAGATTGAACCGTTTCAGGGTTTAATAAGCTTTAATCACAACCTCGGAGGTCTGGTTCCGTGGCATCATGGCAACTCGAGCCTGCTCCTTGAGCGGGGCTGGCCGAGAAGTCCAGCACGTCTCTCTATATAAAGAGACTTACGCCTCCACGATCACTTCGTTAGCCAAGGTTTTATTCATATCTGCTCAATCGCCTTTGAAAAAATGAGGTTTTACCAGCCCTTAGCCGGTGCGTTGCTCATCGGTGCTGCCCAAGCACAGCAAGGAGCATGGGCTCAATGTGGAGGACAAGGTTGGACTGGCGGGAAAACATGTGTGTCAGGTTACCAATGCGTTTATTCGAACGACTGGTACTCTCAGTGCCTCCCTGGTACTGCCTCAACGCCGACTACTACCGCTGCTCAAACTACTACCGCTCCTGCTCAAACCACTACTGCAACGAACCCTTCAGCGACAGGCTGGAAGTGGCTTGGTGTCGATGAGTCCGGTGCTGAGTTCGGACAAGGAAGCCTTCCCGGTGTCTATGGCAAGGACTTTATCTTTGCTTCGACCGATGTTCTTGGTGTATGGACTCCCCAAACGATGACATACCTTTCAACTAACCATTTGATAGTCGCTTATGAAAGAAGGCTATAACATTTTCCGTGTGCCCTTCCTCATGGAGCGCATGGCGCCCGGCGGAGTCGGATCGGCATTCTCAGCGGCCTATCTTGCGAACTACACTGTTGCAATCAACTACATCACTCAGAACGGAGGATACGCTGTTGTCGACCCTCACAACTTTGGCCGGTACAACGGTGCTATCATCACGGATACGAATGCATTCGGCACCTTTTTCAAAACCCTAGCAACGGCCTTCAAGAGCAACGCCAAAGTTGTAAGTCAAGTCCTCCCCTAAGAGCTCTCTCACCCAAACTAATCCAACCAGATCTTCGACACAAACAACGAGTACCACGACATGGACCAAACCCTTGTCCTAAACCTAAACCAGGCCGCCATCAACGCCATCCGTGCCGCCGGCGCCACCTCCCAATACATCTTCGTAGAGGGCAACTCCTACAGCGGAGCCTGGACCTGGGCCAACGTCAACGACAACCTCAAGGCTCTCACCGACCCCCAGAACAAGATCATCTACCAGATGCACCAGTACCTCGACTCCGACGGATCCGGAACATCGGATGCCTGCGTCTCCTCCACCATCGGCGTCGAGCGCGTGACCAGCGCGACGGCATGGCTGCGCGCGAATAAGAAGATCGGCATCATTGGTGAGTTTGCGGGCGGTGCTAACAGCCAGTGCAAGACTGCTGTTACCGGCCTGCTGCAGCACTTGAAGACGAACTCGGATGTGTGGACTGGTGCTATGTGGTGGGGTGGTGGCCCATGGTGGGGTAACTACATCTATGGCTTTGAGCCCCCGAGTGGTACTGGGTATACGTACTACGACTCTACTCTCCTGCAGTTCCGCCCATGATAGGTTTGTCCATTGACAAGGGACGGTACTGAGGGGTGATTTGTAAATAGCCGTTACATTCTTCTCACATATTTTGTGGTAACATTGGAAGCTTCACGCTGACATCTTTAAATAAAATCCTTACCACTCATTTCCAACAAGAGAGACTAGAATATCTGAAGTTCCTCATCATCAGCTTAGATCTCAAACCACCTCAGAAACGACCTTCCTCGCAACCACAAGCAAATGATCCCCAGTCCCCACATCCAAATCCTCAGCCGCCCCCAACGCAACCTCAAACCACCTCCTAAACCCCTCCTCATCCAACCCATTCAACCCCGCCGCCAACCCCCCACCCAAAAACGACTCACAAGCCACCATCCTCTCCACCTCCAACCTCACCCCCACCTCCCCCTCCCGTCCAACACACGTCCCAAAAAGCGCCCCCACCTCCTCCCGATACGTATGATGCCCTACATTCCTTGGATTCCTCGTATACTGCCCCGTCTCCAAATACTCCGCATAAAACCCCGCCTCCATCACCAGCCTCAGCGGCTCTCGCTGTGCTAGGTCACGGAGATGCGCGTACTTCGTCACGAAAGCTGCGATTACGAATCCACCCCGCTTAGTGGCTGTCATGCATGAGTGTAGGACGTGGAGGCGTTCGTCGATGGAGAGGAGATGGTAGAGTGGTCCCTGGCAGAGGACGAGGTCATAGTAGTTCTCTCGGAACACCTCTTGGACGCTGCGGATATCGAGAGCGTTGGCGCAGGTGATATTTGCCAGGGCCACGCCGGATTCTTGAGCATGTAGTCTAGCTTGCTCGAGCTCGGTTTGGGAAATATCGACGAGTGTTACATTGTGCCCTTGCTTGGCTAATTCGACGGCTGGTTTGGGGGTGTTAGAGTCGCGGCGATGCGAGGAGGTGGCGTCTTAGATCACGAACCATAGCGGCCTGTGCCTCCACCGAGATCGAGGATTTCCTTTGGTCCGGTGGTGGGTGGGAGGGAGGAGAGGGATTGTTGGATTATGTGGAGGGAGATGGCGAATTCGAGGCGGTTGGTGATGAGGCGGTTGTGTTCGAGGTTGGCGTTGGCGTTGTACCACCCTGCTACTGTGGATGTGGATGTCATATTGGGGGTTTGTTATTTATGAGGTTCTAATTTTTATGTTCTGTAAATGTGATATATGTGCCTATTTTTTTTAACGACGGTCTGAGTAACAAGTTCTGCTGCAAATATTTCTAATTGTTATATCGGTGGTGATGCGGCATTTTTATCATCGTCAAAATGCCTCAATCTAACATCGTCTCGTTTTATACCAGTTAACATGCGGCTTCTCACCTTTCTAAAATTACGAACACATCTAGTTATTTATCAACTAGCTGCTTTTACGCGTTAAAGTTCATCGACGTAAGCACGGAGTATTTATCAACGGGTTAATCTCACAAGACGGCAGCATCTGCAGATCTCCCCTGTCACCACCTTCGCCAAGATCACATGCGGCTGTACAAGGATATATGAACAACCTTACCCACAAACACGCGGTCCATAAGTGGATAAGCTTTCAAGCACCGTCCACCATGTCGGAAGGTGTCAACTTCCCATGCCTCACGCACACAGCTTTTCCGCCAACTACTGCAAAATGGGGAACACGGAGGAGCTTGACCTCGTAGTCATTGGCGCCGGTGAGTTAACCCCCAAAATGCCGTGCATGAGCACCACCACTGAACCCATCCAGGCTCCTATGGCCTCGCAGCCGCAAAAACATTCCTGGAGGTGAACCCTTCGGCCAGCATCGCCATCCTAGACTCCGAGGAGACGATTGGAGGAGTATGGGCGGAGCGGAAGCTGTATCCCGGTCTGAAGACCAATAATATGCTCGGGACCTACGAGTTTAGTGATTTGCCTATGGACACTGCGACGTATGGTATTAAGGCTGGGGAGCACATCAGCGGTGAAGTGGTTCATCGTTACCTCAAGGACTATGCGCGGAAATTCGGCATCTACTCTAAGATCCGGTTTCAGACTAAGGTTCTTTCTGCTGAGCAGGCTGGCGGCGAGGGGTGGTTACTCACTGTTACGAAGGGATTTAGTGATAAGGATGCCCTGAAGACGAGCGAGGTGCTGGCGAAGAAGCTTATTGTAGCCACGGGCGTGACTTCGGATCCGTTTCTGCCTAGGTTTAGTGGTTCAGAATCGTTTGGGGCTCCTCTGTTCCATACTGGCGATTTCAAGGAGCATGCGGGGACGCTGGAATCAGCGAAGACTGTTGCGGTTTTCGGTGGCACAAAGTCGGCTTGGGATGCTGTCTATGCCTATGCAACGAGGGGGGTCAAAGTCGAGTGGATTATACGTGGTATGTAAGCCCCAGAATCCAAGTCAAGTGCAAGCATTAAACATCTTCAGAATCCGGCCACGGCCCGACTTGGATGGCTCCACCATATGTGACACCCTTGAAGAGATGGCTAGAGAAACTCGTACACACTCGCTTCATCACCTGGCTCAGCCCCTGCATCTGGGGTAACTTCGACGGCTACTCTCGCGTCCGATCTTTCCTCCACGGCACCGCAATAGGACGCACTCTCGTGAACACCTTCTGGGGCATCCTAGGCAACGACGTGAAGACGCTGAACAAATACAGTTCGCACCCCGAGCTAGCAAAACTCGAGCCCTGGAACGACGCATTCTTCGTCGGCGCCTCAGGTATCTCAATCCTCAATTACGACACTGATTTCTTTGAACTCGTACGCAACGGCACAGTGTCCGTCCACATCGCTGATATCGAGGGGTTGGCTCCTAAAACGGTCTTACTTACTAAAGGCGAAAGACTGAAAGTCGACGCTATGGTCTGCGCAACAGGGTGGAAACACCGCGTGGCTCTCGATTTCCTCCCAAAAGATCTCGATCTCGGACTTCCCCACCACACCACCTCCGCACCCAACGCGCACACCAAACAAGCCAACGAAGAAATCCTCTCCCGCTTCCCCAGACTCAAGCAGCGCCCTGCTGCACGCCCGAAATACGTCCCCCTGACAGAGAACAAGGGAATCAGCGACGAAGACCTCGCGCCCCCTGAGGAGACATTCGAGCCCTTCCAGCACTACCGCTTCATGGTTCCTCCGTCGACGATTCGCGATCGGAACATCGCATTCACTGGATTCCAGCTGACTATCAGTACCACGATTATGGCGCAGGCGCAGGCGCTGTGGATCGCGGCGTACTTCTCGGACAAGGCTGGTGCGGTTGCCATTCCTGCTGATGAGGAGGAGGTCAGGTATGAGGCGGTGCTGCATAATCGGTTTGGGCGATGGAGGTATCCGGAGGGGTTTGGGGTTATTCCGGATTTTGCGTTTGATGCGGTGCCGTATTTGGATATGCTGTTGACTGATCTGGGGTTGGATTGTCATAGGAAGAGGGGGTTGTTGAGGGATATGTTTAGTCCGTATGGGCCGGAGGATTATAAGGGTCTTGTGGGGGAGTGGGTGTCGAGGGTGAAGAGGTAGAGCAATTTAGATAGATGGCGGAACCCAGGGAGTATGTGAAGCAATATACGAAACGTTGAGTGCATCAACTCGCGTTGTAGTCCCAATGAAGCATGAAGTCTGTATCCAGGCTACCTTATTACACGATCCAAATGTCAAATGGCCTCATTTTGCAGCCATTTTCATTTATATTTCTTCCAAGTTTCTCATGCTCCTGTCAGTCTCAACTTGGGTTACTTCGCTAATAACTCGAAATATCCACAGAATTTCAGGACAACGACAACTGAGAAGCGTAACGGATGATTTATAGTAAGACCAAGAAATAAGGCCTCCCTTTTACTTTCATATAGTAACTGAACAAAGTCCGAACTATAGGTGGTGAATCTAAATAGGCTTTGTCACGTGCTCAAATGCAGGGACTCGGAGACGCTAAATTAAGCGATTCCGTTTGGGATTAGTATAGTTTTAATATTTCACACGTGATATCGTGACAATAACGACTGACTTTCTGAAGAGTAGGTCACATTATAACCATGAAATCTAGAAGAAGCACAGAGTTTCCTCAATCTAAATCCCTCGTCACGACACCTAAGAGTAGCTGCTGTCAGCCAACCCAATCTCACGTGAGAGCCGCGTACCACCACCCACCACTACCAAACTACACCCACCCACCTCTCCCGCCCTCGTACCAAAAGCTCATTTCCGAGGCTGACAAGCCCACTCCACCCTCCTCCCCATCCCCCCTTCTAACTGGCCACACCCTTCTGCACCTTGACGCCATAAACGCGGTCAAAGGCACAGAGGTAATATTGCGCCAAGTCCTGTCTATGCCGGAAATGAAACGTCTGAGGGGCGGTGGTGGGACACTTGCGGCGCAGCTGGGGCCTTGGCTGCCTGTCAGACTGGGAGGGGATTGGGAAAAGGAGGTGTGGTGGTTGGTTGGAAGGGGGGGTTGGCGGTGGGAGGGAGGGAGTTAGTGGCGGCGGCTGCCTGGGGCTGCGGTGAGGCTGTCTGTTTTGTGGTGGAGAGGAGAGGGGTGCGAGGGTGTTGCAGTGTGTGGATGGATGGACGGACGGGATGTGAGGAGGAGGCGTGCTGACTGGCGCCGGTACGGTACGGAGTAGGGCACGCACGGAGATCGGGGTAAGGGATACGCGGGTTCTCGCAAGGTTTGGTGTTGGTGGGCGTCGTTGGTGGGAGACGTGCAGGAAGTTGGTTGTGGAAGACCGACCCGTCATGAGCGAAACCCGACGGAATCTCACGAAATCAAGCAAGAGCGGCCGGCACGTACGAACTTCCGATGTGAGGAGGTATGTTGTAGTAACTGGTGTAAGTTGGTTACTGAGTAAGTTAGCATACTCGAGCGTCGTTCTGTATGAGTATACACACGGCTAGTTCCAGTACCCGTCCGTCATGGCGTGCGTGCTTGGCTATTTCAAGATAGGGACTGTGTTGTACGAGCTGTGCGGGCTGTACATGCATGCATGGCGGATTCTCGCCTTTGGGTGCTAAATTATCCAAGCTCGGTGTGTGTTATGCACGTGGAGATTGTGAGGATTGGGGGGATTGCGATGAAGATCAGCCCCCTTGCGTGTAAAGCATGAACATGTTCTAAAAGAAGCTCGGAGTAGGTAGTACGACGATAACGGTGTTGACGACGACGTTAACCATCTTCGACTCGATATACGCGTACACACTTTTGTAGCAAGGAGAGGAGTTGTTTCTGTGCTGTGATACGTGACATTCTACTAGATTACATGCTACTACTAATGCAAACTACTAACTAAAAACTACTAGTAACCTAGCCTCAGGCCGCCGTCGATAGTCGTCCTGAATTCAAGTTACTTACTCCAGAAAAGCCTTGGTTACCAGTTTATTAGCAGTTACCACCAGTACTACGTGTATGGTTCCACCGAGTCATGTACTAGAGCAGTCGTAAGCCATGGGGAAGACAAGACAATACTCCAGTTATTGATTGAACTAAGCCATACTATACCATACTATACTACTGCCATACTTACTCTCTCTACTCTACTCTGTATACTCCTTCCATACTACGTTCCTTGCATTCCTACCTAGTACCGTACTCTACTCTACTCTACTCTACACACGCATGAAAAATTAATCGAAATAACAAAATACGATAAACGAGAGTGACTTGCTCTCCCGTACACCATCCTATTACCGTACATGTCACTCGGACTGCCTCGGATTATCTTTATCTCCCTCCTCCTGCTTCCTTCCCTCCCTTTTCCCTCCTAATTAGCGTCCCACACTGCAAAAATGCCTTAAAGTACGCCCTAGCGAATCCCATTAATTGGCTAACTCCTCTGATGTTCCTACTCCGTGTACCGACACCGCCCCTCCCATCCTTCCACCCCCCCAAAATTCAACCAAAAAACCCCCCAATGGGCCGCGCCTCTTGCGTTTATAGTGACGCGTAGTTTCCTAACTTGAGAGAGTAACCACTCCCCTCCCCCCAAGTCTCTTACCACTCTCCCTCATCGCCACCACATTCATTTACAACCACACCCCCCTCTCCCTCCACAAAACCTAGGATACATACCTACGACGTTCCGATATCCTTAATGTCCTGCCTTTCCGGACGTCCTACTCTCCTTACCATATGTTACGATGCGGAAAGGAACGAAGGTCTTCATATTCGTTAATTTCGTCGTTATTTGCCTTCTTGTAAATGCCTTCAGCACACTTATCGCCCTCCTCTTCGAAGATGGAGCCGTCCACGCCATTCCAGCTGCCGATATCATGAGGCCCAGCGAGGACCATACCGATCGCAATGACAGACAAGTTATCCCTCGAATAATACACCAGACCTATGTCAACGACTCCATACCCGCGCAATGGGTGCCCAGCCAGAGATCGTGCATCGACCTACACCCCGACTACGAGTACAAGGTGAGCTCCCCCCCACGCCTCATCGCCCTCAATTCCCCCAAGATGGACACATACTGACGAAGGCAATCTACAGCTCTGGACGGACACCCTCTCCCGCGAGTTCATCCGCACGAAGTACCCCTGGTTCCTCGACACCTTCGACTCGTACCCCTTCCCCATCCAGCGCGCCGATGCCATCCGCTACTTCATCCTCGACCACTACGGCGGCATCTACCTCGACCTCGACGACGGGTGCGCTCGGCGTCTGGACGTGATGCTCGAGTACCCAGCCTGGCTCCGCCGCACGCTCCCCACGGGCATCAGCAACGACGCCATGGGAGCCATCCCGCACCACCCCTTCTTCAAGCGCGTGATCCAGAGCCTGGAGCGGTACGCAAACAACTACGGCATGCCGTACATCACGGTGATGTCGTCGACGGGGCCGCTCTTCCTCTCCATCATCTGGAAGCAGTACATGTCTGAGGAGCGCCCGGAGCAGGACCACGTGCGCGTGCTGATGCCGCCCGAGTACCGCAACAACGCGTGGAGCATCTTCTACATCGCCAAGGGGAACAGCTGGCACGGAAAGGACGCACAGACTATCTTCTGGATGGGCAAGCACTGGATGCTGCTCACCTTCAGCGGGTTCGCGGTGGCGGGCGTGGTCTTCGCGGTCATGTTCTACGCATGGACGGCGTGGATCGGGACGAGCAGGAAAGACAAGAACGGCCCTGGTTATATACTGCTGCCGCGGCGAGAATGTGTGGATCGGATGGCGTGATGACAACTGTTGGATAGAAAAAGAGCGAAGTCGCGGGCCACGCCGGCCGCGAGCCGCACCACGACAAAGCTGGGTTGGTTGGCTTATTTATTGCCCACCAGCGGTTTTTGGGGAGCGGATGGGGCGGCGCGCCTCTGGAACACCCATGTCACACACGATGTATTGTCTACAACGACGAATTGCTCTTCCACGGCCACAGCCACATGTCAAAAAAGCACCACCGCGTGCTGCCGTGAAGGGAAAGACTGCATCGCCGCCGACGCTGCTATCGCGAATGCTGGCCGGGGGCATCCTTTGTGCGTTCCGTCCGCTTGAGTTTGAGTTTGGAATTGTGCACACACATTTGGGGCGTTCAATGGAGCGAGTGGGGGTTTATCAGCGGGATAGAATTGTAAATACATACATACATGTAAGAGTAGTCTTTTTTCCTCACCTTCGGACTCGGGGGTTTTTTTATCCTCCGGAGCGCAGCGCCCGTGGAAGTGGTGGCTGTCTCGTTGCGAGGAGCACGGTCGGATTAATGGCGGGATGGTAATAGAGGGCACTGGGTTCCTCGGATAACTAGAGTAGAATCTTAATAACTGATATCTACACTCCAACTTCTTGATGCTTGTGATCTTTTTGAAACATACTTGTCTCAGGCCGCGAAGACAGGGTGTTGATAATCCCTTGGGATACGGAGCTATCTCCGCGCAGAGTCAATCCCTCGACCTCATGACTTAACGCCCATTCAGCAAAATCCCCATCCTTTCAGCTCAAGCAAAGGCATCCCTACAGACCCAGCCGGTTCTCAGGACCAGGCCTGTGTATGTCATCGAACACCGCCGTCATCGCAGGCGCGTGTCCCGTGACAATCACGTGACCTACGCTTCCAAGCCTCCCTCCAAGCCTCCACATACCAACTTCCAACATCAACGACCCAGCCACGCCAGCGTCATCACCCTAACCCTCTTCCCTCCCCCGCCGAAGGCTGCAAGGCAGCACATACCCCCCAACCATGACTCTATACCCTGCGACCCAACGCAGCGGGAGCGGGTGGCCCCGCGTTCGCAGGTTAGTGCATGACTGGCAGGGATAATCGAGTGGTAGGTATGAGTGCGCGATGACGGTGGAATTCTACAGCGGGGAGGGGTGGTGGCCGGGCAGAATGTTTGGCGGACCTGTGGCATGGGGTTTGTGGTGGATGGGGGGGGTGATTCGGTTCTGGCGGGGGGATGGTAGTGGTGGTCCCGAAAGAAGGGGCCTGCACAGCCGTGATGGGGGGTGGGCGGAGTGTGCGGAACGGTTGGATCGGGAGGGGGAGAGTGTTGGATGTGCGGTGGTGCCTGTGGGTGGCGAGCCTGACGGTGACGGCGAGGGGGTTTGGTGAGTGAAGTTGAGGAGGGTGTGGATGTTGGAGGGGTTTGGTTGTGTTTTGAGGTCTGGAGGGGAGGGGGAAGGCTGGGATGGGATGGGGAGTATATATTAGGTCGGGGAGTGCGGTTGTGTGCTTGGAGGTGTTATATCGTGGGATCTACGAAAGATATATGGGTTTATTTAGGGAATTATCACGTTACATCTCCAGTATCATTCTCGGATTGAAAATGAGCAGCAGCAGCAGCAGCAGCAACGCCGACCAACAAGCCAGCGGGCGAGCTGGTCCTAGTACAGCTCCTAATAACTACGGCCCCGTCATCGTTGGTGAGTCCACCCTTCCCAAATCCCCCGATACCAAACTAACCATCCCACAGACTCAGCAACCTACACACTCACCCCCATCCCCGAATCCCCCTCCGAAGACCCCATCTCCAGCGCCGTCGAAGCCCTCGAGCATCTCACCCTCCGCGAAGTCGGGAATAGCTACATCATCGACACCCCCCGCGCCATCGGCCACCTCACAGACACCCTCTTGGACCTCCCCACCTCCCCTCCCTCCCTCTACCTCTCCATCTCCGGCACTTCCATAGCCCGCAATGGCTCCATCTCTCTCATCCAGCTCCTCGTACTTCCTACCAACCGAAATTACCTAATTGACATCCACACCCTCCGCTCCAGCGCCTTCACCACCGCCGGTCCCCGCGGCCGGACATTCCAATCCATCCTCGAAGACGCCGCGATCCCCAAAGTGTTTTTCGACATCCGCAACCCCTCCTCCGCCCTGCACGGCCTCTTCGCAATCTCCCTAGCCGGCATCCACGACCTCCAGCTCATGGAGCTCGCCACACGCCGACGCCCACGGAGCAAGAAATTCCTCCACGGCATCGCGCGGTGCATCACCTCCGACTTGTCCTTGGGAGCATACGAGCAGCGGCGCTGGAGAGAAGCGAGGGCGAGGGGGGAGAGAATGTTTTTGCCGGAGTTTGGGGGGGGAAGGGAGGTGCTGGAGCAGAGGCCGGTGGGGGAGGATGTGGCGGCGTTTGTTACGCTGGATTTGGGGTTTTTGCCGGCGTTGTGGGGGTTTTATGAGGCGAGGTTGGGCGGGGGGTGGAGGGGAAGGGTGGGGAGGGAGACGGTTAGGAGGGTGATGGAGGGGCAGAGGGAGGGGGAGGAGGAAGGGAGGAGGGGGAGAAGGGATAGGGCGTTTGGGCCGTGGTGAGGGGGGGATGGGATGGTGTCGCTTGAGATTTTTGGGTTTTGTGTTTGTGTTTGTGGATTGCGATGGATTTGTTTTATCATGTTGAGATATGGGCGGTTTTTTGGAAGTTCGGGAAAGCAAGAGCGTGGACAACCACAAGGAATAATGGAATTGGGCATGCGTGTATTTAGTAAATTTGAGTTTATGGATAAATATGGAAATAGATTTACATACGTGATCGGACATTTCCGACAGTTTTCATCTCCAGCATTGTGATTGACATCGCACCTCACTATGAGGTTTTTAACAAGTCAAATCGACGCAACCAGAGCGATCGCGAAACATAGAAAACCAACTGCATAATTTGAAACCCGCAGCCGCTGGATGTGTAGCTATGGGGGATGTAGCTATGGGGGATGTAGCTATGGGGGATCGAAATATATCGATTGGTATTGGCGCCTACAAATGAAGGAAGCGCCCAAGCTGGCGAGGATGGCCGTGGTTTTTGGCCGCTTGTTTCAGATTGTCGCCGGCGGCTACAGTATGCGACCGCTTCGGCGACAGCAACACACTTCAACACGATTTTGCGCATTCTAACCCATGCAATATCGCGTTCTAGCCCCCATAGAATTGATCGTAAATAGTTTGAAGTGCATATGCAGGTGGCCGAGGCCATATGCAGGGACTTTAGGCGCGTAATGGGGCGCTTGCTTTTGCTATTTTCGAAGAGTTAGACATTGATTGATAACTCTGGAGTTTAAATATATAAAGGCTGCTTTATGCCAGCTACTAGTAGATAATTTCATCGACAACAAGACAATCTGGCATTGTTATCCTATCGCTCTATCGCTATAAATCAATTCCCCGAAAACCGTTCAATTTCCTGCGAGTTACCCATCGCCATATCTATGCGATGAAGATATAACTAACAAACAACAGCCAACCTTGACACCATGTCTGGAAACTCGCAAACCAAAGTTGATATCCACATTCTTTTCTTCAAATCAACCACCGATCCTCGCAACCCTGGAGATGTTGCCTTGTGGTTCAATTGCTCAGAGCCGTTTCTGATTCACCTTGACGGACCAAACGGCGGCCACTGCCTCAACGTCAAAGAAAACTACTATCCTTCTGCTAGTAGGCAGTTCCGAAAGTCGGTGATTGTGGGAGCAGGAAAATCCGCCACAAAGGCCCAGATAGTTTCGGTCGTTTCTCAGATGCGTATCGACAATTCAAGGCCATTCGGTTCCGAGGAGTGGACTGGCAATGCCCTCCACCTGCTGGCCCAGGGGAGATATGTAGAGCGGGAGGAGTACTTGAGGTCTGTCAACGAGATGATTGATGTAACAAAAGGGGGCGCTGGACGCGCCTGATTCATGTATTTTAGATCGCAGGGTGAGCGTGTGGGTGTCGACGACGCATAAGCAATGATGCCGACTCTTCCCTACGGAACACCCCATCACAAGACCCCTTGAAATAATGCAAGTTGATCGTAATAGGTCCTCGGGAAAATATATTTTGCATACTCCCTCCAGTCCTTATTCTTTGCCTAAACCTCAAAGAACTTGACATATTCCCAATACTCTGGAGCCCAGCCACCGTACTCCCAGTCGATCACACCTGCGATCTCCATATCCTTGATAATAATATTGTGCTGGGATAGGTCTCCATGCGAAAATACTATCAGATGATCAGTCCGTAGCTGACTATGGAGAGCTCTGTTGATATCTGTCGGGGTCGTTCCGATCAGCTTTGTGACATAGTTATTAAAGGCTGCTTCGTCCTGAAGGGCCCGCCAGAATAGTGGCCCATGCGCCTACACTCTCGAAAAAGGCCGCCTCCGCAAGACCCTATGGCACCAGTCTTGAATTCAGCAGACTGCATGGTTGATATGATTTCTCGTAGTTGCCCGCAGATGTCTTGCCTGTCCTCTTCTGACATGTCTGGCCAAAGTTCTTCGAGGTTCTCTCCTTCTATGTAATCCATTCGTATACTTACAATCCCATCTGGTGCCGAGCTAACCTCATAAACTCTCGGCGCTGGAATATTCAGTTCTGCTGCTAGATCTAACGCATGCTTCTCCTTAAGGTGTACTTTTCTCCCCGATTTGACGACTGTGTCGTCAGGATGCACAGCTGGACCTTACATCCGTAGTAATCATAAATAAGAAAGATTCCTGACAATAATTAGCTAGCTGTGATATATCTGCAAGATCAGATGTTACCTCGGGACCCATCTTTCTGTGCCAGAAACTCTTTGGATGGCTGCGGAAGCTCCAGTGTCATCTCCTCTGGCGGTGGATGATGTAATTTATGTGCCAGTAAGGTAGTATATAGAGAAACGGTTTTGCCAGTTGCAGCCATTGTACTACGAGATATAACTTTTTGGTGTGCGTAAGCAAAGTGGCCAGTCGATCATAGTTCTGTACGAAATGCAACGAGGTTGTCTTGCTCGATGTGCAGTTATTGTCCTTGGAAGAGATTGTGGGGCATGGGGGAACAAGCTGCATGGCAACACAAAAATATACACAGAGGCGAAGAACACAAAACATAATCCAAACAAACAATTTACCCTCCATTGACCTATGGTTTGAACATGATTTATATGAATCACAACAAAGCGCAAGCACGAGCTGTGATTAAAGGATAGGCTGGCTTTCAAAATGACGTTAACGCGTAGCTATATTAAGCCTTGTAGTTGAAAACGGACAACAATGGTAAGTCTGAGCCTTCCTTGAGGCTTTTTGTTGCTGCCACAGTGGGATTTTGACTTCATCCACTTGCGAAGAAACATGTTACACAGCCAGTATCTGACAAGAAATGAGGTTTCTCAGGCTTCTATGGCACATAGCTATTAAAACTTATACGGAGAGCCATCGGACTCTGTTCACAACGTCTAGTAAACGTATCTGAACGACAAATTCTCCTTGTCCGTCTTGCTCCCCCATTCCTGCCTCCCCTCTTCGGTCGCAGGGCGTGGTCCCAAAGCAGCTTCTACTCTATCCTTCTTTTTGTTGGCCCAATAATAGTACCCAAACAGCAGTGTCGCAAAGACCGCGCCCCCACCCTGGGTAGCCAGTATCGCAATTTTTGCTGGCTTATACTCCGGTTTATCTCTATCCTGGAATGTCTGGGGGCCAATTATACTTCCAATTGCAAACGCCCCTGATACAAATGCAGAAGCAAGGACTCGCTTTGTCTGCCCAACACAGTTTGACATTGCCCACTGGAAAGTCAGCATCAGCGTTGGAATAATGGCATAGACGAGGTGGGTGCCGATGATGATAGCAGCCGGTTTGCTGAGAGGCGCGAAAGACATCAAGGCGCCGCCGATCATGCCTGGAATGCAGAATGCGGCTATCCAGGCCCAGCGGCGGTTAGAGCTGTAGCGAACCCCAAAGCCTGCGATGAGCGAACTGATGATGGTGACGAGGCCACTCGGGGCGGTGAGGAGGGCTGCTTTTGGGGAGGAGAAACCAAGATTCGCGATCACAATGGAGGAGTAGGAGGAAATAACGCCGCTGGAGCATGTTACCTGGAGATCAAGGTTAGTTGCGAACTGTGTGTAATGGTGAGTACATACCGAGATAGTCATTAACACCAACAACCATATCTGGATATCGAGGACGAGCTCCTTCAATTGACTCCACTTGAAGTGGCGGTTCTCAATGCCAGTTTGGTTGACTGCGATGTGATTGAGTAGAGCAACCTTCTCGGAATCGGTGAGAAATTTCGCCGTCATAGGTGATTTGGGCAGGATAATGAAGCCTGCAACTCCTACGAAGGACGTGAGAAGCCCGAGGCTCAAATACATAATCCTCCATGATGATATCGAAGTTGTACCATGGACGTGTTGGAATCCATAAGAGATGAAGGCACCTGATATCTGGGCCAGCCCTGCACCGCAGAACCAGAAGCTATACCGCGATGCTTGTTCCTGCGAAGTGTACCATTGGCTGCTTATTAACATCATACAAGGCGAGACGGGCGATTCAAAAAGTCCGGCAAAGATGCGAGTTACCAAGAGGGAGTGATAGTTGAATGTTGCCGCAGTACAGGCTGTCGCAATGCCCCATAGGATGGCAAGGATACACAGCCATTTTGTCACAGTGACCTTTTGGAGTATATACCCTGTATCAAGTTCAGAACTTGAGTCTCATAAAATTGAGGGGGGGGGGGACTAACCGTTAGGAACCATCGCAATCAAATAGGATATGTAGAATACAGAAGACGCATTTGAGAAGTCATTCTTAACAAGGTGAAGTTCTTCCCGAATACCCATAACACCTGAATACTGTCATCAAGAACATAATTCAGCTGCGGTGGTTTCTAATGCTCAGGGGATATGCTTACGTTGATGAGAACCTTGTCAAGGAACTGCAACCCATAGCAAGCGCTCATAATTGGGAGGATCCGCCAATCGATTTTTCGTCGCAAAGCTTTAAGGTCCACATTGTGATCAAGGTGGCTCTGGTCCTGACCAGTGAGGTAGATGAACGCCCTATCGACATCTTTGCTATCAATGCTCTCAGTGGCGATAGTCGGTGTGGCGCCAAGCCGCTCATCTTCTATAGCTAAAGCTCCAGCTGTTGACTTCTCGTCTTCCAGTGAGGTTCCCATCGTCACAGTTAAAAGCTTCTAAGCACGTAAAACGTGGTCGGAATATGGATGATAATGACCTTGGGGTAATCTTGACTGACAGGAATGGGCATAAGCTGGCAGTTAAGTAGTTTCTTCAGGCTGTCCCCTTAGATAACATTGTGCTGGAATATATTGCAACATCCTTCTTAGACACGTATGGACGCGAGGGCATATTTCTCAACTGCATGGTATGTTGTACACGTACCAGTGCCAAGGAATTTATTTCCAGACATTTATACTCTTTGGGAAGTTTCGTGAAACCTCAGAACAGACCAATGACATAAACATTGTCACGGTATACCCAACATGATGCACCCCTTGGGTTTAGTTTGCCGATGCAATAGCTTCGAGTCGATCTCTGGAGGTGGCGTTGTTCGCTAACCCTTACTTTATATTAGCATCCTTACTCAACGTACATTCATCCGATGTCCTGAAATTATTTGAACTATGCGAGGTGAATGGTTCAAGGTTCAATTTAACAGAATTTAAACCCTAGTGTTTCAAGCAACGTTGTACATGAAATATTATTATATTCATTTTTGATGTTAGGACTCTGATCCGATTTGATTGCACAAGATTACAGGCGGCCTTTATGTCTGTAGCAGGAAGTTTTATGAAACCTGTATACATAGGAGCAACGAGTGTTTACACGACGTCAACTATACTACGCATATGTACATGCGGTGCTACACACCAAGTAAGATATTCACCTTCTTGATAGAGAAGACTTTGATATCCGCCATGGGCAACCCACATAGAATCAAGTGCATTCCAGTGTTGATGCCACAGGCCGAAATCCTACAAACAGCGGTATCATGGCTGACTTAGTTACGGAAAATTAAAAGATATTGTCTTAGGGGTGGATTACTGCAGCCTCCCTACAGTCCCTGCCTTGGCGTTTTTTGTTGTGATCCCTTTATGTTCCACCAAGGAAACCATTATCCCTGTGATTCGAAAACGATGGATATTCATAGTGACTCTAAATACGGCAGTTCTTATCAAAGAACCATATCTATGTTTCGGCTAATCCAAAGTGTAATCGAACTCAAAATCATATTCTCGGCGTGAAATATAAACTCAAAGGCAGCCCAGCGCGACTCCATTGTATACCGAGTCTTTGTGCCACAAAGCCCTCCGTCTATGATCACCACGCTCCAGGTGACGGATCGAACCAGACCAAAAAAATAATAGAAAATAAAGAAAAATTTGATTGGGTCCAGATTCGAACTGGAATCTCTCACCGTTCCCCAACCGCTCTTGGTATCCAAGGAAGAGATGCAGGGGTTAGCCCAAAATCGCCTTGAATGGCCCAAAATCGATTGCTTACGGAGGCGGACATCTTACCATTAGACCATCCAACCTTTTAATTTAAAGATTGGACGCATATACTGCCGTTTGAGGTATCTATGTAGTTCATAGTTCCCATGCAAATATATCTAAACCTGCCCTGGAGGATGGGATACTCCTTCCACATACCTCGAATGCCATGTGCCATGCCAACTGTCTACCGAGCTATAATATATCCACAAGAAGGATCACTCTTTTATTGCACAGCGTCTCATCTGTGCAACTTGTTCAAATGGACTCTCATTGTTTGCTATACACTCCATTGATACGACAGGCTTAGCGCGTGGAATAAATCGCTGGCAGATAGACAACACCTTCCTATTTATACATTTGCTCTCTTCCTCACGCCAGTAATACACTCCAATGGCTTCCTCAAGAATCCTTCTCTTGTCTCCAGCACATCCTGGTACAGCTCAAACTCGTACCTTCTGAACACCGTCGCCACAATCAACGCCAACTCCATCTCCGCCACATTCCTGCCCACACAGCTCCGAGGTCCATAACTGAACGGAATAAATGCACCCTTCTGTCTATCAGTCACCTTCTCCCAACGCTCAGGTCTGAACTCATCCGCGTCTGGGCCCCAAATCTCCGTGGAATGATGCACAGTGTACGCCGGAACACTGACGACGCTGCCGGCAGGGAAATGCTGATCCAATATGCGGACCCCCGGTCCAGGAGGCACAACACGAGGGAGTCCAAGTGATGACGTTGAGTGGATTCGGAGAGTCTCGTTGATAACGCACTGCATATACTTGAGGTCACGGACTTGCATATACTGTGGCACGACAGTGCCCACAGGGAGAGCGGCGTCAAGCTCGGCTTGCAGCTTTTGGAGAACACCTGGTGTCTTGAGGACCCAGTAGAGGAGTGCGCAGGAAGTGTTGCTAGTGGTATCGCTGCCAGCGATCAGCTGGGTGAGGGCTTCTGCGGTTAATTCTGAACGGCCAAGTTTGGCACCAGTCTCGTCTTTACCCTCCATCAGGCGGGCAAGAAGATCAACACGATCATCACCTTTGGGTCCTGCATCGAGGCGTGCTGAGACTCGGGCGACTGCCATTCCTGCAAGGTTCTGAACAGCTTCGACACCTTGGAAGAAGAATGGGTCGGGGAGATATTTGGCGAATGGCTTGATGGCTGGTAGGCATCCGATGGTTCCGCTTACTTCGCCGCGACGGTTGAGGACTTCGACAGCGGGGGCGTAGGTGACTGGAGAATCTGGAGTTTTTCGGATCTCGACGATATCTTTCCCCTTTTCGACCATGCCGAAGGGTTGTCCGAAGGCGAGATCGCCGATGATATCGAATGCAAGGAAGTTGAACCAGTGTAGGGAATCTAGCTTGTAGAACCCTCCATGCGAGAGTTCGGAGAATCTGTCCCACTGCTTCGTGAACGCAGACAGGTTTGATGTCATGTACTCCTCGAACTGGGAGATGGATTTCGTGGAGAAGGTGTGAGCAATAGTCTTGCGCTTCCGGGTGTGCTCGGCTCGGTCGCGGGTGTTGAATAGACCACGCTGGATGGACACAAAGGCATCGTAGTAGTCAGATTTCAAGAAGCCATTGCCATGGCCGTAGACAGATTGGATGGCGGAGTCGTCGGCGATGGAGACGTGATTAGGGGCGATACGGACAAGTTTTCCGTACTTCTTGTGGGCGGCATGGACAGATAAAAAGCGCTTTCCTTGCCTAGCTTGGATGAGCAGCCAGACATTGGAAAAGCTTGCAAAACTAGGGGACGGGATACCACGCAGGTATCCGTAGGTGGTGAAGTATGGAATCAAGAAATAAAGACCGAGAAGGGCGATTGGTGTCCAAGGAGTGACGAGAAAATCCAAGATGGATCGTGAGACAGACATTTTTCAACAGATCAATTGTATAATTTGACAATTGTTATGAAATATGCGACTTACGGGTATACAGGAAACCCCGTGGGGAGAATCTGGGGTTGTTCATATAGTTAAGTTATAGAGAGACTTTTCATCCAAGAGATCGGGTCGCGAACCGGAACTTGTGGATTTCCAACCTAGCGGCATAACCCCGCACAACCCCGCGCTCCAACCAAAGATGAGACTAAACTATATCAGGCCAGGCTAGACCAATGGATGTGCGACTTCAACTCCCTTCTTTCGTTGCCGGCGCTATGTGGGCGTATTATTTCGGCTCCCTGGTATTTAGTCTCCGGACATTCTGAGGTCGGATATACTTCACGGCAATAGTTCATGGGCCATGGTGTCATTACACCGTAGGGACCGGACGGAAAACGGCATCAAGGCTATGTGCTGTCACATGGGGATGGTTGGAGATTCTGATACTTGTTTTTAAGACGTGGGTTTGGAACTCCGTAAATAGATAGCCCTGTAAGAAGAGATGTGCTACTTGCACCTTACCATACAGTCAGCCCAGGACGCACGGCGATGAGCGTATCGACCACGGACGAGCAAGATATAATGCTGTATTTTAAATGACAAACCCATTGTTCATTGTCCATTCTATCTTCAGTGTGTCAAACTGGTGGTATCTATGCGCCAAATACATGTTAAACTCCAAAATATCAACCAACCGCGTAAGCCCTATTTTACACTTTCCCTTTTCACTTACGTCCTAATTCCACACTATCTCCTCGCCTTTTTCTTATCCGGCTCTTCCGCCTCATCATCACTCAATTCAGCATACATAGTGTTTGGTTGCGTTTGCTTCCACGCGTTCGTAAATAACGGGTCCTTCTCGGCGAGTTCGGCGTATTTCAGCAATGCCTCTCTCGGGTCCTCATCTCTCATACTGCTTAGTGGGATAGTCGAATTGATATGAGCTTCGTCTGGCTGACTCTTCATAAACGGCGTAACAGCAGGCTTCATCGGTCGTCGAGGGTCCCTGCTCTTGCCGCTCGCTGTCAAGCCAATGGTGGGATGGCGCGCAGCGAACGAGGACGCTGCTGGTCCGCTCTGAAGGATTCCACTAGGGCTAATGATGGTATCGCCTGAAATGCCAGCGGACTGATCTGTGGTGAAGTTGGGGTCATCATCGACATGGCGCTTTTTGGGAGCCCGTGACATGACATCTTTCGCACCGCGGAAAGATGTATTGGGGTTGTAGAGGACATGCACTTCGGCATTGGCTGAGGAGGTAATGATCTGGTTCAGCTTCTCGTGCCATAGAGCGGAGATGAGACAGGAGCCGGGAGTGACGGGTGTGACGAGTTCTGGTTTGAGATTTCCGGAATTCAGGATATGGAGGTGGCCAGAGCTAGAGCCAGTGATGATGTTGGCGCCATTGGGTGAGTATTTGATGGTCGATAGAGAGTATATATCCGAAGTTGACGGGTGAGCGACTTCTAACACTGGAGTCTTGAATTTCCTAGTGTCCCATAGCTTGATCAAGTCATCACCGCCTCGCGTGACAACCATACGCCCGTCTGGGCTAATATCGACGCCTCCCGTTCTAGTATTGGGCTTATGGGCGCCACGGATCTCCCCGGCCGGCCGCGCATGAGGTCCATTGCCACTCCACATTACTAGACTCCCATCCAGAGCTGTTGCCACCAGTATATTGTTTCCGCCTTGCTTGGGGCTTCCCCAAACGACACCCGTCATTTTGGTCCTTCCTCCAGACCCAGCCGTTCGATCTTTGTGAACCAGAACCTCTTTATGTGCCCTCTTATGATTTATATCCCATATGCGAATCGTGCTATCCGTCCCTGCCGTGGCAATAATATTAGGGTCGGTAGGACTCCAAGTGCCAGTAGTGATCGATGAGACATGGCCTTTCGTGTTGTTCATGTCTCTGATGTACATATCGCCCTTCACAAACTCTGCCAATACCTCGCCATCTCTGCTTAAGATTTTCGCTTGAGGATGCTCTGATATGCAAAGGAATTGGCTGCCAGAGTGAGGGCTGAACTCGATATGGTTGATGGGGTGGGATTCGGTGTTATCTGACGGTTTCCCAGCGCTGGGATCCACGCTCTTAAATGCCCGGAGAGTTGTAGGGGTCATTGCCGCAAAATCGTGAAGTTTTACTGTGCAGTCGGTAGACCCGCTGACGAAACGAGAGCCAGACGGATCGAGGGATATGGTAGTAACGGCGCGGTCGTGAGTCTTGAGCACCAGCTCGTGGGAGACTGGGAACTCGTCGTCGTCATCCTCATCGTCTTCTGAGCCGGAGTCATCGTCCGAGCTATCCTGTTTCGCAGCTGGCTCTTGCTTCTTGTACTTGCTGTCTTCGATTTGACCTGCTGGCCTTGTTGGTTCGACCTTTCTTTTTGTCCTGTCGATTTGCGCCGCAACGTCTGCTTCCTTGGTTTTCTTTCCAAAAGAGGTTGGAAGAAAGGCCCGCATGGGGTCATCAGCCGCCAAGTTTGGGCCCTCCACCTCATATTCATCGCTGTCACTCATTTTGTCGATTTGGTACAAAGCCTGGCGGGATTTTGTCGCGACGCGGGTTGATGGGGCAATATAATTCCACGCGGCGATTAGCGCAGCGATGACGAGGGACGGACGGAACGACGGGCGGTGCTAGTCTTCCGTGCTACCCATCCCAACTTAGGCAGCTTCCTCTACAACTGATGTTACAGATTCATCGTCGGATTCATGTACTCATCGCAATGACTTATAATCGATCATTTTCAATCGTTCCGATGATTTAGAACACCCATGCGCTTGACCTCGAAACCTCTGGCCAATACGTCTTAGAGGCGGATCCTTCGGGACAAGCCCGCGATGTTCATTTCCAATCCAGATGTCGCAGCCATCACCGCCACTGTTACTCCGTTCTTGAATCAAGATGCTGTCCTACATCACATCGCATCCAGGAGTTTCTTCTCGGATGACGAGGGCGGTACTCCGATCCAGCGCTGGTCGTCTCTGATCGGGATTATCAGTTCGATTGTGGGGAATATACTTATCAGCTTCGCCCTCAATATCCAAAGATACGCGCACATACGAATACACAAGGAGGCGGAAGAGAAGAAGCGTCAGCACAGACAGGTTAGCGATCGTTATGGAACAGCAGATGGTTCCTGGGCAGGTCACAATGGACATGAAGAGACGGAACGACTGAGAAGCTCATTCGACTCCGCAAAGCCAGGGTCCGAGTCTGGCGGCGATAGTAACGACAATGTCGAGCAGCAATCATATTTGAAGTCGCCATACTGGTGGGTTGGGATTGTACTTATGACAATTGGAGAAACCGGAAATTTCTTGGCTTATGGATTTGCACCGGCTTCTATCGTGTCGCCGCTCGGGGTGGTTGGGCTCATCTCGAACTGCGTTATTGCACCTATATTGCTCAAGGAAGAATTCAGGCTCCGGGACTTCTGGGGAGTCGTGGTTTCTGTACTTGGAGCAGTTACGGTTGTTCTTAGCGCCGAACAAGAAGAGAAGAAACTTGGTCCTCACGAGGTTATCGGTGCTATCACGACGATGGAGTTTGAAATATATATGGCTGTGACTATCGGAGTCATGTTCATCCTGGCATGGGCATCACCAAAATACGGAAGCAAAACTATCCTGATTGATCTCGGGCTCGTCGCCTTGTTTGGCGCATACACGGTACTATCGACAAAGGGTGTTTCCTCCATGCTCTCGACCTCATTCTGGGATGCATTCACCAACCCAATTACATACGCCCTAGCCGTTGTATTGATTGGCACAGCGGTGATGCAAGTCAAATATATTAACCGCGCTCTTCAACGCTTCGACTCTACTCAAGTCATTCCAGTCCAATTTGTGTTGTTTACAATTTCGGTGATCATGGGCTCAGCAGTTCTGTACCGAGATTTTGAATCCACCAGCCCTGGACGGGCTGTAAAATTTGTTGGAGGCTGCCTCCTAACCTTCTTTGGAGTTTTTCTCATAACTTCTGGAAGAGTCATCCACGACGACTTGAGTTCCGACCTCGATTCAGAGGATGAGGCAGAGAGCATCTCCCTTACCAACCACGACGATCGACGGGCTAGCTATTATAGCGATAGGAATACCCAAAGGGCGTCATTGAGTCGGGCGCGCCCATCTCATGAACTTCTCATCAACGACGAGGCTGCTGAATCTGACGATGGTTTCCCCGCGGACGATATTTCGCGGCGTTCCTCTCGCATCTCTTACGCACACCGCCCTCGTCCAATAAGCTCTACTTCTCAGACCCTAGTGCCCGGCTCAGCGCCTGCTTCACATCCGCTGGACAGCGCTTCCCTCGCCGCTCTTCCGTCTACCTCTGAAGCTCCCCCCGACAGGCCCGTGCGCCCCGCAATTACGCGGCTCATATCGCAAAATGAATTTGGACAGCCACAGTCTGATACTGCGGTCCTGCGGCCCATGACTCCTGCACGTCACTCGACTGGCAAGCCTATGACCCCAGGACCGTTCATCTCTCCCCTCTCGTCTTCGGTCGTGGCAGATACGGTTCGCCGCAGTACCGATATGTACGGCAGTAGGCGCCGGCCACGCCTTGACCTCCACCAGACGCGGAGTAGAGAACGGCGGGATAGCATGGAGGGGTTGTTGACCAGCGAACAGAATAGCCCGACGAAGGCTTCACGGATGATAGATCGCCACTCGTATGCTGAGGATGGGGACTTTGGTAATGGCAGGAGAAGCCTGGAAATACCTTTCGAAGAGAGTGGTGGAAGTGGGAGGAGGAGGGCGCAGAGCTTAGGGCAGAGATTGGGTGGATTCTTGCGCAGTCTGGGAGGAACAGCACCCACCACGCCTGAAGGAGAACAGGAGGCTGAAGACCTCGAACGATTGGCTCGCGAGCAAGATTAAAGCCCTCAAAAGTTGGTCTGGCCGCGCTGAGGCACGATGCGGCCTCTGTTACTTTTCAATGATGCGACATAGCGGGCGAATAGTATTTATTCGGCATTTTAGTCCTTGGTTTCCATTGGAGGAGTTTTGGTGTAAGATGATTTACGGAAGGGGTAGGATTTGCTTGAGCATGCGAAGTTGGGAACGGACGTGTTTAGCCAATTATATAGTACGAATAATGCAAACAAGGGGTTACATATTGGCCACGTATTAACCAGCTTTTTAAAAACATATCTTCCCTATTGGCCTCCTAAATAACTGAAGTCGACTCATGGGGTAGATCGACAGGGGACAGCGAAGCCAGTTATCACGTGATAGTGTACTGTTTGCTTTGAGTGCAAACAATGCCTGGAGTTGTAACTATTATCTGTCCTTGAAGTAATGAGACCACCGAATACACAGCTTCAGAATTCACAATACGCCCACAAAGTTACACCAAATAACCCGTCTATATTTATCTTACCGACTCCCCACTACACAAACCAGCTGGTGAAAGTCCACAGTCCAAACAATATCACTCAGCACAATGGAAGACACCGAGTCCTTCACGCTCCTCCCCATCCACCTGGACCCCAAAAGCAAAGCCCTCTCCACGACCTCGAACTCCAAGCGCCTCCGCGACGAACTCGAATCCCTCAACGCCCTCCACACCGCCTTCCTCTCGCTCGAGACGCCCGCCCCGCTCCCCCCCGTCCCCGTCAACCCAAAGCGCAGCGCGCAGATCACCAAGCTCCGCGAGAGTGCCAATGCCGCATACCGCTCTGCGAACTACCCGTCCGCGATACAGCTGTACACTCTCGGGCTGGATATGGCGCTGAAGCGCCCGGAGTGGGAGCCCTCGGGACTCGTGCGCGATGAGGTCGCGGGGCTGTTGGCGAATAGGGCACAGGCGCATATGGCGCTGCGCAGCTGGCCGGAGGGATGGAAAGATGCGGAGGCCAGTGTGGAGGCGAAGAAGGTGGGGAATGCTAAGGCATGGTGGAGAGGGGGGAGATGTCTGGCGGAGATGAGCAGGTGGGAGGAGGCAAAGGAGTGGGTTGGAAGGGGGTTGGAGGTTGAGGGGAAGGAGGCGGAATTAGTTGGGCTGCTGAAGGAGATTGAGGGGAGGGTTGTGGGAACGGTGAAGCCATAGGGGGGTATTGTTACGTTGTTCGTCGAGGGAGTTTGGCGTTGAAGGACATTGTTGGATGGATAGTGGTCTTAACTGCGATTTTGAGCGGGAGTGTACAGCACATAGAGTGGGAGCTAGGGAAAAAGACTTCTAGCACGGCACATTGGCCGAGGAAACCTCAACATCACTCATCCCCGATCTCCATCCGTGTTTGTCGCTCAACTCCGATCTATCTTCTTCAAAGTCGCCTGATTATATAATCCCCCGCTGACACACACTCCCTCCCGCCTTTCCCGTCAGTTGATGATCCACAATCCAAGGCCACACGTGACCAAACTTCTCTACAAGCAGCCAGGCAACGATTCCAGGGGTCCATATGATTGGCCTGCTGACCCATGACCCCTTATTCAGCCTTAGGAGAAAGTCGAAGTAATCGCCGTTCTAACGCACATCAGCAGATGAGGCTGGGCAGCTGATAACGGGACAGCCAGGAGGCGCGGTTGTGACGGAGAAGGCAATGAAGAGTATATATATGTTGCCGCCCCATCGAGGCTTTTTGTTGCTTACATGATTTATCATATATGCGACAAACTTCAAATAACAAGCCAAGTCAATTAAACACCAAACACTCAAATCAATATACTCAGGAACAAAGTTCACAAATCAAAGCTAAAGATCCAGCATCCAAGCAGAAATAAGCAAAAAACCGTGGCCACATCTGCGGCCATATCACACAAACAACCATGCTAGGCATCTTCACGGCTCTCTTCAGCGAGGTCATGGACCTCTGGGACGCCTTCCTCTATGGGCTCGGCAGCCTGCTTTCGTGCGATTGAACGTTGCCTTTTGGGATGCTCGAGAGCGCGGATAAGTGCATATGCACGATTCTGCAGCCAGATAGACAGCAGATGATGCAGACGGGGCGAGGGCACGCAGTATTGAATCGATCGGGGAGGAGTGATCACGGTAATGGAAAGAGCGGGTGGTGGCATATAGGGTCCCCACCACGTGTACTGATTGGGTCCGAGGACAGAGGACCTGTAACTTGCATATATGGAAACGGATGGCGGCGTTTTGGGATGGAAGATTCCGGGTTGATTCATGGACTGGAAGATGAAATTATGGATGGTGTTTGAGTTGTGTATGGGTGGGTAAAATGGCGCTTTGTTGCTGTATGGTTCATGTTTGAGACGGGTGTCAGTCCCTATATTTCAGTGTACCAAGACGTGTAAAAATTACAATATTTTGGAGAACCAACCTTTCTTTCCAGGAGTATTGAAATCCCGAGGGCGGGCGATGGAGAAAGTTCCTCAGTCCCTTCTATATCTGATGGGTCTGTCTGTGAATACTTTCGCCCTGTAATTACGCATACCTTTCTCGTAATAGCATGCCTCTACCTATCCAAAAGGTTGACTCCTTGTGCCTCCCTATCTGCCATCGATACATCTCTTGTCATTAAATCATTCTCAGTATTTCTTCGTTTGGGGGGTGAGCCTATGACCGTAAAGTACTCAGCGGGCACTAATGACTTGATTGTTTGCAACCGTAGTTACAACTCAAGCGTGTCTTCATCCTTCCCCCTGAAAAAATAATACCTGATCTCCAAAACAAATCCCTTTATTGTCCACCTTTATCATAACAGCTTGGTGTCCAAGCTATACTTATATACGGTGCGTGCTTTTGCAACCTCTGTAAAACGGATGCCTCTTATTTACTCTCCTGGACAAGACCATAACCTCAATAACAATCCTTCCGTCGCCTACCGTCATCTCTGGAGCTTATTCAAGCTACTACTTCATTTATTTCATTTGAGCAGCCAAGGACAACAAAGAATACAACTAACTGCCTGGAAATAGACAATTGGTCATATTGTCTGTTGTAGTGACAGCCAAACTCGAATATAATGATATGTTCGGGACCACCTGGATCCCTATATCCAAAACTCTTTATCTACAGTAACCTTGCCTCGCTTTTTACTATAGTATACCTTCGGCCAGGGGCAACAGCCGGTGGACTCCTGTCCTAACTCTTGTGCTGCCTCATGAAAGCTCCTCCGCAAAGACTCGAAAGTCTTGATGTAGCTACTTCCACACAGGAAGAAAGATGAAGACTAACGTCATCGCCGTCGCAAATATTACACCAACAACCACGCTCTGGAACACAATCCTGTGTTGAAGGTCACGAAGTGCGAGGTCTTTGATACGCACTTTGTTCTCGAAAGGAGACAACCTCTTATACATCCTGATGAGGCTCGACATATTCGAATCGGCGCTGCTACTAGCTTGTTGCTGTTGTTCGATAGCCTGCTTCTCCCATGGGAGGTGATTCCGACGGCTAAGAAGCAGCATGAAGAAGCATGAGCCGCGGAGACCCGAGAGCAACAGGCCCATGCCAAACCACCACATCGGCCACGAGAAGAGCACATCCCACCGTGCGCGCATACCTGGGTGTGGGTAAAATGCGCGCACGAAGACGAGAATGAAGCCGGCTAACGTGAGTAACGCCCCGAAAGTGGTCGCAGCACACACTGTCTCGAAAGTCCCATTGCTAACGCCAATGCGCACAAAGTTCCTGTGGGAACAGTTCTTTAGGAGTTGATAGCAGTGCTCGGCGATTGGCCTAAAACGAACAGGCGCGTCATCGTGCTCGAGGGCAAGTAAAACGGCATTTCTCATTCCAGGGGGTATGTTCAACTCTTTCTCAGAGCCAGGCATGAGGAATAGGTCGACGACTTTTGGCAGGTCGGCGCGCGTCAATGCGGAACCTGGGGATTTGGGATTCCTGCATGTACCGAAGCTACAGGACTCCATGAAAGACTTCATGAACGAGCGGGACTTTTCCGACTTCGAAGGGGCGCATTTACTTGTTTGGTCAATGAGGGCGGCTATCTTAGCCGTGATATCATCTGACTCTATAGTGGCGTCAGTAAAGTCTCGGAGGGTATGCAAGGGGGTACTAGGGGCCTACCAGATCCATGTGCAACGTCACATTCTATGTCTAAGTCAAAGACATTATTGTGAGACTCTGGAAATTTGCATTCATTCTCTGTCAGTCTATGGTGAGATGAAGTGGTGTTCTTCGAAACCTGCGATCCCCTATCCGACAAGACTGACGATGGGATGGTTGGAAGTGCTTCATCAGGACATGCAACATAGGTGGCCTGGTAGTGAATAAACCTGTTCTCCTGTCAGATTCGACGTGTCGCATACGCTTGGCAAGCGGGTGGTGTCACCTACCACATGTAAAACTCGAGGTTTTCGGGAGAATGCTCGACATGCTTGAGGTACCTGTAAAAATCACTGAGGGACATTGGACTGCCTACAGGATTGAAGCAGCTGGTTAGATGCGAATGATGAGAGGCAGGATAGCAACCCACAAGTCCAATTTTGGAGGAGTTGGTCGAGGCCGAGGCGAGTGGGCACTTCTATGCTGCCACGTCGAAGGGTGCTTTCACGCTTCCCATCTCGAACAGCTGCGGAAAATTCTCGGATATCTTGATAGGAAGGCTTCCTGTACCATTGAATCCAATTTTGGATTTCATCCAAAGTCGGAAGAATCATCTTTGGTAGCAGCACCGTCGACCGGGAATAGGGAGAGAAAGGCTGCCAGCTCGGTCGTCAGGGCGTATCAGGCGGTTTGACTTGGACACATTGAAGTTTGAAGTTTGAAGAAGTTGGATACGAGGAAGTGGAAGGGGGGGCGTTATTATTAGTATTGGATAGGCCGCTTTTACACTGAGGGTTATCGTGCCGAGGTGTCTCTAACAGCGGCGCTGTGAGCTTGGAGAAAAAGGGGGGAAGGGGGAGGAGGAGGCGGTGGGAAAGTAGACCGGACAAAGGCTTCCTATTGTACACATTACTTCTCTCGTACCACGGGATAAGCTCTCTCGCATTGGTTGCAATGTCTACTTCCAGCACCGAGACAAGCCAACACATCCATGATTCTTGTGTTCGGGTGTTCACAGTGCATGTGTCCAAAGCATGTCTACCATGCGTCCTTGCCAACTTCTCCGACGAAGGGGGAGCTTCTGTAAGATTAGAAGGCGCATGGTCAACTGCGACAATGCTCTCCGTTGCCTTGCTGACGACATGCACATTGCAGGAAGCAGACGGTTTTCTACCTCTTGTAGAAAGCAGCCCCTTGGGTGCTCACAGCGGGAAGCAAGGAAGCGCGGGTGCGGAAATCAAGTCCCCGGCTTTGGGGGACAATACTTTGTGACCCATGCGGATCACCACCGAATGTGATAAGAGTCTTCGTCCTTTTCGGTGACTCAGATACGTAGTCTTCTACCGATCTGACACAAATATTGCAACACTACCAGTAAAAATGCTGATTTATTGTGCCGTGCGAAGCAAGGTAGCACAATCACATCAGTCAGCCCATGTCGTGCATCCCTCAGCTGCGACTGAGAGAGTTGGGGTCTAAGCTATGACCCTGATCTGCGTCTACCCGTGCCCCATCTGTGCGCATTGGCTGAAAGCGGGCTGGCTAGCGGTCGATCAGATGCAGTGGACCCCTCTTAATGGACCCTTGGCCAAGTTAGTTAATCCCGGAACACCCCATCTGTCCCTATTCAGGACAAAGAGATCGCGCTTCCATCGATATGCCAGTATTCGAGTATTACACAAGCAGTGGGAAATGGCTCAGGATGCTTCCCATTTCCTGCAAAGCATATTGCCAAGTGGAAAGGCGGCATATTGTTAATAAACGGCTTGGGCACAACCGCCTCATCGCATGGTTTCCACAATGACCTAGCATTTATTATTTATCCCGTATCTGTCAGTAATACTACTTTTACCATGCTTCTCCTACCTAGATACTGGTGCAGTCTAGAAAGGTACGTTTCTATCACATGACCTTGTGTAATCAGCCTGGTCGAAACAGCACGGCCTGTTGCACTGCCCCCATGACGGTTTTCATCACCAACTCGACGAAGTGAGCAGCCCACCAGTCCGCCTTGTCAGTTTGTGAAGTTCTCTCAGAATCTGCCACAAGACGTCGTTCAGAAGCAAGGTCGAGAGACCTCGCTCGAAGAGTTGCGGTGTAAGTGATGCAAATCCACGCTCGGCGAGGGCCCATGAAATGACCCGAGAGTCTCGGAAATCGTGACGAGCTGTGGGACAGAACAAATCCTGGCAGCAAAAATCCTTCTTGCAGGACTTTGTTTTAGTGAGTGCACTATTGTATGCAAATAGAACATGAATATTGTGTGATGTTTTTTTATTTTTTTCAATTTGAGTCTATATCCACGATACCAATAACTATATTCCTCGTGCCCGATGTCCTGTGTCTATTCTAATTCCATCCTAGTACCAGTACTCCATATAAATCACACCCAAAGTTGACTATTGCCTCCCGCTCAATCCATATCTCCATATATTGCCCAGTACACTATCTCCAAACAAGTATATCCTTCAGTCGCAAATGCCGTACACAAAAATCCCCCCTACTCAGCGCGATGTCCGTCATCCACCCCTCCTCCAAAACGCCATAAAAAAACATGCTGAATATAAAAACCTCCCCTTGAAAAAGTCGGCATCACCCCATGCGTTCCTAGCCCCTGTCATCCTGTATCCCTCGACCGACGCATTTCATCCTCTCCGAATCCTAATCACAACACAGCGGATCGAAATCAGAGAATTAGAAGCGCGCGAATCTAACGCGCCTCCTCGCCGGAGGAGACGGGCACCTCCATGGGTCTCGGCGGCCGAGGAAGTACTCCTCCTCTTCATACGATCGTAGCACGCGGTTGCGCCTCCATGGGCCTGTGCCGGTGGTGAGGCGGATGGAGTAGTAGTCGTCACAGTCGCAGTCGCAGCATGGCGAGCAGTTCCATCTGGCTCTGATGCGAACACCGCACATGATTTCTGTGTGTTTGGTGGAGTGCTTGAAAGGTGGTTTGAGGTGGCCTTGCACTGGTTGTAGAGTTGAAGGCGTGAGGCGGTTGAGGCGGTTTGTAGATTTGATTTGTAGTACTGTAGTATTGCAGTATTGTAGTAGCGAAGTAGCTGAGTGATTTGAATCAAGAAACTCATTTCTGGACGGGGGATCCTTTTCCTTATATACTCCTCCACGGCCCCTGCAGCCTGCACGTCACGATGATCTGCGCATCGTGCAGTGCGCCGGGCCGCACGCACGGCCGCCACATGCGCCATGGCCGCAACCCAAACGAATCACTGCCACTCTCACATGATTGCAAAATCGATCGCTACGGGTGGATGCAAGCCACCAAAGGGTGTCTTCTGATTTGTTGAAGATGCAAATGATGTAGTTACTGTTGGGAGTTCTCGGTGAGCGGGCCTCGTGATGAGGTTGGAAAAGTTGGATATCAAGGCAGCGGTTGTTGGACACATATAAGATGGGGATGCCTTGGAGAACGACAGTGAGTCAAAAGCATGGCATGGAAGAAATAGGAAGTCGGCCGTTGTTGGGAGGCTTTCATAAGGGTCTGACTGCGTTTCGTTTGCGGCTCGAGAGTTGGTAGCCGGGCGGCTGCGCCTCGTCCGTAACGCAACTTGGCCGGTCTAAATCGGCTGTTTTGGAAAACCAAGGAAATCAGAGCATGGGTTTTCAAATCGGCCTCTATGACGTGTGACATCGCCATGGAGAATGAAAAATGGCGGTGTTGATGTGGAAAACAAGGTTATTATCATATTTTCTTCACCGATATGCGGTGATAGCAGATGCAGTTGTGCATACGTATCGCATGTCTACTTGATTAAGCTTTGCAGGCTAATACATGAGCATTGATAGTACTCTTGACATGTTTTTGCCTCACCAATACCCATGTCCTCGTCTTCCAATAGTGGGGAGTATATTGCCCCGAGCCTTTCCGAGGAAATAGTCGTAAGCACTCAAAAGTACCATCACTACCACGAATGCCTCATTATTTCATTTTCCCCAGTGATCCCAGAGGAAAATTACTCCTCCGACGCATCCCCAGCCCCAAAGGCAGCCCCTTCAGTTCCCCGTTCCTAATTTCTCCCATCCACATAGGGAAGTTCTCCAGCTGGCATCAACCATTAATCTCCCATCCCTCCAGAGAATCCAGGAATAAAACGATATCACGCAGCATATTCCCCGAAAACCAATGATCAAGCCCCGTATACTCATTCCATCGCGCATCTACGCCCACATGCTTCAGAAACTGGGCCGCCAGCCGCCCAAATTCACACAACACCGTCGCATCGTCGACGCCATGGCCGAGGAACATCGGGAATTGCTTGAACGGCACAGCAGCGGATTTAGCGCCAGTGATTCCAAGTTCGTTTCTTAACCAGTCTGCGATTCGCTGTAATTTAGCTGCTTCCGCTTGTGAGGGCTCGTTGTCAGCAACTGCATTCTCATTTTCGACATCACCGACTTGGCCATTCCCGTTCTCTTGAACTCCGTCGTCGCCCCTGTCCAGCATCTGTTTCCGAAAGGGGAGCCACCCACACATCCCCACAGCAGCCCCAAGCGGTTCCCCCTGCCACGTCAAGAGCGATATGATAGCCGCCGCGCACCCCTGACTCAAGCCCATCAAAATCACATTCCTAGCGCCCACAACATCAATCTCCGCCTGCATAAGGGAGTGAACAAAAGACGATGTCTCCGCAAGTCCCTCAATCATTAGCTCTTCCTTGTACTCGGGAAATATGAGCGGCGACCAGTTGTCGAACCATTGGTGGGTTAGATGGCCGTAAGATGTGGCTCTGCCGAGACAGGCGGTGGGGAAAATGAATTTGGCATGGGGAAAACAGGCTCGGACGGTGAGGAGTCCACTGAGGCGCCCCAGGTCTTGGGTAGGGGCGATGGGGTGGTCTAGGAAGCTGGCCGCGAAGCTCTTACCGCTTCCGCCTCGTCCGTGGAGGATGATGAAGGTTTGTTTGTGTTCTTTTACTGGGTCGACGACGAAGGGCTCGTAGAATTCAGAGGTGCGTTTGCGGTCGAATTCGTCGTCGGGAGTTTCTGGTTCCATCGCAAATAGTCACGGTGTTGTATTCCTCTTGGTCTTTTACATGAAACTAGGCTTGCAAGTTGAGCAAGAGACGTTTTGCTGAGGTGGGGTAAGTAGATATTCGGTTGGTGCCTAATGATCCCCGTCCAAAATCCAACAAACGCTCTTTGCGCTCGTATTACGATACTGTCCAGTAATAACAAGGCTCAAGCTGTTCCTTTGAGGCCGGCGCTTAAACAAACCACTAAACCAATTATATTTCGCTATCTTTATATGTTGAATTACTTTCTTTATCGTTGACCTCCCCGCACACACTTTCACAACGGGTGATAAAACACCGGCCTTCCCACATCATTAACTACTCAGCCGCCTTCAGCACCTCTCGAATAACACTCGTATCCTTCTCAACATCCATCTCCCACCCCGAAACCGCAACCCGCACTGCCGGCCTCCCCTCCCAACTGGTCCCACTAACATAAATCCGATTCTGGTCGTTAATCCGTCCCAGGAGCTCCTCATTCCTCCCCTGGTCTCTCAGGCGGAAGAGCACGATAGTACCCACCTCCGCCACCTCCGCAGTAGGAAGTAACTCATACGCCTCCAGTTCCTTCACCATACTCGCCACCGCCCTCGCGAGACGCACCTGCGTTGCAAACAACAGAGCCAGACCCTCACGTCCATGCGCGTGCAGCACAGCATAGATAGGCAGAGCGCTGAAGCGGCGCGAGTTCTCCAAGCCGTGGTTTAGGGGAGAGGGGATGGGGTCTGTAGCGGACGTCTTGAGGTAGGCTGCTGCGCCGTTGTTGCAGACGTTGTTCAGATCGGTTTCGGTGCGGGTGAGGAGGATGGCGGATGCGTATGGCTTCGTGGGTTAGCAGGGTATATGCATAGAATGGGGGATAGGTACTGTGTTGAGTGCTTTGTGACAGTCAGCGGTTATGGAGTCGGCGTATTGCAACCCTTCGGATGATGCGCGAAGGGAGGCGAACTCTTCTGTTTCGGGGAGGGAACGAGCGAATATCCCGAATGCTGTGATCGTCAGTTTCCAGTCACCAATTGGCAAAGAAAGCATGCAACACCCAGCGAACGCAGACACCGAAGATAAAGCCTGTACATACCACCATCAACATGAATCCAAGCCCTCCCCTTCGCAACCTCCTCCAAACACCCCTTTAACCCCTTCATCTCCTCCTCCCCCCCAAAATACCTCCCCGTATTCACCTCTCCCATCCCCACAACCACAACACTCACCCACCCCTCCCTCCCCGCCTCCCTCCCCGCCTCCCTCCTCACCTTCTCCAAATCCAGCCTCCACGGCTCCCCCTCAACCCCGACATCCCTCACATTCCCCCGCCCCAGCCCTAACACCCCGGCAGCTTTGTACACACTACTATGCGCCGCCGCACCGAGGATCTGCACCCCTTTCACCCCGGCTTGCACACACGCTCCTACGATCCCCGCACTCGCTACTGTCTCCGCGCTTCCGCTAGCCTTGAGTCGACGATCGAGAAGGGCGTCCCGCGCCGTCGCCATGGCGAGGATGTTACTCCCCGTCGCGCCTGGCGTGATGGCGCGTCCACCCCATACCTCGGGAGACAGGCGCAGCAGCTCAGTCAGCATGGTCAGCGTGTGCGCTTCGATAGTTGTGGCGAGGGAGGCGCCGCGGTCGTGGACGGCGACGTTGCAATCTAGGGCTGTAGCGAGGTTGTCTGCTGCGGCAGCGATGGGGAGGGTGGAGCCGGTGACGAAGGCGTAGAAGGCGGGGGTGAGTAGGGGGGATGAGAAGGCGGGGGGGAGGGTGAGGAGGTGGGACAGGGTCGTGGGGGGGTGGCCGGTGGGGGGGAGGTGGGAGAGGAGGGTTGGGGTGAGGGTCGTGAGGGTCGTGGGGGTGGGGAAGGGGAGGGGGGGGCGGGCAGAGAGGGAGGTGCTGATGAGGGTTGCGACTGTGGTGCGGTCGAGGGGGGGGGTGGTGAATGTTGAATTGGGGGTTGGGGAGGACATGATGGCGGCGGTGTGGGTGGCGGCGTGTAGGTTAGGCGGGGTTGCTTCAAATGGTTGTCAATGGATGGACGAGGTTGTCGATATTATAGTTCTTGATTATTAGGCGGTATCTTGATCTTCAAAGTCTTCGAGTTTTATAGAAGGGGGGGGTTATAAGGAGGGACCGGAATTTACAAGTGACTCAAGCTCACGAAGGAGCATGACAACCCCGCTACTGTGATCCTTTAGTGGGGTACGACCCCTGACAACTCTAGTCCACGCTAGAATATAACGTCTGTCCCTGCATGCGAGAAACCCCTTGTGGCGAGAAAAATGATAGGTACCTTGACTTCAAGCAATTCAGATTCTGTGTAAACATCGACAGTTCCCAAAGTTCTGTATCAGTCATATGGTGTGACCATTCCTGAACACTCTTGACCCGGATACCTGGAAAATTATGTTTGTATCATCGTCGTCGCGTCTGGTTTTCAGAGAGCATTATTTCGTAGCGTAGCAGGACTCCTCTACCACAGTACTACAATCAAACTTCTACCGTTGCTGAAACCTATAAGCCATCCATATCTTACCCTCCGAGTCCTTCAGGACTACCAAGAAGTTATCGCCAGCCTTGTGGCTGCCGTGTGGCGCAAATTCATTCCATGTCGGTGTGTCGGTTGGTACCTCTAATCAAATCTTAGGTTTACTTATAGCTTAGAGTAATTTTCTTACGTAATCAACATGTAGAAAGCATGTGGCTGTGCGCCAGGTCATCACACATTCAATAAAGTTATTCGTTAGTCCCAGGTATGTTCAGTTCTTACCGCAGATCTTGGGAATGTCTGGAATTCTTACATTATGCTCCTTCGCGCGACTTATGGAAAGTTGTGCTTCCTGGTTACGATGGTTGGGCAGTGTCGCGATTTAGCCAGCCACACAAAACGAGCGGCGTATCGCCAGCCTTACTTTGGACCAGCATTGCAACTTTCAGACCACTTATAGTAAGGATAGTGGCAACGCACCCATGCAGCTAGTGGCACTCCTGTTGCCCCCAATAAAGGGCTTGTACGGAAACTGTTTAAAGACAGCCTGCAACCTGGCTTGCCACAACGAGTTTTTCAAGCTAACTCTATCGCAAACGCTCTTGGTACTCGGCCACACCATACGAACCCACGAACCCACAATCTGATCTGGTAGCCACGTCCGGGTACGCAAGTCCAAAAGCCGACTTTCGTGACGCTTTCAAATACTAATTAGTCGTTGTAGTATATTGCAGCCTAGATACACCCACCGAAATCGCTATCGATTGCAATGTCCGGCGCTGAGGCTGCGTTCGTTGTTGGCCTCATTTCAGGCCTGATCTCGATCATCGAGGCAACTAAAACGATATATGATGCCGCTAAAGACGCGAAGGGTCAGCCCGAGGCATTTCGCCTGGTGCATGCACGACTAGTCCTAGTGATCGCAATCCTGGACAGAGCTAGAGAGAGGGCACAGATGGTCGACGAGACGACGCAGGAGACATTGGAACCCATTCTGGAATCATGCAAGGCGAAGGCTGAGAACCTCAACAAAATATTCAAGAAGGTTATTCGGAAGGATGACGACAAGTGGTACGATCGATACAAGAAAGCCCTCGGTACGCTAAGGAAAGAGTATAAAGTGGAGTGTTTAATGGAAGAGATATTGAAGGACATCCAAGTGCTTGTATGCGAGAGGCTGATGGGAACCGCTACTGATGCCCAAGTAAAGGAGATACAAGAGGCTATTAAGGAAATGAACGAAATGCCTTCTTCTCTCCAGGACGAGGCTGGGAGTGTCACCCAAAACCATCAAGGCACTGGTAACAATAATGCTAACACTGGTAGAGGAGCCCAGCATAATGGAATTGGGGATCTCTATCACAATGAGATCAAGGGTGACGCGCATTTTGGCAGTAAGAAATAGTATAATCCGAGACCATGTCTAGATTTGATAAATATGACTTAGGCAACCCCACTTTCAATAATTATGCCGCTCCTAGTGAGTTGCAAAGGGTCCAACCTAACAAGCTAGCGGGTGCTAACGACGGCCCCACCATAGAGCGACCAGAGACCCCACCGAACCCGTCGGTCGTCATACCCTTCAGTCGCGACACAGATTTTGTCGAGCGAGGGACAATACTTGATCAGATCTACCAGAAATGCGATGTATTGGGGTCTCGGACCGCACTCGTTGGCCTGGGCGGCGTCGGGTAAGTACAAACACTTCTGCCATTGCGGGTGGCTAACGGCCGCGAAGCAAGTCGCAACTCGCCATCGAATATGCCTACCGAACCCGAGACCGATCGCTTGAAACGTGGGTTTTCTGGGTCCATGCAAGCAACACGGCTCGGTTTGAGCAGAGCTTTCGGGATATTGCAAACTGCGTCAAGATCTCCGGCCGGCAAGATCCAAAGGCCAATATATTCCAACTTGTGCACGACTGGCTGCACAACGATAGGAAAGGGCCGTGGGTCATTATACTTGATAATGTGGATGATGCTAGCTACCTCGTTGAGCGTCGAAGCACCGGTCAGGATGTGCAAAATAACGGCATAGGCAGTGGGAACTTACGACCGCTCGTGGAATATCTTCCGCAGTGCCCAAATGGATCGATTCTTATAACAACAAGAAGCAAAACTGCAGCGCTAAAGCTAGTTAAACCGCGGAACATAATCGCAATCGAACCAATGAGCCAGATAGATGCGCTAGCACTCTTTAGGAATAAGCTTGGCGGGAATGATGGTGGACATGACGCTAGCCAGCTTGTTGCAGAGCTCGAGTTTATGCCGCTTGCTATTGTTCAAGCAGCTGCATACATCTCCGAATTAGCGCCCCGATGTTCTATACGACAGTACCTTCAAATGTTTCAAAAGAGCGACAGCAAAAGATCGAGTCTCTTAGAGTACGAAGCCGAAGAGCTACAGCGAGACTCAGAGGCCAAAAACTCCATCATCATTACATGGCAAATATCGTTCGATCATATCTGTGAGATTAGGCCGTCAGCCACTGATTTGTTGTCTCTTATGTGTTTTTTTGACCGACAAGGAATTCCTGAGGCTCTACTTCGAAGTCAAAGCGTGCAGAGCAACTCGGTGCAAGACCAGAACGAGAGCGACGGTGATAAACATGTTAATAGCGATACTAATTATGACGATGACGGTAACGATGAAGATGACGATGAAGATAACCTAACACAGTCTAGTGTGAGTGATGGGTTTGAAAGCGATGTCGCAGTATTACGAAACTACTCGTTCGTCTCTGTCAATGCAGACGGCATAACCTTCGAAATGCACAGGCTGGTGCAGTTAGCCACGCGAAAATGGCTTGAAGCCCATGGGCAGCAAAAGAGGTGGGAACAGCAGTTTATCAGGAATCTTAACGCGGAGCTTCCGACTGGAGAGTACGAGAATTGGGTGAGGTGTCAGACGTATTCCCCGCACGTGCAAATAGCGGCAGCACAGAAGCCAAAGGAACAAGCCTCTTTAAGAGACTGGGCTTCGATACTATTCAAGGCAGCATGGTATGCGTGCAGAATGGAGAAAGGAATAGAGGCAGAGAAGATGTCTATTGAGGCAATGAAAGTTCGACAGAGGATTCTGAATCGAGAGCACAATGATACGCTAGAAAGTATGGCAATGGTAGGCTTAGCGTATAAGATTAGGGGCCGATGGGATGCTGCGGAAGAGCTAGAGGTGCAAGTGATGGAGATGATGAAGGAGAAACTCGGCGAGGATCATCCACACACGCTACAGAGCATGGGCAACCTAGCATTGACGTACGGGAATCAAGGGAAGTGGGACGCTGCGGAAGAGCTAGAGGTGCAGGTGATGGAGATGATGAAGGAGAAACTTGGCGAGGATCATCCAGACACGCTGACTAGCATGTGCAACCTAGCATTGACGTACGGGAAGCAAGGGAAGTTGGACGCTGCAGAAGAGCTAGGGGTGCAAGTGATGGAGATGATGAAGGAGAAACTCGGCGAGGATCATCCACACACGCTATGGAGCATAGGCAACCTAGCATTGACGTACGGGAAGCAAGGGAAGTTGGACGCTGCAGAAGAGCTAGGGGTGCAAGTGATGGAGATGATGAAGGAGAAACTCGGCGAGGATCATCCAGACACGCTATGGAGCATAGGCAACCTAGCATTGACGTACGGGAATCAAGGGAAGTGGGACGCTGCGGAAGAGCTAGAGGTGCAAGTGATGGAGATGATG